ATCAGGGATTGTAATGGTTCAACCTTCCTTTGCTCTGTGATTGGTGAAAAAATTCGCGCCATGCGCTGGATCAATTAATTTCAAAGATATACCCGACTGGGGGGCCTGCCGTTTAATGCGCTCACCGTTATTTGTATTTCCTTTGATATTTTCCTGTTTTGTGATTGGACTTTGTGACTACTCAGTTTGGTTCAGGTCTCGCGACAGTTACCTTAAAGCGGCCTCTATCCTGCAATAAATCGTGACATACGGGCCAGCGACTACTGTGGTCCTAACACAAACACAAATTAAAGCCGCCTCTCTCCAAATTCAGTGACCGTGTTTGCATAGGGAAATGGAACATCCGGCCAGACTTCTCTCTTCTTTTTTGCACTATAATAGATTTTTTAATTTGATGTGAGATAAAAACTTAATTGACAATCTAGATGTCCAATCTTCATTGATTTCTTCTGATTTTAAACGTTAAATAAAACATCAACAACCTCGTTTGTAATTAGGCAGCAAGTACCTCGGCGTTTAACAGACTCGATTTGTTTTGTTTTAATTTCGGCGAATGAAACCAACTTGGTTTTACTTTACTCGTGGGTTTTGCTTAGTCAATGTCAACAAAGGAGGCTGTGTTTACTTATACCAACGCTATCAGTTCTTTATTATTAAACATGTTCATGGAAACGTCATAGTTAAAGGCTTGAATGTATATAAATAATGTAGAGGCATGATCTCCATAAGAACTAATGTGTTAATATATATTTACAGTGAATTTCGAATAATCAGTTTCAAGAAATACTCATTTAGAGAGTTCACTTGTCGTTTCATGCCTAGCGGATAACCCTAGTTAGCTTTATCATTGGTCTACGTCAATTCAGTAAATTTAACTTCATAAACATTTATATGCGATTCCTCCCGTAAAGTTGGTTGGGTAGATAAATTTAAATCGCGTATTTCAGTTTTGCATTTCTTAGCTTTAGTATATAATGAGCATTGCTTACCGACGGGCATAGACTGTTTGAATAGAAACAAACGTTCAGTTTAGATGTGGACCCGTACTTCTTTCGTTGTTACCGGCGATCTTCATGAACCTGTAGTTGTTTCATTTCTTGTCTAGCGTTTTTATCGTGATCATATCTTATCGTTGTACTCCTTCTGACTTTCCACCAACAAAGTAAATTGCCAATTTCTCCTCTCAAAACGCGACTGTTAGCTGCATAGATAAAAGGATTTATTGTGGCACTCAAAAATAACATAAGGACGACTCCCAACTCTACAAATCTGGGAACTGTCTCTGGAGATAAGCGCTTCCAAAATGCAAAAGCCCACAGTGGGATCCGAGAGAACAAAAATCCTGCTGCCACGTACAACAACGCCCGGCTTATGTTGATTTCATGCGCAGATAATCGGCTCTGAGGGTTAACGCTGTTCTCAAGAGATGGAAGAACCTGACGTTTGTGATGGCGGAGTTTGGAGAAAACTTTCCAATAACTAAAGCAGGCGACGGAAAACGGTAAGAGGGAATATAAGCCGAAAACGATGCAGTAGTGAACAAACTTTCTTTCTCTTGTTGTAAAAGTTACGCTACATAGGGCGTAACCAGCAATAAACTGGTACTTATTCCAGTTTGTCGCTCGGGCGATGACGAGATACGATGCCAAAGATATCCAGACACAAGTCAGCCAAATCTTAGACTTTCGAGGAGAAAATATTTTGTTGTAGTTGTGAGTCTTGACACACCGCATGTATCTGTTAAACGCCGTTAAGCCCATTGTCGCAGGAGTCACATACGTAACGAATACATCAACGAAACCTTGGAACTGACATACTCCGTCACCAAAGTTCCACTTTCCCTTGATTACTGTTGTTGCAGCTATCGGCATTTCTACAGTTGCGCAGACCAAATCACTCACTGCCAGAGCTATGATGTACAGATTCGTGGTCAATCGCAGTTTAGGGCTTTTGTACGCAGCCAAAAGCACCAGAGTATTTCCTGTGACACTTACGACGCACATTGTGAGGAAAATAATCGCCTCGAAGATGACGGCTACCAAGCTTCGATCAGGTAGGCGCATCGAAGGCATGATCAAAAAGCAACCTCTCACCCCGCCTGATTAAACTTAACTAAAACAAAAACGACATTTTCTTCTTTCAAGCTCAGTACCTCCTTCGCTGAGAGCATTGATACCAAAACAAAACAGATGCTAAGTCTATATCAAAACCTTCCTTTTACATCAATACAGGATGCTAGGAAAGCTTGACAATTTTATTAGTGAGTGATTGTCATGTTAATCTGAGAGGCTTCAGTTACCTATCTGAATATGAATTAGGACCTGTTCATCCTTTCATTGGAAACAGGTGGGAAGCAAATTATATCGCAAGCGTAATTAATAAAGCCCTTTCAGTTAAATGATAGATAACTTATCAATATTTACAATATGCTGAATTAAAGTTTGAATTGGCGTTAACCATCCCCATGAACTATTTTGTTTCACAAGCTCAACCTACCATTTAACGCTCCCACTCCAAAAAGCCTGAACCGCAAAATTTTCAACTAAACTCACTTTCCCAATTTCATCCCAGAGCAGGTGATTAAAACTTAATTCTAAATGAATATTGTTTATTCCTTATTTTTCAGCCTGATTTTCAAATCGGAAACGTTTGAGCTGGGAAAAAAAAATTAGCGAGCAAACGAGTACACTAGAGATTCCTTCCCATATCACTTAAAGCCTTTTAGCAAAACTGTGAAATTATTTTGGCAGAAACGGCAGATGGAAGCTTTTTATAAATTTAGAAGCTGCCGTCATGAAAAAACGGTCCGAAAATGCAGTGCCATCACGAAAAAGCCCAAGTTTAATTGACATTATCTGGTACCACATTGCTTTAACTAGTTTTTAATCCAAGGGAAAGTTGAAACTCGACAGAAGATTAGTTAGTTTGCTTATTGTTTTCCATCAACTACAGATGCTTTTTTTCAACGTCCCGTTTTTCCTCCTCAAAGACAAAATGTAAAAGACAACAACCAATCCACAGAGCTAAAAGCGATAAATAATAGGGAAAATATTACTAAAAAGCATCTGGAACGAAATAAGAAAGCAGACTAAGAAATATCGTGAGGGTGTGCTGAGAGATTTTGTATGAAATGTCTGATGTCTTTGTGTTCTGACTTTGTCTTTTGTATCAGTCACCGGGTTATGAGAATTAAGGAAATGATCTGTAGCAGAATATTACCCAGTCTCCTTTACAGCCGTTATCTGATCTCACCCAGAAACGAGTTCTCCTGTGTGGGGGAGGGGAGGGGAGGGATCGCATTGCCTGATGGGACCTTGTATCGGCTGCGAAGGACATTACCTTCTGCTTTGACAAAAAAACGAAAAAAAGGAAGAAAGAAGGAAATCAGGAATGACTGACAAAAAAATTGCTTTTCTGTTTAGGAGCTTTCAGATATTTTAGCCAGAATTAAAAATCGATAATTGACAATATTTATTTTTGATATGAGTCGGTTTCGAGATGAGTTGAATGGTAAGCCTCTTCGTTCTCACTTTTCTTTTTGGTCCCAAATTTTTTTACCATAAAGTAATATTCCTTTAACACTTCCAACCTCAAAAGTCCCAAAATGGCTATTTACAGTGTATTTCAATCACTAATGAAAAAATCGTAGGCTTCTGCACTTTTAAAAGTTGTAATATGACTTTCACTGTCAATTAATATCTGATCACCTATTTTCCCTTATACTCCTTCTTAGACTAACATACACTCCTTTGTAAATTAGATGAGAGAGTTTGGACCGACATCAACTTATAACACCCTCCTGCTAAAACGTTTCTACTTTCTCATCAACGGTTTTGTTCGATGATATTCTTGTCTCACGAAGAGATTTTACAGGTTTTTAACCTCTGGGAGTTATAAGTGTTATTAGCTCGCCCACTCTCTCAAGGATATAATCGATCGTGATTCCATTCGACTTCATATACTCAGAGTATTACCAGATTGTTAGTACTCGAATTATGGATCAAAAAAGTTTGCAGCAAATCAAGACATTATCACAAAAACACATTTGCGCGTTAATATGGTTGCGACAAACTTCTTCAGGTTTGAAAGGCCGGAAATTAAAACATAGTGTCTTTTCTTATTCAAGGATGATAAATAACACATCCATCAGAACACGACAAGAGGTAAAACTGATCATTGTAGAACTTTCCGGTTCGAGTAATTGAACGAGTAATGAGAGGCTTCTACTGAAGAGTGCGTGGGAACATTTTGAGTTGTTCAATTTTAAACGACTCAAAATTCAAAGGATTTTTCTTTCTTTTAAAGAAAAATCCGAAAAAAAGGGTACAGAACCGGTCGAAGCTGCAGTTGCAGGAAGTAAAATGTTGGTAATAAATAGTATCCATAAAGGATACATGTAACATTGATATTTCGTTGGTCATTTGATTGAACTTTATCTTTAAAAGCCGGAACACGTTTCATATTTCGGTCAGCTGCTGATTAATTTTTTTTTTTATCAGAAAAATGCTAAGTGATCGTAACAACTTGGAAACGAAAGGAAGTTCACTGATGTAATAAAAGTGAACAAGATAATCGTAGTAGTGCCTCTATGGTTAACAGACAAAACAGCTTTTCATCTTTAAACTACGTGAGGTTCCATGTAGTTTTGTTTAATCAACCTTGATATCGCGCGACAGCTGACCAAAGAAAAAGTAATCTTGAATGAAACATATCATGTCTATAAAAGAACTGTTTATAGCTGCCTTCTTCTGCACGTTCTTTTAAATCTGATAAATGTTTGCAGATTGGAACACTTAAGCCACAACACCGAGACCACTGTTGTAAATTTAAGTTTTATGGCGGAAATGTTCAATCTGGATCTCATTTCGTGGATAAATTAAATTGGCTGCTTTCCCAAATGACGTCATTTCCTGCAGAGCAATCTAATTTTAAAAAATAATGCTTATGAAGACCCACCGAAGTATCATTGTTACATTATCCGCCTACTTTGTGGTGTAAAGATGACTTCGCTGGAGCTACAAGAGCGAAGCCTAGCAGTTGTTATCGTCGAGTCAACTGCATGTCTCACAATGAACGTAATAAGTGTAATAGGGAACACTTTGGTATGTTTCGCCGTGTACAGGAACCCTAAGCTTCGATCTACAATCAATCTGTATATCATTGCGTTGGCAACAAGCGATCTTCTTTGTGCAACAGTAGAAATGCCACTGGCATCGGCAACTTTGATCACCGGTCGGTGGATGTTCGGCGACGCCTTATGCTGGTTTCAAGGGTTTGTTGATGTATTCATCACATATGTAACTCCTGCGACTATGGGTTTGACGGCGTTCAACAGATATATGCGGATTGTCAAAACTCATAGCTACAATAAGATATTTTCACCTTGCAAGTCTAAAATTTGGTTGAGTAGCTTGTGGATAACCATAGCGCTCTACATCATTTTGGGGCAAATAACAAACTTTAACAGTTTTGAATTCATTCCTGGTTTCGCAGTTTGCAGCGTGGTTTTTATGTCAGCAGAGAGTCGATTCGCTCACTACTGTGTTCTATTCGCGCTGAGTTTGGTCTTCCCACTTTCCATCGCTTGTTATAGCTATTATAAAATTTTCACTAAAACCCTTAAACACAACAATGACGTTGCGCCTTCGCTGGAGACGAACGTGAACAGATTTGGAAAAGTTTCGGTGCAAGAGATTAAGGTTTGCCGAGCCTTAGCGTTTATCATAGCAGGCTTTTTGCTAAGTTGGGTTCCCATGTGGGCGTTTTTGTTTTGGATGCGCTTTTCGCGCGAGACAGCCCCTAGAGGCATACAGTTGGCGGCGATACAACTTCTTTTTCTTAGCAGCACAATAAACCCCTTTATCTACGCTGCCACTAACCGAGCTTTTCGAAATGAATTCTACAGAATGCTGTGTTGGTGGAAAAAGAGACGTATCCAAGGTTCCGATCTGGCTGTTGAAGGATTCAAAGTGACTAGAGCAAATGAAAACAGAGACCAAGAGTTGGAAACGAACATGTAAATTATCAACTGTGGCATTTGAAATTCATGTAATGAAGCCCTTTCAGTTAAATGTTAGATAACTTATAAATATTTACAATATACTAAATTGAAGTTTGAATTGGCGTTAACCCTCCCCATGAACTATTTTGTTCCAACAGCCCAACCTCCCATAGAAAAGGAAACAAAAATTTGCATGAAAATCCTGAACCGCAAAATTTTCAAATAAACTCACTTTCCCAATTTCATCCCAGAGCAGGTAATTAAAACTTAAATGAAAACAGAGGCCAAGAATTGGAAACGAACATGTGAATTATCAACTGTGGCATTTGAAATTCATGTTTGTTATCTTTAATTAAAGCAATGTTCTGTGGCTCATCATTATTATAATGATTAAGTGTTAGTGATCTAGAGCGACCACAGAATTTGTCGCCAAAATTCACCTAGAACGTGACAAATTTTGTTTTAATTCAACACACCTTTTAAAAATTAATGAGTTACATCTAAGTTTTTTTCAGTGATAGACAATGCTGTATATGCATAATTTTTCGAACTTTTTGAATTTAAAATAGATCACTGTTATTCGCACAAAAACTTAACAAATTGGTCCTTCACAGGTTCCTAAATAGCTCATTCCAGACAAAATTAATTAACGATCTAAATTTACAAAGATGGTGGAGCTTACTCGACAGCAAACGACTGGAAAAGAAAAATCCCAAGTATGTCTTTTAAGACAATTGTGATCATGCATCAGTACCTTGGTGACACCGAGGGATTAGTTTAGATCAGTTTGACACGAAAATGTTTGTCATCTGAACTTGATAGAACTGAGGAAGATGAAACTCCATTCTTCTATATCCTGACTTAATTGAATGTAAATACTCCTTAGAATGTCGATAAATGATGCATTGAGTTAATTAGTTCTTAGTATTTTGTGTTTCATTAACTTTTTTTTTTTATCCTTTTCATTAGTTATTTTAATTTTTGAGAGAAGCAGTAGCCTAATTAATGTTAATCTAGGACACCAAACCTTTGATTCATTTGGGACGTTAGTAAAGAAGCAAGAATTTTGTAAAAGAAAAATTAGTTATTTATACAGGCCTTGTCAAACAAGAAAAGTTAAGTGGTTGCCAACAACCTGTGGAGGCAAATAATGAGAACTTTTGGCAAGAGCCAGAATAAAGAAGTAAACTGCTCTGCATATATTAGCCACAATATGTCAAAATGGAACTTGCAATAATTCGATTACGTTTATCCGGCTAACAAGATTGTACAATAAAAAACGATGTTTTGATATATAATACTACTAGCTGGAGTTTCTGGTTTCATTTAACAAAGTCAAGAATTAATTGATGGTATAAATTTCGGCTTTTCCCTCACAGGGTGCTCTGTTTTTCCAATTAGAAAGTGGCGATCCGATAATAGAACCATTATACATTAATTTTCTCAAGATTTTTGAGGGACTGAATTGACTTTGAGATAAATTGTCTTTGAAGACTTTGAGAATCTTATTATTAACTAACCGAAAAACAACGGTTTTTTCGTCAGCCTTTTCGCCGCAAATGAGATAAGAGGGTGTCTACGAAAACCGGGAGAACATTTGGCTTCGTCAGTCTAGTCTTAGAGAGAGTAAATAGATTCCGCTCTGAAAAGCTTCTATTTTGAAATAAGCCAAACTAACCTCTAAAATAAATATTAAATGTCTTTAATTCAAGTCATTTAAAGCTAAGCAGGGAACCACTACCTAGGAAACCAGTAATCATGAATCATACCAACACTGATCGGCCTTTTGGAAAGAATTTGTTTAAACACACGGTGTACCTTGCTGTATGTTATACTTCAACTCGTGAAAAATGTCCTGTCTGTGTTCATCTGGCCGAAAAAAGAAGCATCCCTATCCGTCATACTCAACTTCTCCGATGAGTCTATTTTAACTATGAGGTGCCCCCTTGAGCGTTTCAACCGTGATCGAAAAAAAGGTTGATAATATTTCCTACAACAGTAGATGACGAAGTCATGAAAAAAAATATGTTACTTTTTCCGGGCTGATCTTCGGGAGTCTTTAAAATAACTCCGGAGAAGAAAAAGAATTGCAATTTCTGACAGTGTGTTTACAATAATAATAATAATAATATAATAATAATAATAATGATAATAATAATAATAGTACAACAATACTTCCTCTTGTAAAAAAATAATCTAAAACTTATACTGAGCTTTCTGCCTTCTAATAGAAAGCCTTTAAAAACTGTAAAAATATGATTAAATGAAAATAAAAATTGAAAAAAAGGAAATGGCAATCAAAGTAGTTTTCAAGTTCAATAGTCTCATTGGAAAATCTAAAAAAATCCTTCCACTTCCAGTTAGGTTTATTTCTAACTTCAATGGTGTATTGACTAACTCATAAAGCAACTACTTTTGCGGTCTAATTATCTTGGATATCTTTTCTAAAGAATACTTCCGTTCGCACTCATCTTTAAAATGGCCATATACGTGACATTTCTGCAGACATCTGCATGCTCATGTAGTTCAATGTTCTCCACGATTGCCCCAGCTCTTTTTTGTCTCGGGACAATTTGCCTTCGTTGCCGACGACAAGACAGCATTTTGCGAAACTCTTGTCTAAATCCATTATTTGTGGCCGCGTAAATAAGGGGGTTGATGGAACTATTTAAAAACACGAAAAATATCACCAACAATGGAACCACTCTGGGAACTGGTGTTGGGTAGAATCGATTGGAGAGAGACAAACTCCACATTGGTATCCAGCAAAGAAACTTTGTGCTGCGGTAGACTGCAGCACAAAGCATGCCATTACCAACTAAACTGCCGATATTTAACAAAAGACAAATGCTGCATTCGAGGATAACCAGACCTAAGCTTCTTGGGGGAAGATCTAGGACATCCATTTTGAACCTTTCACGATCAACCGCTTGTGAACTCAGTTTCATGAGTTGCGTTCCTGATTGACAGAATATTTACCCAGGCATCATCACGCAAGCTGACATCCGTCTGTAACTCCGGAACTTTGATATATCATATTTATTCACAGCCAGAAAAACATGGCGTTTATACTAACATTCTTTCTCAGCATATCTTTCTGAAAAATTTGTGAGGAATCAACTCGAAAAATCTTCAAAATATTGCTGAAAGATTTGAAGTAAACCAGTTTTATCCTCAGGCTTCCATTTGTAAACACCGACGCAAAGTTTTCCTTTGTGTACCTCCTCATATTAGGATAAAGAGTAACTTCAGTAACAACCAATAGAATTACGCTGCATTATGAAAACGTGCATTCAAAGTGAGAGACGTGGGATGGGAAGAACAGGAAGAAAATATAAAGAGATCTTCCTCTGTTAAAGACGCTGGGCTAAAACTAATTGAATTGTTTTCCTTTCTTGCCTGATGGTAGGTGATTGCATAAGGAACAAGTGAAATTCAATATCGAATGTCAAATTTGCAATTTTTAGTGGGCGATTACTGCCTTTTCAACAATTCAAACACATCGGTTTTTGTGTCAGTGTTTTCATCCCAAATGAATTAAGTGGGTGTGTACGAAAACCAGGAAAACATTTCGCCTCGTCAGTCTAGTCTTAAAGAGAGTGAATAGAATCTGCTTTGGAAAACTTCTATTTTGAAATAAGCCTAACTAACCGCCAAATAAATATCGGATGTCTTTAATTTAAGTCATTTAAAGCTAAGCAGTAAACCACCATTCAGAAAAGCAGTAATCATGAATCATACCTACACTGATCGGCCTTTGGAAAGAATTTATTTAAACACACGGTGTACTTTGCTGTACGTTATACTTCAACTCGTGAACAATATCCTGTTTGTGCTCATCCGGCCTAAAAAAGAAACATCCCTATCCGTCATACTCAACTTCTCCGAAGAGTCTATTTTAATTATGAGGTGCCCCCTTGAGCGTTTCAATCATAATCGCAATAAGGGTTGATAATATTTCCTACAAAAGTACATGAGGAAGTCATGAAAAAAGTATGTTACTTTTCCGGGCTGATCTTCAGGAGTTTTTAAAATAAATACATCGAAGAAAAAAGAATTGCAATTTCTGACAGTGTGAGGTGGCGGTGAGCAAAAGGAAATTCACCTGGTTAGGCTCAAATTTATTCAACGCTTAGTTTAAATCTTTAGAAACAGTGATAACAAGAAAAAAATATTTGATGGACCTCAGAAGGTTTAAGTCTTCTTCAGTAAGTTTTTCTTGGCAGTTGCACCTGTCAAAGGGAACTAAGAAGTGTTAATGTGCCTTTATCTGATTCAATGAAATCCGTTAATATCTTAGCCTTAATAAAATATTTGATTAGCAGACTATGAACTCCTCGCAGCTTGCTGTTGTTGCTTAGAAACAGAAAGAAAAATTTTATGAAATTTAACCAATTCTATAAAATAAGTGTAGCAGTGTGTGCTTTTCATATCGGAATGACTGACTGAGTCACTTGATTAAAAACTTTCTTTTATTTAATGATCGAAAACGTAAGCTTTCGGCAACAGTCGGAAACCTTTAAAAACTGGCTTACAATGGCGCGAGATAAAAAACATCTAAAAGAATGGCGTACTGTTTTGACAACAGCTTGGAATTATTGTCTGCGTGAATAGTGTTACTGTTGTGCCGAGATGTCAAAGTTTTTCGAAATCAAAAATGTCCAGTGTTAATCGCGTAACCTGTCATTCTCGACCTGAAAAGTGTAGTCACTACACTGAGCGTCGGGTAAAATAACATGACTTTCTTGGCGACTTGGAAGTGACACTCTGAGTTACTCTTTTCGTTACATTTTTCCCATTTGACATCCATATGCATGAAAGATCCATGTTTCAGTTTGAGTAATAGTCGCATTTGCCAGGGCTGTCACTGTCACGATTCTACGGACTAGTAGTATCACTTGCAGAACGAACGAGAATATTCAGTACCAGAGTGGTTGAACTATATCATACGATGTAAAAAAAAAAAGGGAAATATTCAGTGCTTTATACAACAGAGTGGTTGAACTATATCACACAATGTAATAAAAAGGGAAGTATCCAGTGATATATACGACGGAGTGGTTGAACTATATCACACGATGTGGAAAAAATAATAATAATAATAATACTGGAATCAGGTTTAAAAGGCATGATGGGACAACAATACTTCCCCTGGTAAAAAATTATCTCAACCTTACACTGAGCTTTCTGCCTTCTAGTAGAAAGCCTTTAAAAAATGTAAAAATATGATAAAATGAAGATAAAAATTTGAAAAAAAGGTAATAGCACTAAACGTAGTTTTCAAGTTCAATAGTCCCATTAGAAAATCTAAAAAGTCCTTCCACATCCAGTTAGGTTTATTTCTAACTTCAATGGTGTATTGACTAACTCATAAGGCAACTACTTTTGCGGTCTAATTATCTTGGATATCTTTTCTAAAGAATGCTTCCGTTCGCACTCATCTTTAAAATGGCCATATACGTGACATTTCTGCAAACATCTGCATACTCATGTAGTTCAATATTCTCCACGATTGTCCCAGCTCTTTTTTGTCTTGGGACAATTTGCCTCCGTTGGCGACGACAAAACAGCATTTTGCGAAACTCTTGTCTAAATCCATTATTTGTGGCCGCGTAAATAAGGGGGTTGATGGAACTACTTAAAAACACGAAAAATATCACCAACAATGGAACCACTCTGGGAACTGGTGTTGGGTAGAATCGATTGGAGAGAGACAAACTCCACATTGGTATCCAGCAAAGAAAGAAACCAGCAAAAACACAGGCGATGGATTTGCTTATTTTTATCTCTTGGATTGAGATTCTGGTCTGTGCAGCTTCCTGGGTGTTATGAAGATTTGGTGCAACTTCCACGTTATGTCTTCGTATTGACTTGAACACGTTGCAATATGAAAAAATGGCTACTAAAAATGGCACGCCAAAATACACGCAGACAATGAGAACGTAATGTACTAACTTCCTGTTTTCCGTGTAATGTTTAACACTACAGGCGGCAAAACCAACCACAAACCCATACCTCTGCCAGTTCGTTATGCGCGCAACGAGAAGATACCCCGCTAGCGAAAACCAGACAGCTGTTAACCATATCTTGGAACGCCATGGAGAAAAGATTTTCCTGTAATGATTAGTCTTGACGATTCGGATGTACCTGTTGAAGGCTGTAAGACCCATTGTTGCCGGAGGACAGTAAGTTGAGAAAACGTCGACAAAACCGTGAACTTGGCACATCCCGTCACCAAGGGCCCATCTTCCCACCACCAACGTCCAAAAGGTAAACGGCATTTCAAGAACGGCGCAAATGAGGTCTCCGACAGATAAGGCAATGATGTATAAGTTGGTCGTGGATCTGAGTCTTGGATTGCGGTAGACTGCGGCACAAAGCATGCCATTACCGACTAAACTGCCGATATTTAACAAAAGACAAATGCTGCATTCGAGGATAACCAGACCTAAGCTTCTTGGGGGAAGATCTAGGACATCCATTTTGAACCTTTCACGATCTTCTGCTTGTGAACTCAGTTTCATGAGTTGCGTTCCTGATTGACAGAATATTTACCCAGGCATCATCACGCAAGCTGACATCCGTCTGTAACTCCGGAACTTTGATATATCATACTTATTCACAGCCAGAAAAACATGGCGTTTTTATTAACATTCTTTCTCAGCATATCTTTCTGAAAAATTCGCGAGGAATCAACTCGAAAAATCTTCAAAATATTTCTGAAAGATTTGAAGTAAACCAGTTTTATCCTCAGGCTTCCATTTGTAAACACCGACGCAAAGTTATCTTTTGTGTACCTCCTCATATTAGGATAAAGAATTAACCAATAGAATTACGCTGCATTATGAAAACGCGCATCCAAAGTGAGAGACGTGGGATGGGAACAGCAGGAAGAAAATATAAAGAGATCTTCCTCTGTTAAAGACGCTGAGCTAAGACTAATTGAATTGTTTTCCTTTTCTGCCTGATGGTAGGTGATTGCATAAGGAACAAGTGAAATTCAATATCGAATGACAAATTTGCAATTTTTAGTCGGCGATTACTGCCTTTTCAACAATTCAAACACATCGGTTTTTGTGTCAGTGTTTTCATCCCAAATGAATTAAGTGGGTGTGTACGAAAACCAGGAAAACATTTCGCCTCGGCAGTCTAGTCTTAAAGAGAGTGAATAGAATCTGCTTTGAAAATTTTCTATTTTGAAATAAGCCTAACTAACCGCCAAAATAAATATCGGATGTCTTTAATTTAAGTCATTTAAAGCTAAGCAGTAAACCACCATTCAGAAAAGCAGTAATCATGAATCATACCTACACTGATCGGCCTTTTGGAAAGAATTTGTTTAAACACACGGTGTACCTTGCTGTATGTTATACTTCAACTCGTGAAAAATGTCCTGTTTGTGATCATCTGACCTAAAAAAGAGACATCCCTATCCGTCATACTCAACTTCTCCGAAGAGTCTATTTTAATTATGAGGTGCCCCCTTGAGCGTTTCAATCATAATCGCAATAAGGGTTGATAATATTTCCTACAAAAGTACATGAGGAAGTCATGAAAAAAGTATGTTACTTTTCCGGGCTGATCTTCAGGAGTTTTAAAAATAAATCCATCGAAGAAAAAAGAATTGCAATTTCTGACAGTGTGAGGTGGCGGTGAGCAAAAGGAAATTCACCTGGTTAGGCTCAAATTCATTCAACGCTTAGTTTAAATCTTTAGAAACAGTGATAACAAGAAAAAAATATATGATGGACCTCAGAAGGTTTAAGTCTTCTTCAGTAAGTTTTTCTTGGCAGTTGCACCTGTCAAAGGGAACCAAGAAGTGTTAATGTGCCTTTATCTGATTCAATGAAATCCGTTAATATCTTAGCCTTAATAAAATATTTGATTAGCAGACTATGAACTCCTCGCAGCTTGCTGTTGTTGCTTAGAAACAGAAAGAAAAATTTTATGAAATTTAACCAATTCTATAAAATAAGTGTAGCAGTGTGTGCTTTTCATATCGGAATGACTGACTGAGTCACTTGATTAAAAACTTTCTTTCGTTTAACGATCGAAAACGTAAGCTTTCGGCAACAGTCGGAAACCTTTAAAAACTGGCTTACAATGGCGCGAGATAAAAAACATCTAAAAGAATGGCGTACTGTTTTGACAACAGCTTGGAATTATTGTCTGCGTGAATAGTGTTACTATTGTGCCAAGATGTCAAAGTTTTTCGAAATCAAAAATGTCCAGTGTTAATCGCGTAACCTGTCATTCTCGACCTGAAAAGTGTAGTCACTACACCGAGCGTCGGGTAAAATAACATGACTTTCTTGGCGACTTGGAAGTGACACTCTGAGTTACTCTTTTCGTTACATTTTTTCCCATTTGACATCCATATGCATGAATGATCCATGTTTCAGTTTGAGTAATAGTCGCATTTGCCAGGGCTGTCACTGTCACGATTCTACGGACTAGTAGTATCACTTGCAGAACGAACGAGAATATTCAGTACCAGAGTGGTTGAACTATATCATACGATGTAAAAAAAAAAAACGGGAAATATTCAGTGCTTTATACAACAGAGTGGTTGAACTATATTACACAATGTAATAAAAAGGGAAGTATCCAGTGATATATACAACGGAGTGGTTGAACTATATCACACGATGTGGAAAAAAAAAAAAAAATAATAATAATACTGGAATCAGGTTTAAAAGGCATGATGGGACAACAATACTTCCCCTGGTAAAAAAATTATCTAAACCTTACACTGAGCTTTCTGCCTTCTAGTAGAAAGCCTTTAAAAAATGTAAAAATATGATAAAATGAAGAAAAAATTTTGAAAAAAAGGTAATAGCACTAAACGTAGTTTTCAAGTTCAATAGTCCCATTAGAAAATCTAAAAAGTCCTTCCACTTCCAGTTTGGTTTATTTCTTACTTCAGTGGTGTATTGACTCACTCATAAGGCAACTACTTTTGCGGTCTAATTATCTTGGATATCTTTTCTAAAGAATGCTTCCGTTCGCACTCATCTTTAAAATGGCCATATACGTGACATTTCTACTGACATCTGCATGCTCCTGTAGTTCAATATTCTCCACGATTGTCCCAGCTCTTTTTTGTCTTGGGACAATTTGCCTTCGTTGGCGACGACAAAACAGCATTTTGCGAAACTCTTGTCTAAATCCATTATTTGTGGCCGCGTAAATAAGGGGGTTGATGGAACTACTTAAAAACACGAAAAATGTCACCAACAATGGAACCACTCTGGGAACTGGTGTTGGGTAGAATCGATTGGAGAGAGACAAACTCCACATTGGTATCCAGCAAAGGAAGAAACCAGCAAAAACAAAGGCAATAGATTTACTTATTTTTATCTCTTGGATTGAGATTCTGGTCTGTGCAGCTCCCTGGGTGTTATGAAGATTTGGTGCAACTTCCACGTTATGTCTTCGTATTGACTTGAACACGTTACAATATGAAAATATGGCTACTAAAAATGGCACCCCAAAATACACGCAGACAATGAGAACGTAATGTACTAACTTCCTGTTTTCCGTGTAATGTTTAACACTACAGGCGGCAAAACCAACCACAAACCCATACCTCTGCCAGTTCGTTATGCGCGCAACGAGAAGATACCCCGCAAGCGAAAACCACACAACCGTTAACCATATCTTGGAACGCCATGCAGAAAAGATTTTCCTGTAATGATTAGTCTTGACGATTCGGATGTACCTGTTGAAGGCTGTAAGACCCATTGTTGCCGGAGGACAGTAAGTCGAGAAAACGTCGACAAAACCGTGAACTTGGCACATCCCGTCACCGAGGGCCCATCTTCCCACGACTAATGTCCAAAAGGTAAACGGCATTTCAAGAACGGCGCAAATGAGGTCTCCGACAGATAAGGCAATGATGTATAAGTTGGTCGTGGATCTGAGTCTTGGATTGCGGTAGACTGCGACACAAAGCATGCCATTACCGACTAAACTACCGATATTTAACAAAAGACAAATGCTGCATTCCAGAATAACCAGACCTAAGCTTCTTGGGGGAAGATCTAGGACATCCATTTTAAACCTTTCACGATCTTCTGCTTGTGAACTCAGTTTTCATGAGTTGCGTTCCTGTTTGACAGAATATTTACCCAGGCATCATTACGCAAGCTGACATTCGTCTGAAACTCCGGAACTTTAATATATCATACTTATTCACAGCCAGAAAAACATGGCGTTTATACTAACATTCTTTCTCAGCACGTATTTCTGAAAAATTCGTGTGGAACCAACTCGAAAAATCTTCAAAATATTGCTGAAAGATTTGAAGTAAACAAGTCTTATTCTCAGGCTTCTATTTTTAAACACCGACGCAAAGTTTTCTTTTCTATACATCCCTATATTGGTCTAAAGAGTAACTTCAGTAACAACCAATAGAATCTCGTTGCATTATGGAATCGTGCATCCGAGGTAAGAGACCTGTGCTGGTGCTATTAGGATGGGAACAACAGGAGGAAATACAACGAGATCTTCCTCTGTTAAAGACGCTGGGCTAAAACTAATTAAATTGTTTTCCCTTTTTGGTTGATAACAGGTGATTGCATTAGGAGCAAGTCAAGTACAATACCGAATGTCAAATTTGCGATTTTAGGGGGCGATTACTGCCTTTTCAACCTTACTGTGTTAGTCTTTATTTGAGCCTTCTTCGTGGGAGATGTGAGATAAAAACGACCACAGCGTCAAAATTCAATTTAGTGAAGAGCTTTTACTCATAGGAAGCGGAAGGACCTTGAAGTAATGTCAAAAGGACAGTGGATGGTCATTTTTCTTAATTTCCGCACTGCTTCTTTAAATCTATACTATTACTGATGAAAACATCGTAAGGAAAAAACTTTTATCTAAAGTTTGTGCTGAGTGACAAGATTTTTCCGGAAAAAAATTATTAAATAAAAAAAAAGGTGAAGACAAAATTTTTGTCGAAAAGGTAAATCAATTGATTAGGCAGATTAATATGACAGACTGAACAGTAAAGGTAGCGAAAAGTTTTCACTGTTCGCCAAAACGGAAAAAAATAGAACTATACATCGTGAATCCTTCTGTCGCATGTTTGCTATTACTCTGATGTAAAACAAACTTCATGGTGAATTAAAATTATTCTTGACAAATACCAAGTCCAGCGTTTAGATAAGAAACACTAAAATATCAACATTTATAGATGTAAATCAATAGATGTATACCAGTTGTAATGAGGACAATAACATAAAAAATACGGCACAAATATATCTCTCGAACCACGGTAGCGCTTGAAATGTCCATTTCGACGACATCCCACAAAAAATAACGAACTGAGCTGCATCACGTCCGCAGTTAAGCTATTTTATGTCACAGTCTATACTACGCACAAACTGACAAACAATTTTACAGTAATCAGCTGCCCAACTGACAAAAGAGCAATAACTTAAATGCACGATTTATAATTAACAATTTCCATCATTCATACGGAACCTTTGACAATTATGTTTTAGTATCTGACCAGCCATACGTCAAAAGAATTACAATGTAGCTGACCAAATAAAACCCAGCTGCTATTGCAATGTAGTCTTATTTTAACTGCGCGCATGTGGTCAAATTTGGAAAAAAATTCTTATCTAGTATGTCCATAGTAATCATAACGATGACCCTTGAAGATTCTCCAGTCAGTATTTAAATGGATCAGGAACTATCGCTGATAGACAATAGAATTGTTTAATAGTAAAACGATTACCGCGAAAATCCTTTAAGAGAAACTTAAGAAGTTTTACCTTCTGGGTATGTTCAATGGCTCGATTAAATATTTAAGAAAATAGACCATTTTAGAGCCAAGTGACAAGATCCCGTGTTCCTTTGCGACCCGAGTTCAATCACGTCGTCATTTAATTCTCCCAAGGCCTCTCTCCGAACAGCACAAACGATAGGCACCGGTTATCTGACAGGGAACCTGACGAAAAATGCTGAAGGCTGAAGGGTGGGAGGCCGGGAGGGAGGCCGAGGTAAGGAGTGTAACGTGCGATGCACTGGTATACCTTTCAGGCAAAAATGATGGTAAACGTTCACATGAATCAATAGCGTAGCTAGGTGGGGGGTTCCTGAGGTGCTCGTGATCCCCCCTTTGTAAGCCTTTTTTTGTCATATAAAGTGAGGCACGGCGTGGAGGTCGACATGACAATCTGTCACTGTTATCGTTGACAGTCCCTAACCCCCACGTACCGGAAGTTCATGCCATACTGATGTACTGAACCTTTCACTCACTCTAACGAAGCTTCATGTCGCCATCTCAGAGCTCGTCTCTCGACTTGCTGGTAGATCCCTCATTAAGAATGCTACTTAGAGTGCTGTTCAACAGTTTATGGCGGCTTTCTTTAACTGCATCTGCCGCCTTGTATACCAACCACATGAACTCGTCCACATTGAAGGCATAATTTGTAAATTTAGCATGAGCTCCTAAGGTTGGATGATGTCCCTGTTAAAATAAGCATCATATTTATTTGATTTAACCAAAATACATTTCAAAATCTTCTCCTTCTGGTGCTCTACATTTTGAACTACAGGGAGACCCACATGTGAGCTCCACCCTTGTCATATAACCGGTTCTAGTCTATGCCACGCTCCCGGTCAGTACCTCACCGACAGGCTCACTTGGGCTCATCTGACCAAGCACCTCACAGGCTTCTGACGAAGTTTGCGAGAGTCGACCCGGCCCCCTTAGCTCACTAGCGGGAGGTCTACGAGGGGTCTGGTACTAAAAACGAAATAATTTTTTGTGCTAGACCGCTCGAAGATCTCAAGCGGGTCTCTGGAACAGGGTAACATGTTCCACTTGTGACAGGTGTCCTGCACACTGCTAACATCAGCAATGTTCAAAGCCTCTTGGGCGGAGATGTACCTCCAGAAATGGTAAATCTTTACCAGGCTAATTCGTCGAACAAGGAACAATTTCCTAACATCTGTGTAACCAGGCTGAGTCAAAGAAACCAGTGTGGCATGTTACTCACCTCGTCTTCCTGATAAAGCTTCTCGTTGTGTTCCCACGTGATGTAATTGACGCCCCTGTTAAAACGAAAAAAGGTCTTTAAAACAAAATTATATATAAGTGCAGTTACAAACATATTTCATGGTGATCTTACCTTAGCCTTGCTAAGTCACTGTAACACGCAGGGTCTTCGGTATTATACCTAAATACAAATCAATTTTGAGGTTTTTTAGGCATTTTTCTGTACTAGCAACGCTGGATCGTGAACACCAGTATAGGGCAGACTTTTTGTATGAGGGGCGAACACGTATTCTGAGCCTTTCCTTAATCAAATTTAATTTTAAGTACCTTATCATAAGGGCAGAACCTCCGAGTGAACACATGTAGCTGGCAGCCTGCAAAGTATTTTGGTGTTGCTCCTGATTAAGGGGTGGTGTTAAACTTTCTAAGGCAATCAGAAAGCATAGCAAAGAGAAGCAGATACATTATGAAACTACTGTAGATTGAAACTCATTTGAAAATTGCTTGACACAAACACTTTAACATAGGGAGCAGAGTAACAGTCACTTTTGATTTAGTTGCAAAAATTGGTATTTCCACAAGGGAACATCAACAGGTTTTATGGACAGCGATTGCATGTACATTATGTTGCGCTACGTACAGTTCAAAAAGTACTGCCCAGTCCGGTAAAAACAGCGCATGCGCGAGACCTGCCCCATGTATTCCAATAAATATGTCGGAATTGTGCGTTATCTGAAAAAATAAACAAACAAACAAACAAACAACAAAACTATCGTGATGATAATAACGAGAATGACGATGATGATGACGATGAAGAAAATGATAAAGATGATTATCATGATGACAACAATTGGGAGAGTGATAATGAAGATTTTTTCAATCTACTAGTATTTGTGAAGTTCTTAGATTCTTCTCAGTAGTAGCTTTTCTGCCTTTAGGCTCATAATTTACTACATCTGTAGCTCATCCAAGTTTATGTGGCTTAAAATGATGAGGACTATTGCCTCTCCCCCAGAATGGGGTGGCAGTCTATCACAGGTTACTTTTACAGTTTAACAATATTCATTTACACTGCAGTTGGAGAGAGAAATGTAACTGATAAAACTTAAAGTTCACACACCTTTAATTGTTCCAAGAATGGAATTTTCCTACAAGGAAAAAAACCCAGCAAAACAAATTGTTACTTAAATGTAATCATAGTATTAAACTATGCTAGAGAAAAATGGCAATTATGACAATTTAGTTGAAGTATCTTACCAAGTGTAATCAACAATGTTCACTTTAAACATTGGAACATTCATCATTGCACCCACAAGCTGCATGTTGGAAACAATACAAATTGTGAAACAAAAATAAATTCTAAATACTTTTTAACAGGAGTCAACCTAAAACTTTTACAAGTATTAGTTCCAGTGCTCTACCAACTGTGCTTTATGAGACTTTTGTTTACAAGGCTGCTCTTCTAGGATCACTTGTATTAACAACTGAACTGATAAAATGGATAATATATATGAAAAGTGAAGAAATGTTCATAGTAGGTCATTAGTGCTCAGCAAAAAATTCCATATCAAGATATAAGCAGTAAGTGGTCCCTGTACAATTAATAACATGATCCTTATAGCAAGCATTTACTTGGAAAGTAGCAGTGTTACAGCACAAGTATTCCAGAAAAACAAGTTCAATTCCTTCATACCTCATCTCTATTTAGAATTCTGCGATACTTTGTGCTTCGATCCAACAGTGTTATTCTAAATTCATCTTCCTAAAAAATTGAAAATGAACATTGAATCAATAAATCATAAAAAACACAAAATAAACAAAATAGTGTCAAATAATTCAAAATTGGATAAAAAAAAATGCCCAGGTAAATAAACCTCTAGATTACCTGATTTAATTTAAATGCATGCACAGCTTACTCACTCTATGATTGTCTTGTATTACACCGAGGCGATGTAGCATATGCTCTGAAAAAGCTTTAAAAAGACCACTTCCAACACAACTTGGAACCTGTAAGATTGTTAAACATATCTGTTGTAAATGTTAACGGTGAATAGTTTAGAGTCGTGTAAATATTAGCTTTAAAGTATTTTAATTATTGTAGGTTTATTTTACCAATGGCATGTTGTAGTATAGCCCACGAATCATTCTTGGGTTGAATGAAAACACAGCATCTTTGAAACAAACCTATGAAAAAAAAAAACATTGACACCTGGCAGTCAATATAAACCCCTTAACTACCATGAGTGACCAAGACAGAATTTTTTCTTACAGGACCAATACAATACCAAGCAGACAAGTGACAAGAATAAAAAAGAATATTAACTAGGGGGTTATTAGGTGATCCAATACCAAATTCTACAAACTAACACCACAAGAATTATATGGCAGACAGTAAGGAGAATTACTAATAAGATCTTGGGAGTTGAAGGGTTAAGTCAATTTCCTCTCTTACATGTCATGTTAAAATGTTACTTGCTTGTTCTTCAATTTCATGTTATATCATACTCACCCGTTTTCCAGCATATTCACTTAACCGTATAATGCGATGCTGGGTAAATGCCTTCCATGTTTCAGAGAAGAGATCGCGGTATGTAAGAGAACTCTAAAACAACAAGATCATACAAGGGAAATTAACATTGCTCTTTTTAGAAAGGGCCTGCATGCACTCAGATTTTAGTTAATTTTTATCTAAAGTATGTGTTTTGTATTGTATCAGAATTTATCAAAAGGTGTGGTTACAAATACAATACAAATAATGTCTTACTGTGTCCCACATGAGAATATTGATATCAGTGCTAAGACTTCCATTCATGTGCTGAGTTACATAAAGGTTCACAAAGTCACAAAAATGATGATACAAGTTGATACCTGAAATCATCAAATAAAAACAATTTCACCCAAATATCAAAGCTAATGAAACTGGTATTTAAGTATAATTAAGTGTGCTGACTATCAGTTGACCATTTCACTCCCACAGGTGATTTACATGTAACTTCTCCCCATAGCATTCAACATTATCCAGCAAACAGGTAATGAGAATACTTAAACTTATCAAGTTAAAGTTATCTTGATCTAACATCAAATTCTTGTATCTAATTCAAAAGGAAATGTCTAGCAGCTACAGGGGAGAATTGACAATCAGATCTTGGTAGTTTAAGGGTTAGACAACATCATAGTAAAGGATTTAAATCCTGGAGCTTTTTTCTTGAATGGCAAAGACTATTAATCTTTAATTAGAAGAGTTAAACTAACTCAATTATACATAAACTATCTTTTAAGGATCAGGATCTTCAGTGAATATACCAGTAGAGTTAACAGCAGTCTATAAACTCACTGTAAGTCCATGATAAGCTACAGTTTGCTTTCTGAAGCACAAAATTTACATTTCATAGTTAATACATAACTGCACAGTCTAGAGTGGCATGATTACTGTAACAGATTCAACGCAATGTGTACCTGCATCCAATTTCATAAAAACAGTTGGTCTATTCACTATAACATCACAAAGTCCAGCCTGTAAGGGTTTAACAGAAAGTGATGTATAGTGCTCTAGTTCAGCAAACCTGTAGAGTTAAACAAAAAATTTAACAGTGATCAACTCTTTAACTCTCAGAAGTGATTAACATGTAATTTCTCCATATAATATCCAGACATCATTCAGCAGACAGGTAATGAGAAAACTCAAACTAATCAGGGAGAAGTTGTTATCTTGATCTAACACTGAATTATTGTCACCAATTTATTAGGAAATAATTAGTGGCTAGAGGGGAGAATGAACAACCAGATCTTGAGAGGTAAAGGGTTCACAATAAATGCAATTCTACCACAACCTGGTTTTCCTTTACTCACCATGACTGCAGAGGACTTTTGTTTTCATTCTGATTCTTGTGTAAGTCTTTCTTAAAATGACAGTGACCTCCAACCTCCCCCTCTTTCAACACATCTTCGCGAAACCTGAATCATCATACAAAACAATAGTAAAAAATTGGTTTGTCATAACTCAATCTTTAGTGGTCCATACGAAAAATTCAAGGTTATCTTCATCTAAAGGGGCAAAGATACTAAAAATATAGAGATCATTATTTGACCTGTCTATGATAATGAAGTTGTGAATTGAACCTCAATGGTAAGCTGTAACAAACCTGTCATTGGTAGCATCTGGGTTAAAATTTTTTAAATCAAAATATATGTTTGTTGCATGGCAGTACCACAGATTAGCAGTGCAGGTCAATGATGAATCTCCCTATAAATCAATTATGATAAACATAAATAATGGTGATAAATAGTTAAATTAAAGTCAAAGACTTCCCTGTAATGTTTTACCAAAAACAAAAATACATTCAAGTTATACTTCTACTAAACCTTAATCAATTTTGAAGCAAAACTTTGTGATGTACTAATTTAATTGAACCCATACCAGCTCCTTAGGCTGACACAATTCCATGACTTGACTTTTCATTTTCTTGATGTAACCAAAGTCTCCTTGTTCCCAAAACAACTGGACTTGATCCTCCATAGTTTTAGCCCTTAATTAAAACAATTGTACAACGTTACAAGTGAATAAGCTGCAATATATTAAAAAAAAGATCATTTGATCTAGAGTACTTCCCAAAAGGATAAATATTGAGTAAAGTCAAAACTATAGCATGCAGTCATTCTATTCAATATGACCACTTCCAGAGACTTTAGCCCTTTACACCCAAAACATCATTATGTATATTCTCTATACAGTTCTCTATATATTTCTTAAGGTGCTGACAAAGAGAATTTGTTTAACAGTAACAAATATCTTCAGTTGTTGATCATTTCCTTTATTCTCATGACCTTAATGTTTGATTCAGAAGTGACATTGTAGGGAGAAATTAGATGTTAGTCTGATTCTTAGGGTTAAAAGGGTTAAGTTTGAAGATCTTCAAAGATAATCAAAGTAACCCAGGCTGTATAGACAACTACTTGGGAAGATGATCCACAAAGAATTTCAGAATTTGAGCTCTTCAGTTCATGTAGATGAATTTTGTTTTTCTTTGATATCAGTTGGAAAGATATTGTTTTTATATCCTAGGAAGCTTGTGCAGAAATTTCCAATTTATCTCCAACAAATTGTTCTTTTCAAATCCACAACTTATTTTGAACAACCGAGAAAGACAGTTGGGAGACAAACACCCTGAACTGACTCACTCCTCAAGAACTGACTAAAAGTTATATTTACCCTAGTGACATTCAATATCAAAATTATGTACTTATACTTACCAAGACTGATGAAGATGAATACAGTGTGGCTTGGAAAACTGATTCAGTGGATTACAATCATCTTCATATCCCCAACATGGCATGTTTTCTCCATCCTTAGAATAAAATTTCAGTTACATTTAGTATTAATATATAAAATACTTGCTTAATATACAAAACACTTTCTTAACACTTGTTTCCTGGTTAATGAAATTCAGCTCAACAAGAATTTCTAGAGAACAAATTATCATTTCATATAGAACTTAGGGGAACTTCAAATAGGATCAAAGGCACTGCTTGCATTGCTGGAAAATGCAAACAACAACAACAACAAAAAACCCAAAACGAACACGGTTTTGGCTTTATATCTGATAGGTGAGAAAAATTGCCAATAGAGTAGCGCCCATGCAATATACTTTGGACGTCCGATTTAAAATTGCTTGTATACATAATTGCGATGACATCTGAAGAGTAAGCTATGGTTGGCCACAGGCTAGTAACTCATACAGTTAAATCTTCATCACACGTACATCACACTCAGTTGGGCAACTTTTTTAGCTAAATATTTACCTGGCAAGCTCCATTGCTGCAGAGTCCCATTTTACCGGCTTTCTTCCTCAGAAAATAAGGAATATGGCTTGGTGGAACATTAACATTTCGGAGATCCCAGACGGAAGCAACTTTACTGAAGTCCATAAATAGCATGAACATCACAAGTGCTGTGACAGAGGCCTTCATTCTGATACAAGGTGACAAAAAGTGGAGCAAATTTAGGTATATTTTCAATGTAACCTAGCCAGACATCTTTTCAGACATTTTGGTTGTGTCCTCGTGTACCGGTACACAAAGGAACGAAACATTAACGAACTGCGTCACAACTCCATGTGTGGATATGAAAACAATAGGAATTCCCCTGTGTACCGGTACACCAGGACAGCCCCGACATTTTGCTGCCCTGCAGAAGCACTATTTTACACTGCATTTTATATAGAAGGCCGATTATTCTAGGTCGAGGTCCAGTTTCAGCCCGTTTCCAAAACAATCGAAGACTGGAAAACGGTGGAGGGCTGTGAGCAGAATTTTCAATAAAAATCCGCATTCTAGATACCGCAAGAAATATTGTCCAATATCGCTATACCACAAACCCTACTGTCCCCCCTACTTTACGGCATTTGATTTTCCTTCATGAATTTACTCCCCCAAAATAGGTATAGGTATATTTTCAATGTAACCTAGCCAGGTATCTTTTCAGACTTTTTGCTGCCCTGCAGAAGCACTATTTTACACTGCATTTTATATAGAAGGCTGATTATTTTAGCCCCTATTGTTTATAAGCAACGGACGAAGTTACTCACTCTATTAAGTGTATTCTTCAGATGTGTATTCCTCACATTTCGTATTGTTCAAAGGAGGAAAACTGGAATCTAGCTTGCCATCTAGGCGCGAAATTTCTTATTCATGTGATATGCAGTTGAATTATCACGCAATAATAATTCCATTTTATTTTTTAGAAGTTAAAACGCTCTGGTTATCCAGTAAGGTCCATATGAGTCGAGAAGTGAGAGGAATTATGTTGAAACTTCTGACGAAGTGTTATCTTTAATACACCCACCCGCAAACAAATCAGATGGAGCCGAGAGGAATTGAGAGATGTTTTAGGTTTACTTTACAATGACTGAAATATTTCCCCTTCCTTTCAGGGAAAGGGTAGAGAAATTTATCAGGCCTTCGAGAAAAAACCATGAAAACTCATCGACTGTTCCAAATGTTAAGTGATGATTTGATTTTGGAATAATATACCTTCGCGAGGACAGAACTCGATATCGTCCCGAAACCACTCCTCGGTACGTCACGTTTCGGGAAAAAGGACACAGAAATAACAATTAAAACTCGCATGACGGATTCGAGAATCTTCATGCTGTTTGAAGTCCAGTTTCAGCCCGTTTCCAAAACAAACGAAGACCGGAAAACGGTGGAGGGCTGTGAGCAGAATTTTCAATAAAAATCCGCATTCCAGATACCGCAAGAAATATTGTCCAATATCGCTATACCACAAACCCTACTGTCCCCCTTACTTTACGGCATTTGATTTTCCTTCATGAATTTACTCCCCCAAAATAGGTATAGGTATATTTTTAATGTAACCTAGCCAGGTATCTTTTCAGACTTTTTGCTGCCCTGCAGAAGCACTGCATTTTATATAGAAGGCTGATTATTTTAGCCCCCTATTGTTTATAAGCAACGGACGAAGTTACTCACTCTATTAAGTGTATTCTTCAGATGTGTATTCCTCACATTTCGCATTGTTCAAAGGGGGAAAACTGGAATCTAGCTTGCCATCTAGGCGCGAAATTTCTTATTCATGTGATATGCAGTTGAATTATCACGCAATAATAATTCCATTTTATTTTTTAGAAGTTAAAACGCTCTGGTTATCCAGTAAGGTCCATATGAGTCGAGAAGTGAGAGGAATTATGTTGAAACTTCTGACGAAGTGTTATCTTTAATACACCCACCCGCAAACAAATCAGATGGAGCCGAGAGGAATTGAGAGATGTTTTAGGTTTACTTTACAATGACTGAAATATTTCCCCTTCCTTTCGGGGAAAGGGTAGGAGGGCTGTGAGCATAATTTTCAATAAAAATCCGCATTCCAGATACCGCAAGAAATATTGTCCAATATCACAATATCACAACCCCACTGTCCTCCCTACTTTACGGCATTTGATTTTACTTCATGGAATTACTCCCCCAAAATGACTAAATAAGTTGCTTTATTTGAGCAGGTATTGTAAGCTGGTAACGAAATTCCTGCTTGCAGACCAAGTGCCGTTTGCCCCGATAACTATTGCGTGACTACAGGTTGAATGACTTTTAAAAATGGCGAATACATATTCGACAAGTTTTGCTTCAAAATAAGCACAGAAAATAGTATAATCAAAGACGATCTTTGACTACAATATCATTTTTATTCTCGTATTTAGACAACTAGATTTTATCATAGATGAAAATTTGGACAACAATTAAGGGATGCACTGATAACATGAGTGACATTCGGTGATTTGTACGTGCAAGGGTACAGAGCTAACGGGGACGTTTAAAAGCGTTCCTAAAACAAGAAGAAAAAAAAAAGGGAAAAGAATTATTTGACTTAATTACGTCATTGACTTTCTACCGTGGACAGGTTCACCTGAAAAAAATAGACGTATCTTTAACGTTAATGATTTAGCAGACTCAGCAGGAAGCTGAAACGATCTCATTTCATTTCATTAATTTAAATAATTCAATACCATTATGCTGCATTATAATTTTCGTTCTTCTAGAATGGAGTACTAATACCAAGATAAACCACTGCCTAAAAGGTTAAAAATAAAAAACGTTTGCTCCCTAAGGACTGATTCGTTCGAAACAAATCCCGAGGTGAAACGAATTATCATGTATCGAAACACAACAGTAGAGGTTCGCTCCGCTACTTCGTCAACCATCTACCGTATGGCACTAAATGATGACATTCGTTGTATTCGAAATAGTTAAAAATCGAGCAAAGTATTTTAAAATTTGGTATCCGTTTGAACAGTTCTCAGTCAATCTTGCTATTGGTGTTCCACTGTAAACAGCTTTAAAGGCAGGACAACAAACACTGCTTATGTTAGTTAGCTTGACTTGCGATTTTTTGAATCTGGAACAGTTTGAAAGTAAAAATCAAAGTTAATTAAATCAGTCTTGAAGTAGAACAGTGAAGTATAACCACTCATTCTGACGGTTCAGCGTGGAGGCGGGTATGGGTGATTACCGTGGGGTGGATGGCGAGGTCCTAATAGGCCTCCTAGAACTCCATGCACCACAGCACCAAGGCCACCATCAGGTGGAGGAGGTGGGGCCGTGCCAGTTGGATACGGTGGAGGACCCACTCCAGGACCAGGATATGCATAAGGATTTCCCATTCCTCCAAAAGGTGCTGATCCAGGGTAAGGTGAGCCTCCTGGCACTGGTGGTGGGTAGGCTCCAGGTTGGGGTGTTGGCATCCCAGGGAAACCCGGGGCCGGAAACCCCGCACCCGGAAACCCCGCACCCGGGCATGGCCCTGGTTGAGGTGGAAATCCCGGTTGCCGACGATTCATAAGAATTTCCTTCGCTCTCCTTTTTTCATCTGGAAATTTAAAAGCGCTGTCCAGTGCTGATAAGTCATTGTCGGTGATGTGGGGCGAGATCGCTTCCATAGCTTTCATTCTGCGATCTTTGAAGTCGAAAGCACGGAGTATAGATGCAGCTTGAGAACATGTAATGCTGTAAATGCGGGGAGCACAAGCATCAAGAGCATCCGACTTCGCATCATCGAACGTAAATTCGGCAATAAGTAGAGCGACTTGTTCGCCAGATAGATATCCATAAGCACAAGACAGGCTCGATTTCAGTGCCTCTACCTTACGATCCTTGAAATGTTGTTCTTTAACAGCCCGCCTGATGTTTTCAAAGCTGCCTGGATCCATGTTATGTCCTCCTCTCAGCGACTGTGACTTACTAATGGTGCATATGATCACGTTTCGAAATAGGTTCGCGACCTTGTTGATCACGTGACAAGCACACCTTACTATGTGTTGCGTGACTAGCCTACGTGTAGCCGCACCCTCCCCTGCAGGGTGAAAAGGAGGCGAGGGAACCCTACCTTCCGTTTCACTTTGGCGGGGGAGGGTACGGCTACACGTAGGCTATTGTGTGACAGGAGTGTTACGTGCTTCACGCGTGGATAAAACACTCGGCTGCTATTACGAGAGAGTTACAGTTATTGAAGAGTCAGATTCAGCGCTGAGGAGGAAGTTTCAATTTTGTATGCAAGAAAGAACATTAAGCATACGACAGCCTATCATGCTATGCTTTAAGGCCTTAGTCGATCAGTCAGTGAAAACTGTAGCGATAAAAACGGTTGAGCGACTGAATATAATACAGGTAAAGAGGAATGCGGATGTGGGTTGGGTTTCGTTTAATTGTGTCCTTCCGTTTCGCTTCGAGTTGCATACTGTTAGATGAGCAGAAATTGGGCATCATTTGGTTTTGGCCATTTCGAAACCGGGTTTCACCAACATTTTCGGTTTTAATGACTGATTGTCAATGAAGAAAGCTGTTTTACCGTCCAATCTCTGGGTCTTTTCACTTTTTGTGCGATTTTCAGTGCGGCGTTTCATTTGTGATGGAAATTTTGTCAGTTTTGCGGTTTTTCGATGGCTTGGAATTCTGACTTTCCTGATTACCTGTGAATATTGTCTAGACGTAATGGATACCCAAAGTATACCTACTGGGCCATAGCATGAAAAAAAGAGGAAGAACAATTCCACACACGAAAAGCAAGTCATTCAGCCAATATTTTTAATAGTCTGTAGTTCTAACAGTTATCACTGAACCGTGGCTGCATCAGTTAACTGTAAGCAATAGGAGTAATCGTGAATCCTTACTCTCTGGAAGAAAACTTAGAAAACTTTCGATCCTCTCTAAATATCGACTCCGAGATTAGGTGGACCTACAAAAAATATTTCTTCAACTTGGAACAGAATATTAAGACATTTAAGAACTACAGAGGTTATGTCGCACACATGACATCACGCTTTCGGTGTTTAACTGATAACTAATTACATCGAACTGTTTCAAGTTTAAAAATGTGGAGAAATGCTTTTATGCTTTTAAATTGGAACACAACGTCTTATTTTCTTAACTTAAAATATTTTAGAAACAACATTTTACAGCGTTGGATTTCGGAAACTACTTTTTTTATAAGGCATCCACAATATATATAGCTGACTAAATTCATCTGATATATTGAATAAATATATAAAAATTATAATAACAGAATTTTTTTTTACTACTCTATCAGTAATACCAAGCTGTACAACTCTTAATTAAGCGGAATATCATTATTTTGCTCTACTCTTTTTTTTTTCCCTGTCTTCTAAAGAGGGGGCTATGACCTACAAGATTCTCAAATGACACTGTAATCCACTAAAACCCAGCTAAACGGAGTTAAGGAGTTGCCCCGGCAGGAGACAAAAGCTGATTCATTTCTAAAAGAAATACGTGATCAAGGATATGGCAACGCACCGGGTATTTCATTGTACTTAAATTTAAAATTATTCTCACGATCCTAAACATAATAAATAAAGCTTTGTCTGAATTTTTCTCAATATGATTATGCCTACCTATTTCTTTCGGCCGAAAGAAAAGATAGAGGCCGATTTGGGTTTTAGCTCATTATGAAGTCGATAATAACTAGCTACCTCCATATATTTAAATATTAAATATTGGGCTTAATTGGGCCAATTAGGCAATGAATTGCAAAATTGAAAACCAAACTGTAATTTACCGTCGATGATAGTTCTTTCCGATTTTCTTAATTTCTATTTTGATTGAAAATTAAGCTCGAAAATCACCCTCATCTGGGATGTGATCGTGAGTTTACCAAAAAGTAATCTCTCTCTCATGAAACGTTCCCATGTAAACTCGAAATCGACTCAGGTACACAATATATACATAAAGAACCATCGTTCTATAGATCCTAACACGTTCATTTAGCACTTCAAAATTCCTAACAAAGAATGCTGCAAGAGCGCTGTAGAAAAGAATCTAAAGGGCTTGAAAAAGTGCATTGAAGAAACAAGTAGTGCGACATAATCCACCCTACGTTTTTGATTTTCTTCGTCTTGTTTTCTGTTTTGTTTTGTTTTGTTTTTTCAGGATTAGCGCTTACCCTCTAGAGGCAACAGTTTCGGTGACAAAGACAACTTACGAGCACTAGAAGAAGGGACGATCGGTGACACTGTCACACAAGTCGACATCAATTCCAAAAATTTTGCATGCATCTGCCAGTAATCCATATCCCTCCAGGATTTCTGTTTCGGTTTGTCGAGACACTGTTTTTTGTTGTCTATAACTAGTATGCAAAATTTCCCTAAGCGAAGCGACTTACCCTCCTTTAGAAAGAACATCAAATAGGAGACGCGCCTAAGTTCACAAACCTATACCCTTCAGAAGAATCAATCAACGGAAACGAGAAGACTCTAAAACCAGAAATCCGAGGTGCCCGGCACTTAGAAGCTCTCATAAAAGTAAATTTATACCAAAAGACAAAAGGCAACTGTTTGTCGCCTGTAGCATCCAGGGTCTGTCATGGAACAGCCCTATTTAAGGTAGCGTATTTGAGAAATAGTAATGTGATATTCAAAATTTTATGTATAATATTGGCGAACGAATCTAATGTTAAAACGTCAAAGAGTTTGAGATGATATTGTTCATTATACTCTCGATTCTGACCGTTCCAATCAACGGCGAGAAGAACAATTCCTCTGCAGCTCGCTGCGTGAGAACCCGAGTAGCTGGCAGCCGTAAAAGTATCTTTGCAAACCGTTCAGGATTGCTTGGGCGCTGTTTTTCAACATAAAGTTTAAGGGCGCAATGAGCCTTTTCTTGAAGTCTTTCAACTTGTTTAGGATTTTTTAAACTTGAACAGTCTGTGAAAGAGACAAAGAGAACATGTGCATTAGATTGACTTAGAGATAAGATAATCAAATCAAACTAATCAAAGGGATAGGAAATTTAATAAACTATCAATAATTCAATCTACTCAAGAAATAGAAAATTGTTCACTTGATTGCAATTATCGTCTCCAAAGACCCGAACTAACGGGAATATAACATGATATACTCTTGAACTCATCCCGCAGATTTCCACATATTGTGTTACGCTTTCTTTACTACTCAGATTCTAAAACCAAGTAACACTCAAAATGGCAAATCATTCATTACAGCAATACATGAGTAAATTCAACATGGAAATTAGTGTTATAAGTCATGTAGGAAGAATCTGGCATGACATGTGTCTTATTAAGATTCAGTGATTGAGACACAAACTACACAACACAGCGAGGCTCTCCAGTTTTGTTGTTTGGTATGACTTTTGTTACGATCACATTTACACTTTGATGAAGTTAGAAGTATTTGGCATACCTGCATTGAAAAGTACTATTGTCTTCAGGAATGCATACTCCACAGAATCCAACTCAAGCTTTTCAAGACTAAACAAGAGGTCCTTTACACTCATAATCTTCTCAACCATGTTTGGTTCTTTAGTTTGCACAGGAGACTTTCGATCTCCACCTCCTTCACTTTGTTCCATGTGTGAAGCAGCAAGTGTCAATAATGGTGACAAGGGAAAAGAACTTGAACACTGTGCAACACCCAGCATAAAAAGATCTGACCATGTGCTTTGTAGTAACACAAGTTGATCATTATTATCAAGACTGCGAAAGGCTTGTATGCTACGTGCCCAATCGACTGTCAGGAATAGGAGACGAGTGGCTATTTCATAAACATACTCCATAGATAATGTAGAAACACCCAATGTTGGAGGATTCAATTTAAATTGAAGATGTTCAGGATTTAGAATGCAGTCATTCTGATCTGATGAGAGGAATTGAGAGAGAGACATTTGAGGTGTGCCATTCACTGGTGATGAGGCCAATGGGCTGTTTGGTGTAAAACATGGTGATTCTGTCTTTTCCAGAAAAACTGAATGCATTGATTGATTTGTAGGAGACAAACTTGCACTTCTTGTGTGGTTTTCCCCACTACTGTCCTCTGCAGACTTTATAAGTGGTTTTCTTTCACATTGCACAGCTGAGACAAATATAATAAGATTCAGTACATGTGGATATGTTTAATAACACATTTATAACATGTTCTCATCAAATATCAAAAGGGATCTAGAATACCTGACTACTCTTCTTAGGGCAAAGCTTTGAATGAAAAAACTTTGATGAAATATATAGGTGCAAATCATACACAAAAGTAAGAAGTGCATCTGGGACAACTTACATAGAGATAAAAATAAAATTTAAAAAAAAGTAAAGAAAAACCCAAAAAATTGTTTGTAAATTTTTTACATTTTCAAAAGCTTGCTTTAGTTACAGTAAAAAAAAGGCAACTTAAACTCAGATGCCTTTTTCTGCATGCAAACCATTCAGGATATGGCATTGTGTAATCATTAGTAAAGGATTCTAAAACTTCACATGGCAGTGCATGCATCATCTTCTCCTGAAGATAGTATCATTTGAAGCACAGTGACATACGTGCGTACGTGTTGTCTGCCAGAGTTTGTTATGTAATACAAGATCATGTTTTAAATTTAAAGCAGTTGACGTTACAGCAAGTTGAGGCTGTATATATTGGATATGCCTATGATATTCAAAAACTAGAATTACATACAGAAAAGATTTATAGCTGGGTGTCTCTAATGCTATACTTAGTTTCCTAGCCCCATGCATAGCAGAGCTAATTTCATTATTTGCATTTTCATCCTTGCTTTATTCTTTTTGCATTATGTAACTTAAATGTATTGCCCCTTAAGTGAACCATGAAAAGTAATCCTTCATTAAGCTAATCTTGAGTGCATGCCATAACATATAGCACGAGCACAACAGACCTGATGAGTGACAGTGATTATTATGAAATGTCCTTTTTTAAGCCAAATTACTAAGATGTAAGAATGTGTTTCGCTGAATTACATACGAGAAACAGGCTGATCAATCTAAACAACAGCTCTGCGAAAGAAGAAAATCCCACTGTGCATTATTGATAACGTTTGCTAACCAAATAGAAGTACACATGAAAATAAACATTATGGCTGTTGCCATAAGCAGAAAACATATTTAAAAATGTACGCGGTCCGTGTTGCACATATGACAGAACTGTTACATAATCAATGGTAGTCTGTATACAGGATTTTCACATAACAGAGTATGTGATCCAGTTTCACAGTAATGGATTTTGTATAAGGATCTGAAAGGATGCTTAGAACATTTGCGACCTCCCTAAACCACTCACTGGTACAACAAAGAAAAGTACAGTAACTTGCTTTTTTCCCCCCATCTCGTGCTGTTGGTGTTTACTTAGCACATGAGACTTCGTGACTCGCGCGCGCATCACTCACGCAAATAAAAAACGTGACCTCGAATTTTCTGCGTTGTTTAGCGTGTTTGGACACGTGAAGATGCAAATTCGCTCGACAAACAAGATCTAAAGTAAGAAAAAAAACAAGACGACCTGACAACTAACATGCTTCTTTGAAAATACTCTTATTTTTATGAAAATGACCTCTCTCGAGATAGCATCATGCAGAAAATCTTTTTTCTGGTTGTTTCTACGCGCGTTTTGCCAATAATACCTCACGCTAACACGTGTAATGTGTAAGGAAAACCCAAGGACCACGAGATGTAAAACATAGCCGAAGACCGCAAAATTCAAAATTTGGAACAAATCCTTGTACTTTTGCTCGGACTCTAACTGGTTGATTTCGAAGTCAAATGAATTTAATACCGCGCGAATACAACTAAAATCAGACTCCAGGAAGCTGAAAGAATCCGGTAGGTTAACGTCAAGAATTCTGTTCAATTCTAGACGAAGCTAATTCCCAAAAAATGGAATTGTGTATTCTTTCCAAAGCTTATTCCACACTTTAAAACTCCAAAAGAAAGAAATTACAATAACATTAACTAAATTATATTACCAATAGACCCTTGAGAGGCATTACTGTTGCATAAGTGATTTCTTGAAAAATTTGTCAATTTTTAAGGTCAACGTAATGTAAGTCCGACAAGCCACATTAACTCTGTACTTAAAACATTTCCTGCGATGTATTACCTTCTTTCTTCATACCCATGGTGAGGCATTTGTTCAGGCGACATCTCTGACACCTATTTCGGTGAATTTTATCTACTGGACAGGCGCCATTCCCTTGACAACTGTAATTTAAATTTTTCCTCACGCTTCTCTTGAAAAAGCCCTTACATCCTTCACAAGCTACAATGCCATAATGTTTCCCGGTCCCACGGTCTCCGCACACAAGGCAGTCTCCCCAAACTGGTTTTAAAGTTGTAGGTGAAAGCACCGGACTACGCTGAAAGAACTCAGCCCTGAACGAATCTACAATTCATACAAAAACAAAGTGAACGGCGCGCTACTGATGAAGCAGAATTTCTCAAGAACATCTGAAGAAAGAATCTCACAAATCTCACCACGGATTGGGAAAATTCACAAGTAACTTCACAGTTAAAGTTCAAATGATACTTTCCATCCCAAAGAATACATTATAACATGTTTCACATTCGTACACGCATTCACGAGTACGTGAGAAAATATTCAAGGAAATACTAGGTAGATCACATTCCAGTCATTATGACCAAGCATATTTCATGAAGGAAGAAATAAAAAATCTTGTCATTCACGTACCACATGTCTACATTAGGTCTATAATGTTTATATTTGGCAGACCAGCACGTTAGGAACATCAGTACACGAAATGAAAGCCAAAAACATCGTTCTTTGTGGTCGCCATAACTTACCGGTCATAGTTCACAGACTTACTGAAATCCAACTAAACACAGTTAAATTCGAGTTTTCAAATCCGCCGATATTCACAGCGTCGTTAAAGGACAGTGTTGAACGAAATGGGCGGATTGAAGAAGTAAACGTCCTAACATAACATCGGAGTAAATGCCTGTTCGGAAACTAAGTAGTCTCGCGTTTTGCCTTACATGTGCTGAGTTATCTCGCATTGCCCTTACAGAACACGCTTTTACCTTTCACTCTACTAAACACTTGAAGGTCAGCGAGAGGACAAAGGCTATTCCTCTAATTACTATCGAGTATTCTGATTGGCTAGTAAATAAAGAAAAAATTTGATTGCACCAATCATGAGAGACTTGAGATCTGGTCACAGTCGTAGTCACGACACTTTCTAATAGAGAAAACGTGAGAAAACACGTGTGTCGCAACACGCAAACCTTGCAAGGTAAATATGCGTGTGAACTCCATTACATAACATTGCATTTTAATTCACGTTTGTACATCATTGAAAGGTCGACATCCGTGTTATTTTGAAATATTTTAATTCCATTACTATGAATCTGAAGATTATTTCAGTAGCTGTCGTTCTGAAAGGTTTATTTCGTTGTCAAATCCAATTCGAATCCATCGGAGTCAACTGGTCACGCACTAATATTGGCTCTATACCTTACCCGGCTTTTCAGGTTTTGAACACTAAGCAAATCAGCTTTCAAAAATCTTTCAACTTGCAACGAAAGCTTTTCAAGTGTATTTTCCTTGAAGGGGAACAAAGAATAATTTTATCGACTCCTTAAAACATAATTCATTCTGTAAACTTCCTGACTCTACTATTGTGCTCGCCCAATGTCAAATGTAAGGGACTTTGACCTAGCAAGTGATTTAAATGGCACTAAGGGAGAGAGGGGAGAGGAAGGGTGGTGTTACAGTCAACGCGCTATGGATTAGCTATCAACACAAAAAAGAAACAAACGACGAAAATGAAATTTTTAACCAAAAAGTAAAAGAAACAAAACAAAAAGGTGAGACCTAATGCTGTTGCAACTTCCAATAACTATGACATCTGTCTTGTATCACGTGGACAAGACGTTTGGTGTGTCAGGAAACAAAACAAGTCAGTTACTCTTTTGTGTCAAGCTGTATTTACAGTCTACTGCGCAGCTGACCTTTGAGATGTCACGCTTTCCGTTGCGTGATATCCCGAGGAACGGCAGTGTTAGTGGCAACACTAAGGGTCGTTGTTTTAAGATTTTTTAAAGATAGGTCGAAAGGCAGAAGTCTTACTTCACTTGTACCAAATCTACAGCTTTGCCCCGGGATGCAAATCACGAGATGTAACTTGACATTCTGAAATAGTCTTGTCGCTTGGTCTTTGAAGTTGGCGGCGTTCTCCAGAAGTTTGCGTGAAACAAACGCACTTGGAGGTCTTTATACGGGGCGTTTAATCGTAGTCTTATGACGGTTTAGTTCGACGATATCTTAGGCTTAACTTTACAAATCTTTTCGTCATAATTTTGAGGGCTTCCTCAAGTTTCATCTTCATCTCTTTGTAATTTAAATATTTGTTCGAATTTCAAGATCATTTTAGGATATAATAGTTCCGTGTTGTCTCCCGTGGTGTTTAGACCGAGAGCGCCACGTGAAGGGAAAGGTGAGGTGCCACTGGCAAAACGAGTTTAATTTGGTTGTTTGGGAAAGCAAGAAGAACTACGAAAAATGTGAATAATAGGTCTACAGACATTCAATTCTTTCTCTATATCATTTTTTCAACAAGACTGTTAGGTCACCAAGAGCCTAAATTCATGTTTCTTCCATATTTCAAAACAGACAATTTGGGTTAGTGCGGGTAACATCTTTTAAATACATTTCGCTGTTTGCTGTCAGTCAAACTTGGAAATTTGGAGCTGCAATACTGTTGGTTCAGGGGAAGGGGTCCTGCGTACGGTTCACGCACATCAAAAAGTAGAAGTAACGCATCACGAAAAATCGGATAAACAACTTTAAAAAATTCACAGTTTAATGGGTTTTAATTTCGTATTTTACCTTGTCATGAAAATTAAGAAAGAAAACTTTATCCCAATAGCACGCAATAACCAGCGGGGAAGGTACGATGAGTTAGTGGGCGGAAAATAGTCAAGTGCTAATGAAAGGGCCATTTATCAAGAACTTTCCAAGCGTTCAAAGATAAAAAAAAAATCTAGAAGCAAATATAAAATTTTAAAAGTGATTGATTTAGCCGAACGGTTCGGATTCTATTTATAACTGGACCAGTCTAGTCAGTCAGTTCTGAGTAACGGCAAGTTCCCCTAAACCCCTTAGGATTATGCGTGGAATGATCACGATGATATTACACAGATAGTTTTTGCGGAATGTGCGTATGATTTCCGACGACAGAGATGAAACCCGCAATATTTGCCAGCACTATGACTTCGGCTGCCGTTCTTGAGCGGCTTCGTGACCCACATGCAGGCCACAACATGATATGACAACACAGTCAACATCACAGAACTTGAGGACAATCGGAGGTACGATACACAAAGGCTTGATAACCAGCCAGCCACTTTACGAGAAATGTGCCCACGCTCCTGTTCTGTAGAACGAACCCGAGAAAACGGCGGAAATCGAGGCATGGTAACACAGAGTACTCAGTCATTGACGTTAACCACTGAGTACTAATACTCGGTTTGCTGGCTAGCCAAAGTTTCCTGGTCCCTGTTGTCTGTCAGACTTAAGCATCGTAAACAGAGCAATACAATTCCTGATTTTGTCCTCTGTGCGAATTGGGAACCTACAGACGTACATCCGCTTGGTTCTCGATCTTCAGCACACTGGGTGATTCCCAAGTCTTCTATAGTTCCACATCGCAATTTTCACAGAGATGAAGCCTTTAAAACGCCTCCTTTATGTTCTTCCTGAGACTTCACCAAACAGCACTCTATTCTTTAACTTTCATTTGAGTAAGCTTAGCTCGCATTCTGTTTCTTCGACGGCAGAAAATATTTCGGTGTTGACATGTGATAGTGATGTCGCCAAGCAGAATAATGTCCTTTATAGAACGCACCAAATCTGTAGAGGAAACAAAAGAGTTAATTCTAAAGAGCGAAAATGTCAGTTAAAGGTGGATTTTGTTACACTACAAGCAAATTCGCCATCATCTTTAGTGTTCTCCCTTATTTTACGCATGACAGGCAAACTAAATTTTCAAACCGGTAAAGCGATCTTTTCACCTGTTGAATTTTCAAGAATTCCAAGCAATTTTAAACGGTAATAAGAGGTACTACAGGTGGTAAATGTTACCGGTTACGGCCTGAAAGGAGAACACTGCATCTCCAAAGGATGAGTTATGAAGACCAAAAGTACGTGTCGTTTGGACGTTTTTGGCTCAAAAGCTATCGTTGCCTTTTGTTTGTAGACATACTAAATTCAGACTGCAGGAGAAGTTATGGACTGCAATTTGTCTAGTCCTCTAGCTAGAGACAACTAAACTAAAACACAATTTATTTTACCCTTACGTCTGAGTGCAGTAGAGGTTTTCGCCAACGAGCAGACCCTCGTTGTTAGCGCTTCAGCATGACGAGCGTTTCTCCGCTTGTGGGAAAGTAAAGAGAATTAAGAAACGCGATCCGGCGAGAGTTTTGCTTGTGGTATAGCACTGTTAATGTTAATACCAGACCCCCGGCAAACCTCTCCTCGACTCATCTCCAATCTTCCCTCGAGCAGAGAAGCGCGCGTCCTGCAGCGCTCATAATAGGGAGGCCCTGATCGCTGGTTAGGCGTTATTACCTGTTAGGAAATCTTATGTTCTCCGGGACATCTTTAGGACTCGTTGTAAGGATTTCATTATCCTGGTATGTCGTCCCTGCTGGAGGAATACGGAACTTGGCCATTTGCACCTCGGTGTCGCTTAGTCCCCCGTGGGAAATTCGCGCATATCCTAGTCGTACGAGCCCGCGGTACATAATATACTCGCACCAGCGGTCAGAATCTGTTGCATCGATGTCCTGTCAGAGCGAAAAAGGTCAGAACTAAGCTAAGAAGGCAAAAGAACACTTCAACAATTCCATGCTCGTCGTGTTACTTGTTTACTCTGCAGCTATTTGCATGATGTTCACTGCGAAAAGGCTAACGCTTTTCACCATAAAGACATAAGTCAAGCTTATTCCTGAAGGGATAAACTGCTCGGCGTTCTCGCCAGTGCTAGTCAATTAAAACGAAAAAAAACTTCTCGAGTTAACTGGTAAACTTCAGCTATCTATATACCTATCTATAAGAAGCGTACGTGCTGTCACACTGAATTTTTCATTCCTGAGTTTCACATATTTTGTTACTGACACAAACAAATGGTAATTGGACTCAGTGTCGTATAATTTTGGGGTAATCGTGCTCGTAATTTTCAAATCACTTCCTCGAATGGAATTATCACAAACAAAACTCTTTCTCACCTTCGTTCGTCCCATCTCCGTCAGCATGCGGTAATCACGACTGCGAGGTGATGACGTCACATATCCCAGAAACACCACTGGGTTGAGACTGCAAGATATAAGGATCGTGAGATTTGGTGTGACTTACCACAGGCAGACCACACTATACGTTCGTGGTTAATTATTGTTGACACGAGACGAACAAAATATATGGGGCTCATGAATAAAGCTCTGAAATTGCATATCTAAATTACATCTAGGTCTGAATATCTCAATACAATTAAATGAAATGTTAATCGATGCATTTGTGGTATTTTCTCGCCTTCATGGGCCGTTTGAAGCGTCTTTTTGCGAAATTACTTTTGGCTAGTGGCCGTTAACCCTACAACTCCCAAGATCTCATAGGTAATTCTCCTTACCGTCTGCCATACAGTTCTTGTTATGTTAGTTTGAAGAATTTGGTATTGGATCAACTAATAATCCCCTTATTAATATTTTTCTTTATTCTCATCACTTGTTTGTTTGATATTGTACTGATATTGTGATGAGAAATTCTGTCTTGGTCACTCATGGAAGTTAAAGGGTTAAGAGAAGAAAGGGAGACAGGGCTTGCAACTTGCCTGTGGGTGAATATGTTGACTGCTTGTGGTAAAATATGAAAACAATGATATAAAGAATACAGCTTTGAAGAAAGGGTTCGTTTACCTCTCATCTAAAATTCTGGCTAGCTCCTCAGCCTGAAGCTTTCTGTCCAAGTTATCCCTGTGATAGATTTTAAACACAACTCACAATCCCACAAAAATCTGATTAAAATATATAAATAGATACATAAGTTAAGGATCTTAACAATACTGACAAGGTTTGCTGATTTGTATTGACGGGACTAAAAACATCACAAGGTGGAATCCAAGGGTTACTAAAAAGTTGGTTTGACGCCGAATAAATATTCTGAGCAACACAACTTCTGAGCAAGCCATCATCATTTGCGCCTCGCCACAAACGTTTTTTTGGCCTATGGGAAAGTATAAAGCCAAGGGCGGAGGAAAGCGCGTCCCGCATAGCCTACATCTAGTCGTACCCTCCCTCTGCAAGGTGAGGGGCTTCCGTTTCACCTTGGAGAGAGGGTACGGCTACAAGTAGGCTAGTCCCGCAGCACTAATAATAAGAGCCAGCTCGCAGGCTTTTAGCCCTTTCCACCCTAACAACAGTATGAATATTCTCCATACTGTTCCCTATACACTACCCAAGGTGCTGATGAGGAGAATTTGTTTCATAATCCAAAGCTTCTCTAGTTGGTGACCATTTCCTTTATTCTCATGACCTTAATGTGTGATTTGGGGGTGATATTGTAAAGAGAAATTAGATGCTAATCTCTCTTAGGGGTTAAAGGGTTAGGCAATGACGCTGTTGAAAATCATTTTTACATCTTGCTCACCGATCGTTTCCCATGTGAACCAACACAAAATCTACCAGGTTACCAGTAATGTTAATAGTTGCACTCAAAGCTGGAGCCAGTTCTCCTAACAGAATACAGTAAAAGGGATTTAAAATAAGAAAAAGAGATCTGAATTAAATTGGTCTGTCTCTCTTTATGGTAATTCAGTTTAATGGATATGTTCCATGCATTGTCATGCATGCCATTTAGTAATTAGATTATAAGCTTGGAATTCTATTGCATAGGAATTGAGAGCAAGCAATTGAATATTTCATTATAAATCTACTTTTCCTTCAAAACTTCACAACAAGACAGGCTCAATGTCGGGGCTTCCCAGCTAATTCAGTGTCTATCACCAAATAAATGGTAAGTAGTATAGCCAATCAGATTGCAGAATTTGCGATAGAATGCTGGAAGATTTATACTAATCTTGGTGATGTTGTTCCTTAGTGGGAGGATCCCAGCGGATAAGGTAGACAGACTATTCAAAAATTTGTAGCATACGCATTCTCTGATAGAAATCAATCTTGTCTTATGTTAACCCAACCTAACTCAGCTAACACTGAATCAATTTTAAAGTCATCCAGTGTACAATGTCAACAATTTCTGCACTTGGAATGGATTTTTACCTTCTGGAGATGGAAGTAAGTGATGGAGAGATTTCACTATTGGGTACTTGGAGAGTAAGGTGGCACTAGAAACAAAGTTGACAAAGTCACTTTTAAGTTTGACACAAACACAGCAAAAAATCATCAATTGTTCCAGTTCACTTGTCCCATGGAATTGACATGGCTGACAAGTTGTTTAAGTTATTTACCCCCACGTGTGGTCCCTTGTGGATGGACCAAAATCTGAGTACATTCCCAGTCTCTCCTCAAACCACATGGCCAAGTCATGGTTTCCAAGATATGGCTTAGAACAGTCACTTTCCAAAAATCCAACTACATCAGCATCTGTACAGAAGACAAGGGCCAATTAAAAAGTACTAAGCAGAACAAGGAGTGAGATGATTGACCTCTGGAATTTTTTGTTCTGCTTTGCAGCTTAGAAGAGTTCATAAAGAAAATATGTTTGACTTAAGAACGACATTAAAACTAGCATGAAAACACAATGAAAAAATGTACTGTAACTACACAAATGAATGTGTGAATAAACGAATAACATACTAGTATCACTGATCATCTGTGCTGCTCTCTCAAAGCTTGGCCATCCAGTATTATCATATGCAAAATGAACAGTCCAGATCATAGCTGAGAACACATTGGCCTCTTCCTGCAGACAAAAAAAGGATTAAATTTTTTTGAAAGATTAATTTCTTGCGTAAATATTAACCCTTTAAACCCTAAGAGTGACTAGCATCTAATTTCTCATTACAATATCACCTCTGAATAACACATTTAGGTCATGAGAATGAAGGAAATGATTGCCAACAAAAGAAGCTTTTGATCAGTAAACAAATTCTCCTTGTCAGCACCTCAGGAAATGTATAAAGAACAGTATGGAGAATATACACAATGACATTAGGGTGTGAAAGGTTAGAAAAGAAACATTCACACTAGCCTCTGGACAAAAAGGAGAGAACATTGTTACAGAAAATCTGTTCAAATTTCCATCAAATAATGACAACAACAATAATAATAATGATAAAAACTATCAGACCTTATTAGGTTGAGAGTATTCCAATCTGTGAAATCTTACAGCCATCAGGATAACAGCTAACACAATAACACCAACTAGAACTAAAAAATACCAAAACAGAAAATAGAAAAAAAAACAGACTAGGATAAAAATACAAACAAGAAGCTACAATGCATGCTTAAAGAAAACACAAAACAGTTACTGTACTTTTCCAGTTTATACAAATTGATTTGAATTTGAAAATTTTCCTATCTAAAAGTGTAATCAATAATAATACTATTAATACTAATTGTAAAGTGCTACTGATCTGTCATTGTAAATAGTGCTCTATAAGAAATAAATTATTATTAAAATTATTATTATTTTATCAATAAGGTTTTTTTCTTGTACAGTTCCACAACTTTTGCATGATGAAAATTATTCTTAAAAAGAGAAAAAAGTTCATAATCTGCCTTATTTTTAAATTAAGAAAACTCCAAAATAATGATAATCATTACCTGGTATGACATGAGTCTTGAAGAACCAAAACTTATCACCATGTTCCTCAAGGAAGGCCACATTATTGAATTTTGTCACAGGAGATTTCTGCTCAGGAGCTAACTGACCATGGGAAGAGTTTTTATCATCCTTTTCATTTTCTTCTTTCTTCATTTTTCCATAAGCTTCTTTAACATCTGGAGTTGACTTTGTCCTCAAAGCAAGTCCTTAGGAGACAAGGGCAAACAGAAAAAGCATGTTATGCTTCATGGGGTGAATGTTGTGCCAGTTATATTTAAAAAGTTTCTAGTTCATTTTGTCCTAAAAAGGTTTATGTGTTTACAACTTGTGAGTCTGATTCTACATGTGAGATATCTTTTTTTTTAACCCTTTCACTCCCATGAGGAACCAACAAGCTCATTCTTGCTTCCATCATTAGATTGTCTAGGAAAAAAAGTGACAAGAAGCTGCAACATTGAAATCTTAGGAATAAAGCATTAGATACATGTATATTGAAAAATCTTGCATAGCTGTACTTACCAATTAAGACCATTGTGATACCCAACAGCACATGGGTCCTTTCCCTTGTAAATTCTCCTCCTGGAACAAAGTTATAGGCAACAACCCATACTGAGCCCAAAACAAGGATAATGTAAACCAGATTGGCCAGAGTCAGTGTACGCCCAACAGGTCGACAAAACAGTCTGTCAATCATAGTTGGCCAGATGGACATGGTGTAGATGGCGAGCAAGAGACCGCCAATCATTGACCAATACCGAGGAGCAAAGTAAAGTAATGCCGCGCCAGTAGATCCAATTAACCACCAGAACACATTGCTTGTCCACTGATAACGTGAAAGAATAACTCCTATGCCAAGAGCAATGATGACAGCTGCACTGATGATGAAGAAAAATAGTTATCACCTTTTTCATGTACTAGTGTAAAATATTTTTGGTCAATCAAATACAGTGTAGTTGGTTAGTCTGTTGGCTAGAGTCACTTTCTTGGCAGTGAACTTTGATCAATTGATTCTGTTAGTTATATAGTAGAACCTCCATTTATGGGACGCCCTTAGGACCAGGGAAAGTGTCCCTTAAATAGAAGTTGGGTTGGGGTTTGTTATAATTAAATCTCAAAAAAAATGATGTTGTTTTTTATTTTTTGGCTTTGAATGTGCTTTGATGTTGCTAAACTTTAATGTAGTTTAATTTGCATTTTAAAAAAAGTACAGTTATGGATGAAAATTTTCCTACCAAATAATAATAATTATTATTATACTTACCCCCAAGGGTTGGGTTTGGGTCCTGTATCTGGATAACCAGAAACAGCCCAGCGGCATACAAGTGACACTTCCCCAAAAACATCATGTGTAAGGAACATCAATGCACCAAATCCTAATGCCACTAAGAACCACCCTGGACCAGAGACCAAAGCATCTTGGGGCTCAATTGATGACTTGGATTGGGCCCCTGATTGAGTGGCCGACATCATGTAGCTAGTATAGACTCTATCCAATATGGCAATGACAGCAATGAGAAGAACAACCCTGTTGCTAGTGACATCAGACCAGATTGGGTTGACAGTGATGTATGCAATACGCAGTAACAACAGCAGAAACAAACCCAGGATAAGGCCCCAGAAGGAGAGCACCCTGAAATAAAATAATTGGCCATGAGATTTTTATCATGTTAACACATAACTGTTAAAGAATGAACTTTATAAGACTCTAACACCCAGATGCATCAACACAAGAAGATCAAGAGTGCTTTGTCTCACCTTTCCTTTGGATCTTTAGACCATATCATTCCACAGAACCACAGCATGCCTGTTCCACAGCCAACTGCCAACATTATCAATCTAACAAGAGTTGATGGGGCTTGGAAAGAAGCCACACCCACTAAAGAGAGAACTCGCCAAAAAGCTATTCCATGAATAGTACCAGAAAAGTGAAGCACTGCACTGATTCCAGTAAATATAGGTGAAAGAATTGTCACCACAAATGCTTCATAACCAGATATTTCAAGTTCATTCAGTGGATAAAACCAAATCATTGGGGCTATCCCATGGATAAGTGACCACCAGACATATCCTAAAGAATGAGAAATTTTGCAAGGATTGGTTGATAATGCAAACACCACAGCAGTAATGAATCTTACATGACTATGGACGAAAAGAGGAACTTTCTTCTTTTTATCCTATGTAATTTTTTCAATCCACGATATAAGAATTGCATGACCTCAAAAGGAAGCTACTTTCTATAGTTTATTTTTTAATTTTCATCCATGTTTTTTTTTTTCAATCAGGGAAATTGTTTTCACCCCGTTAGCCTTGATTTTAAAAGGAGGTACATACACTCAAATCTAAAGAAAAAGAGGTAAAATTTCCACACAGCCCCATACTACATTATGCATTCAGTTCTTGGACAGAGAAAACAATGACAAAAACAATACATTGCCACTGGGAAAACAGATTTGTTTTACAGTAGTATGGGGCTGTGCGGAAATTTTACCGAAAAAGATCCTTCTTCCTCGAGGAGAGGAATGTTGGCAAAAAAAAAAGGGTCTAATTCGCCTTTCGGCGAATTAGTCTTTAGGTCCACAAAACTCAAAACTGCTAATAGTCCTCCATGTGCTTTGCGCCTTTCAGCTGTGAGGATAGAGTGTTCTACTATTGAAAGGAGAACATTTAAGTGATGTTTTTTGGAACAATCATTATTTCGAAAGTGCTAATCCTAACCTAGGATCATTTCTGCTCCAAGTTCTCTTATCGTGTAGGTGAATTCGATAACTTCTTCAGCGCACTCTGCGGTTTCTTCGTCGATAAATTCGTCTTCTTCGCCCTCAGGGATATCTGTTTCATACTCCTCCACTTCTTCCCAAGGATCAGTAGCTCCTTCAACGAGACTTTGAGCTCTGTGACGAAGTTCTTTTCGCCGCCTTCTGAGGCTTCTTTGAGGACCTAACTTAGCAGAAGAGGCCTTGCAGGACGCCTCCTTGTCCGCCATGTTGGATTTGCGGAAATTAACTTTAAGATATTACCAGCGGATGTATTTAAACAAGAGACACTTCGTTCAGGGTACATGAATACTATAATGCGGTAAAACCACCTAAAACCACCTAAAACCACCTACAACCACCCACAACCATCTACAACCACCTCAAAAATTTCAACAACGACCTACAACCACCTCAAAAACATCTACAGCCACTCGCAAACTATCTAAAACCATCTAAAGCAAGGCATAAATGTCTTAAATAAGGCGAAACGACAACACGAGAATCGAACGAAACCTCCACCTCCCCCTGAAATCTTACTCTCCCCGGTCCCATGCATAATCAACCATCTCACGAAATGAAATGCGAGAGCATGCCAATTATATTTTTTATTACCTCAGTGGTAAAAGACCTAAAGAACTTTACAGGTGTAGATGTTTTTGAGGTGGTTGTAGATGGTTGTAGGTGGTTGTAGGTGGTAGTAAGTGGTTTTAGGTGGTTGTAGGTCATTCTATGTTTTAGTACTTAGGCCCATAATGCTCATAGTGCATTTCGGGATATGCCTTGGCGGGTTGCTGAACGATCGCAGTTCAGAACGCTTGTTGTTTTCCGCCTAACAGCGTTGGTAAAATTCCTAAAATACATAAGCTCCGGTGTAAATACTGTCATGGATTGAAGGTATACACAATCGAAAAAACCTTACTTCGGAATATTGTTTGTTTTCGTGGATTTCTGAGTGGATATCAGCATCTGAAGGGTTGACATATTACAATATAGTTACCACACGTGGAAGTCGTCTGATATATAGATTGTTTTCTTTTTTCTGCTGCCTCAGATTGCAGTCGAGACCCTTAGAAATGTTTGGATCTGCAAGTAATACACCTTTTGGTACCGGCAGTACCTTTGGAACAGGGACAAGTATGAAATTATTTTGCCCTATGTGTAATCTATAATGATGTTATTTGTTCAGATCGATGGAAGTCAAACTGTACATGTATGTCAGTTTTTCAACCTTGTTTTCGATATAGTTTATTGTGAGCTAAACAAGGTTTTTGAAAATAGATCCGTTCTGAATGGAACTTTCAGCTCTCAAAGGTCTTGGTTATCGGTGTCAGACTTATTTTCTCTTAAAATCCCAGAATAATTTGCGTTTTAACTTCTCAGGCTTTATTATTTTGTCAATGGCATGTGTTAAGATACTGAAAGTTTATTTGCCATCCTAGATAGTAACCTTACTCACATTGTTGATCATATTCTAATAGCCCACACCAAAACTGTTTGAAAAAGTTTCCCTTCGAGCTGTTCTGGTATGTGGTTAAGAATGCAAAACACAGTGATTTAAACCTTTGGGGCCAGTTATTTAAACATAGATTAGCTGCTGTTTAATAAAACCGTGTCTTATACCATCCTAAATTTAGCTAAGCCATTTACCTGTACATTTATTTTTGTGAACAGTGTCAAGAAGGTCAAAAGCTAACAATGGAAGGACATTTATTTAGTTAAATCAACCTTCTTAACCCTTTCACTCCCAAGATCACAAGAGTAATTCTCCTTACTGTCTGTTATACAATTCTTATAATGTTAGTTTGGAGAATTTGGTATTGGATCAGCTAATAACCCCTAATTGTTATTTTTCTCTATTCTCATCACTTGTCTGCTTGATACTGTTTGAATAATGTAGGGAAAAATTCTATCTTGGTCACTCATGAGAGTTTAAGGGTTAAAGAGAAAGCCCGAGGCCCATTGGCTGTAATTTTTCCTTTAAGTATCATTGCTGATTCAAACAATAAGGTCATGAGAATGAAGGAAATGATCACCAACTAAAGCTCATTATTGTGAAACAAATTATCCTTAGGAGATGTCAAGTGTAAAGTGTTAATGTTATAATACCTTCATTTTTACAGCTTTTGGAGGCCAGACTAGTACAGCACAGTTTGGTGCAGGTGGAGGTTAGTCTTGAAATGCACATGCAATGGGTGAATGGTGTTATTCTGATCTTCACTTTTATATCAATTTTTACCAGATTATGATGTGCTTTTTTGAAACAATAATTATTTGGCCTATGCAGTGAGTTAATTCAATGTCATTCACTCTTTCTGTGATTGTTTGTATGGATATGTACATATTTTGTGGTCAAACTTTATCCAATTCCTGTATTTCTTATTCAATAACTGAGCTTTTTTTAAGAACTTGAGTTACGTATACTGCTGTTTGGCCTGAAAGGTTCCTAAGAGTATGATTTTGCAGGTTGGAACTTTCTGTGTTCTGTTGTGTGGAATCAAATTTGTTGCAGTTCAAAAACCGCAAAACGTTTTTGCTACATGGTAGCTGTTCTATTTTTTAACTTTTTTACTCTGTGTAATACTGTTGTATCATTTTTATACAGGTACTAGTCTTTTTGGAAACACCCAAAAACCATTGGGCTTTGGAAGTACATTTAGTCAGTCCCAGGCCCCAGGAACCTCAACATTGTTTGGAGGCACAAATACTGGGAGTATATTTGGAGGAACTGGAACTACCACTGGAAGTATCTTTGGGCAACAACAACCCACTAGTCAATGTGAGTTTAAACTTAGCTATTCTTAGTGCAATTTAGCTTAAATCTATGATATCGGTTATCAGACATCACTTTGCCACAGTCTTGTTTGGTGAACAACCTTGTGTTGACAAACAAAGTAATTAATATGACCCCTGAAATTCATATCAAAGCAAGACAAATGATCAAGGTATATACATGACCAACAAACACAGTTCACCCATACAACAAAAGGGTGGCACACAAGGCGCAGCCAATTGTCCATATTTTGTTCTTACCCTATTCTGACATTTTCTGTGATTCACTACTGAACAAACCCACAGCAACACAAAATATATTTGTTTTATGTAATTAAGAAGTAAAATTTTTTTAATGGTGATGGGATCCCTGTTTCTGTTCTTTAACACTTTAACTCCCACGAGTGACCAAGAGAGAATTTCTCTATACAGTATCAATACAATATCAACCAGATAAGTGATGAGAACAAAGAAAAATATCAATTTGGGGATAATTAGTTGATCCAGAACTAAATTCTCTCAACTAACATTATAAGAATTGAATGGTTCACTGTAAGGAGAATTTTAAATTTGATCTGGGAGTTATTAATAGACCAGAAGTAAGAAGTCATCAAAATGAATGCATGATGCAGCTTATTATATAAATGGAATTATTTCTCCTGTTGAAACTTTTGCAGCCTCCTTTGGTGGTTTTGGAACTACAGGAGGTAGTTTGTTTGGTAGTACAGCAAAAACTACTGCAGGGACAGGTGTTTTCAACACAGGTGGCCAAACAACTTTTGGTTCCACTGCAACATCAGGATTTGGATCCTCAGCAGGTCAGTAATTGAGCTTAATTCCCATAGTATGTAGAATCTCTGAAGAATGATTTTAGATCAGATCTCAGGAAGAAAAGGATAAATCCAGCTGATTATTAGATGGCAATATGACGTCATGTTTCCCAATCAAGTTTTAGGTCACTTGGCCAGTTTCTTATGCTGTTTTTATAACATTGCTAAATGTATTTTGTCGTCAATTTTCTTTGTCCTTATTTATGTTTTTTTTTGGGTTGTGTTTTTTTTGTCATTAGGCTCCAGTTTGTTTGGGTCCAATGCTACAAAGAGTACTGGATTGTTTGGAAGTACGCAAGCTGGCTCCTCATTATTTGGGCAAACTTCTGCAGCTAATACAGCAAGCTTTGGAGGTGAAACTAACAAACTATTTGATATTTAAAATGCAAGTGTTACATGATAGTATTTGTATCTCAATTCTTTCACTGTTTCAGGGTATGCACTTTTGTCTTTGTACATTCATGACTGGCATAAATCCACGAAGATCCTTGAAAGTACAAGCTTGTGCTTGTTGGAAAATATTGCAATTGATTTGTGTCACTTGAGTCTCGTAGCCAATAACATCACAACTAGACTGACCAGTCATCTTACACAACTAATAACAACTCTTCACTTGACCCTGATGTCAGCAACTTAGCTCAGGTTGTTGAAATATCTGTTTCCACTGTGGACAAGAGGGTCAGTCAAGATTACCCTCCCTTGCTTGTACAACCAGACTGCCAATCACTTTTGTGTAAGAAGACTTTAAATTTAAGTTGTAGTTCTTAACACAGTGTGACTGTGGATGATCACTCCAAGAGGGTTTTTAATGGCATAGTTACTTTTAATTTTGTCTGGTAGGGAATCAGTGAATTAATTAGCTACATTGCTTGAAAAAGTTTGGGTTTGAGAGTGATTCAAATTTTCTCTCTTTATCCTAGAATGTAACAAAGCAAAACCAAAGCAGTCTTGTTTTTCTTTTGATTCTTAACTGGAGATTTTTTCTCTTTTGATATATAATTCACTGCAGCGCTGGGTGCTTCTGGCAACACAGCACTTGGAACACCTGTAAAGTTCAATGTAAGTTATATTTTCATTGTAGCTGATCAATTTCTATACATAATCTTGAAGTAGTGAAGTTTGTTATTAAGTGAATGACTCCTTTACACAGGTTGTTCCAGGAACTGATAGCATGGTTAAAAATGGAATTACCACCAATATTAGTGTCAGGCATCAATGCATCACTGTCATGTCAAATTATGATAAGAAGAGTTTAGAGGTAGGTTATCAACAGTTGCACCCATATTTTGAGATCACTTCTATACAGGTTTCAATCTCACTTGAAAGTAGGACTTAAAAAAAAATCCAAATGCATTGCTGAATTTATTTAATAGTCTTTTGTGCCCAGTAATAAAACGAGTGCAGATAATGATTAGGTATCGCATGTGTTACGCATGACCATGTACTCGTGTGAGCACCAAGGAAACCTTTTTGTAATTAATAGTGGAGCTCGCAGAGTGTAGCCCCATAATCATACAAAATAGTAGTAACCCATCAAGCCGAAAAAATTTAGATGTACGACCATATGACCATACGACATACGACATGTATAAGGTGCTACTTTTAACATGTGTGGTCAACTGTACCGTGGGCATGCCAACGCCATGGCTTTGTCCAGTAGTCCAGTGGTCAGTACACTGGACTCCAAGTCGGACTACCCGGGTTCTAGTCCTGGCCGGGGCAAGGTGTTGTGCCCTTGAGATGTGCAGGAAAAAAAAATGTGAGCTCCACTTTTAAGCTTGGCTAAATCTATATATTTGCTTTTAACAGTTCTTCTATGAGTCCTAAACTCTTTTTGGAATATGCAAGTCAAGAGCCTTTCGTTGGCACAAAAATTTTCTTAATCAATGTTTCCTGCTACAGTATATTCATGTATGATCTTAAGCACTTATTGCTTGGGATATTAGTGTGGCTAAATGCAGTTAAGGCTTAAATGTAGCTTGGAACAATGCTGGTTGGTAATTTGTTTGGTTTCCCTGATAGTTTTCAGGTACACATTTATACTTGTGGGTGTGTAAAGTAACAATAAAATGTAATTTGTCTGCCCAGAACATGGCACAAGGAAGCTTTTGGCTTTTCATTCAGAACTCAACACACCATAAATTAAGCTGCATTATGTAATACAGGGATTGTTTTGTTTAATATAAAGTAGTGCTATACAGTGGTATGGCTGAGAAAGTGTTCATTGATGGCTTTTTTCTGAATTATCAGGAGCTAAGAATTGAAGATTATGAAGCTGGCCGTAAAACAGGAGCAACTGGAGCAACTGGAGCAACTGGCTCAACTGGTTTTCCAGGTCTGGCCACGAGTTCAGCTGCAGGAGGTCTGTTTGGAAATACAGCTTCCACAGGATTTGGTGCTGCACAGAAACAAGCAACTGGGTTTGGAACTACAGGTCTGTAAATAGTTGTGATATTACTAGAGTCATGTGAACTTAAAGATCTTTAGCCCTTCATTTCCCATTCCAACATCTGAATTGTGATTTTACTTTTTAGCTCTGGTTTGTTTTTTCTACAAACCAGTGTAGAGTTTTGCATTGTATCATTTAAATATAGGCAATATCTTCTACTGTAGATAAGTTTGTTAATCTCAATACAATGTACCAGTTTGCTGTATGATATACTGATAATTTGCCTAGAGAGTATACCTTACAAATTTGGAGAAGTTGAGGTATCACAGAAGGAAAATTAGTGTTTTCATTTAAACTGAGATGGTGTAAAAATTGTGCATGCTACCCTGTAAAAGTTTACATTTTCTTAAAGCTTAATGAACACTGGTTTCAGATATATAATTTTTTCTTAATTTTTACCATTGAACACAATGGGAGCTTATTCATTCACACCAAGATGTTTTACAAGATAAGTTTATTTGATGACACATTCTAATCAATACATTTCTTTTTAATCGGAGAGTGATTTGCACACTCTGAAGAAAAAAAATTGTGTCTGAGATTTGTATTTTAACCCTTTAAGCCCCAGTAGTGACCTAGACAGAATTTCTCCTTACTCTATTGGTATGATATCAAGCAGACAAGTAATGAGAATAAAGAAAAATATCAACACACCATAAATATTGGTTGATCCAATTCCAAATTCTTCAAACTAACATCACATGAATTGTATGGCAGACAGTAAGGAGAATTACTGATGAAATCTTGGGAGTTAAAGGGGTAACACCTTGTTATATTTTTAAATTTTGTTTAACTTCAAAGTAGCACTTTTGAGCAAAGTTTTCACTGTAGATGCTATATCTCAAGAAAAAAGGGAAAAAATGGAAAATTGGGACACTCTTTTATAATTCTGCCATGATCTCCTAACTGTATGAAAATTGACCAAATATCAGCCAAGAATAAACTCTTCAAAGCTCAGATACAAAATATGATTAAACTATGAAATGGTGTAATTCCTGTAGCTCTTTGAAGAAGATATTTTGATAGTTATTCTTCAAGGATTCTAGTGATACTGCATTTGTAAGATCTGTTCTAAAGTTGACAAGTAGTAACTGTGAAACGTCCTCTGTAGACTATTAAAAACCATAACACTAGACTCCTGGTTATTAGCATCAGAAATAACCCTGCTGCTCTTTTTTTGTTGCTTAAAAACACACCCTAAATTCTCCATATCAATGTAAATTGGCCACCACAAAGAGTTTTAAAGCTGACATTTTGAGCATTACCCTTTTTCAGAGAAAACAGTAAACAATTATTGATCCATATATGTCAGAAACATGGTTTAGTTTCATTTTGCAGGCGTGTTTGGTGCTGGTAATACCACAACCTCTGGTCTGTTTGCCCAACAACAACAAACAACTGGAGGGCTCTTTGCTCAGCAGAAAACAGGGGGACTGTTTGGGGCTCAAACATCAAGTGCTGGTGCCCCTGCATTTGCTACAAGTTTTGGTACAGGTGTCTTTGGACAGACCTCCAGTGGACAGACAGTAAGACTTCTTTGTTTTCTATTTTTGCCGTAAGAAGCTACTGCAGGCAGTTTTCTCCTTTACAGGTGGTAACCAGTAAAACTTACTGCCTATGTTACCTCTTATTTCTGTCTTAAATTGCTTGGAATTCTTGGAAATTCAACGGGTGAAGGATTGCTCTACTGGTTTGAAAGTTTCTTTTACCTGTCATACTTAAAATAAGGGAGAACAGTAGTTGGTCAGGTACATTTACATTAGATGAAGCATGAAAATTTTCATCCAAACATACCTAAACCATGCCTTTGGAGTTACAGTTTTGTGGTGTTGATTTCTGATCTTGTTGTTGATTTTTAATTGCGACTTTTCTCATTAAATTTAGGCTCAGTCTGGTCTCTTTGGTGGAACATCAACATCTACTGGCACTGGTTTGTTTGCAACACAAAGTTCAGGTTTTGGCCAAACACAGACTGGAACAGGGGGACTTTTTGGACAAACAGGATTTGGGCTGGGTCAGCAGCAGGTTAGTTCTCCTAAAATCTAAAAACTCAGTTAATATTCACCTATAGCGTTGCCGAAAATTCACAATCAGAGATTAAGGATTAAATTGACATTGGTTTTTTGTTTTGTGTCAGTCAACAGCATTTGGAAAACCATTTGGTGGTAAGTACAGTGAACATTTTATGTTTAATTCTTTGCAACCATATGATGTGGAGTTGAAGGAGTAACAAAGGATAGACCAGTTACTCATCCAGAAGAATTAACAATGCTCACAGTTACTAAGTGTTATGGATTAATCTCCTTTTTAAACTGTACATTTTTGTTGTTATGTGACAATGTGTGTTAATATGTAACTTTAAGAACTACAGCATGACTCAAGCCTCAAATTTTTCTTGTGTTAGCTTTGGGTACTGGTGCAACTGGAACTTTGTTTGGTGCACAGAATAAACCTGCAACAGGTTTCAACTTTGGAGCCAGTGCAGGAGGACTAGGAACCAGTGCATTTAATACTGCAACAAGCCAAGCTGGAGGACTTTTTGGTGCCAAACCTACTACATTTGGGACAGGAACAGCATTTGGTACTAATACAGGCACAGGATGTTTTGGAACCACAGGCACCCTAGGGGCAGGAACAGGATTGAACACAGGGACACTAGGTACTAGTAAGGAGAGTGCTGCTGACAGTACTTGTTCACTTTTAAATGTTGATCTTGTTTTATGAAACAATTGACAGGGATATCAAACATGCTCTGATTGGTCAATTACGTCTTGAAACAACTGAAACCTGGATCATTTTTGTCATTATATTTATGAAAGCAGTAGACAGGGATATTGAACATGCTCTGATGGTCATTTACATCTTAAAACAACTGAAACCTGGGTCATTTTTGTCATGATTATATTTATGAAAGCAGTAGACAGGGATATTGAACATGCTCTGATTGGTCATTTGCATCTTAAAACAACTGAAACCTGGATCATTTTTGTTATTATATTTATGTAAGCAGTAGACAGGGATATCAAACATGCTCTGATTGGTCATTTGCATCTTAAAACAACTAAAACCTGGATCATTTTTGTCATTATATTTATGTAAGCAGTAGAGTGTTGGATTGAGGAGAAACCCATTGTTTTCATTGTTTTTCTTTCTTGCTTGATTGTTATGGTGGTAAACCCATCAGAAATGTGGTCTGTTGATTATAAGAAATGCAAGCTTGCTTACTGCAGAGAGTGTAAAATGTATACTGAAGAGTACACAGTGGAACTTGCTTTTTTTTCAGTTGCATTCTTCACTTTATTTCAGGTACTTTTGGCACCCTAGGCGCTCAACAAACAAGTTTGTTTGGAGGAAATGCTTTAGGAGGGTAAGAAACTTCTTTTCTAACAATTATTGTAATGCAGTGTGAAATATTTGTAGTGTGCTGTGAGATTTGTCTTGTTGCTTGATATTCAATGTACGTGAACATGTACATGCAGAAGTAACATACATGAAAAACTGACCACTTGCACTGTGAAGTTGTAGTCTATATAACCCTTGGTGGTTCAATTTTTTCCTTGGTTTAAAATTTTGAACACCAGCCTATTTCAATTTTTCTCTGTCTTGTATACATTTTTTATCAACTGAACAGAAATTTCAACGACAACAAAATAAGAACTACCAAGCGGTAGATTTTGCTAGCAACTCTGCAAGGCTTTTTGGTTGCTTCAGTTGTCAGTTTCAGATGCAACCACGTAAACCATACTGTCTACCTCTTAGGAGTTGTCATCCTCTCAGCAGCCTGTATTAGTGTCTGTTTTTGTTTTTTAACTACTGAAAGAATACCCTATTTAAATTTAAGTATCTACATTGCATTTGTTTTCAGAATTTTAGGAAAAACTTGTCCTTCTTTTAGTAATTTTACTCATATAAAGCAGCTATTGGTGTATATGCATGTTTGGTTATCATTTGATTGTTTTCCACGTTCTAGCAACCAAAATACAGCATTGACCACTTTGCAGCAACAACAACAGCAAAAGGTTCTGGAGCAACAACTTTTGATCCTGTCAAACTCACCATTTGGTGACTCACCATTATTCCGAAATTCACTGTTGGTAAATATACAGAGGATTAAATAAATTTTCCACATTGAACTGTCCTGCATTTTTTTCTTTTACCTTACCATGTGGGAAGCAAGTCATTTTCAAGGGTTTTGCCCTTGATGGAGAGATTCAAAATTTTAGATAATTTTCTAGTTCTTTTTAAAATTTGGTCATGGAAAGGCTCTCTTTCTTCTTCAAACTATGTTTTAGTCAAGCAATCTCTTATATTTAACCAAATAAACTAAGAAATAGCAATATGAAATTTTGATTTGGAGATGGGTAGGTGGTAGAGAAGGTGAAAACCAAGGTAAACTTCTAATGGATTGTGTGTATATCTGGAGGCAGGGTTCCCGAGAATGCTGATTTAATTTTTGCATGTAGAAGAGGGAGGATGCAACAATTCCTCCGCCCCTCCCCCCTTAGCTCTGCTGTTCTTTGTTATTATGATAATACATTTTACATTCATTTAGGAGAAATCCAAACCAGAAAGGGCCTCCACTGCTACTACATCCTCATTACAAAAGGTGGTTACCACACCTTCACACTACAAGGTACAGTATTAAATTACTATTTGTTCCAGAGGATATAATGTACTAAGCTGCATAGAACTTTCAGATATAATAAAATGTCGGACTAAAAGTGGCAGTTACAATTACATGTAATCTGCAGTTGGACTGTGTTCCTGAGCAACTATTTCAATGATGTCTCACGACTTAAAAAAAAATTATACAATTGTAGCATTATTTTCTCTAAAAAAAAGCTGTATTGACTAAAAAGATATTGGATCGCATTTCTGTTTTGTCCAACAAACCACAGTGCAGACTCTGAATGTACTTCAAGTCAAGTTGAATGTGTGCATAATGCATGCATGTAATCATACAGATTAACAACAGACAGCTGTGGACCTTATTCCACAAGTAGCACTTTTTGTTATTATTGGAGGAAGGCAGAACCATTCACTGAGATAAAGACACAAATGAAGATTTCTAATTATATAGAAAAATGGAAATATAAAATAATTTGTTCTCTTTCAGGTTTCCCCTCGACCAGCGGCAAGAATAAAACCCAAGCCAATAAACAATCATACTATGAACAAGGTCTGTTATATGGTGTATGATCACTTGGTTTGAATTGTTTTGCCTGGTTTTTCTGATTTAACATTTTTTAGTTTTGTTTTTTGTTGTAAACGTTTTTTGTTTCACTTGTAGTCCAAACTGTTTGAGGGCCTGGAGGAGGACTCTGGTCTTAGTCCTGACACATTTGTACCCAGAAAGAACATCAAAAAGCTTGTTTTAAAAACCAAGTCAAGAAAAGAAGTAAGTGGAGAGCAATAAGCATCACACAATCTTTGAGTCTCCTAAATACAGGTGTATTTGAAATATGCATGTGGTGTGTTTTGTTTGCAATTTGAATTCAGGTGATAGTAATTAAAACAAGTTTTACTCTTTTTTTCCATTTTGCAGGTTATGTGTTTATTAAAACAAAATAGAACATATTAAATATTGAAGTCAGGTGCAACTAATTTCTTGTAATTAATTTTAACCTTAAACTCCCCGAAGTGATTAATATGAAACTTCTCCCTATAATGTCCAGACATTATTCAGCAAATAGCAAATGAGAATACCCAAATGTATCAGGTAGAAGTTGTCATCCTGATCTAACACCAAATTCTCCTTACTTATTTACAAGGAATTGTGTAAAAGTTGGAGGGGAGAATTAACAATCAGATTTTGGGAGTTAAAGGGTTAGCTTATTTAATAAAAGATTATTGTCCAGGTGGCCAGATATTCTCTTGGAATTCCAACAAAACTTTGTACCCTGCTGCTAAGGATAAAAGGATTTGCTTAAAAGGGGGAGATCATTGCACTCGTTTACTTGGTATGGCACTGATGTATATGTTTGATTCATTCTTATTTCAGTCATTCAAGTATTCTTGTGCAAACCCAACTTGTAAAATGCATGTTTGAATTGCCTTTGAGACTAGGCTGAGTCTGTATCCATCCTATTTTTTTTATTAATATTTATGTTAATGACTCCAAAAAGACTTACTTCTAGCATGGGCTGTTAGACTTGGTATGACTCCTCTGTCATAGATCATTGAATTGCCTCAAAACTTTTCATTGATAGACTTTTGCTGGACTCATTTCTTGTTGATAAATACACAGCTCTTACCAAAGTAACGATTTAAAAACAAGGGGTATAACTGTGCTTGTTTACCCGAAAACTGTCATTTACATTACTTGTGAGCTTCAGGTAATAATATAATAATAATAATAATATTAATAATGTTATTTATCCAGGGAGCTCACATCACCAAAGGTGTTATTCAGTGAGGCCCTGCCAAAAAAAAAAGAAAAATGTTAAATTTGAAAAGTTAAAAATAGTTAAAAATACAATATTAAAATGTTCAATAAAATTACATTATAAAATGAGTTAAAAAATTGCGGTCTTCAAGGCTTGCTTAAAAATTAAAAGTGACCTCATGTCACGTATTGACTTGTCAAGACTGTTCCATTCTCCCAGTCCTTGATATAAAAGGCGCTGTTTTCCATAATTGCGCCTAACTCGCGGTAAGTAAAAATTGGATTTGCCACGAGTATTATAAGAATGGATGTCACTGATTAGCTTTGTATCAAACTTAAAATCTATAATGCCATTTACATATTTATAAACGAAGACACAGCGGTGAAATGACCTAAGTTTAAAAAGTGTTGGCCAACAAAGTTCTTCTAATGCCTCTGTAGAAGAGTAAAAAATAGGTAAACTGAGAATAATCTTGGCAGCCTTGTTTTGCAGTAGCTGCAATTCATTCATAAGAGTAGCATTGCTCTTATCACCCCAGATAGTATCGCCATAATCGAACAGCGGGCGCACTAGACTGTTGTACAGAGTAATCCGCGTTTCAAGTGGCAGTAAATAACTTATTCGTTTCAGCAAGCCAAGTCTTTGATTGATTTTAGTTGATATGGCTTCAGCATGGTCACCCCAAGTCATCGTCTTGTTTATGGTTACGCCGAGGTATTTAAAAGTATCAGTGCATTCGAGCGGCGAGTCATCAATAACTACATTGACGTCATTACAGGTGCTAAGCTTATTTGGACTACCAATTAAAATGAATTTAGATTTAGAAACATTCAAAGTCAGACGATTTGTACTAAACCACGAAGAAAACTTAGATAGGTGCCTGTTGATAAAAATTTCGATCTCGGTAACGCACGAGCTGCTGAAGTGGATCACGGTGTCATCAGCGTAGAGTGCAACCTCACAATGTTCCAGGCACTCGGGAAGATCATTGATATAGACCAAGAACAACAAAGGGTCGTAATGAAGACCACCATTTTGTTATTGTGCATGATACTAATGCATAAAAACTAAGTGCATTAAGGATGCGTAGTGCAATACTAGGGAATTACTGCAGTGATGTACCAACTATTGCATTATGCTGAAAGGGAGATGGCCATGCAGAAATGTTCGCTTTGAGAAGAGAATAAAAGTGAACCTCTTTTTACAGGAAAGATCTGAGCCTACACGTTCACACATCTATCACACCTAGAGACTACTGTAGCTTATTTGGCAGGATAAGCTGTTATGACGTTTGGAAGTGACAGTTAATTTTGTGTGATCTAGAAATATTATGAAAGAACTGTAACGAGTTGCATAAATTGAAACTACAGTAGTTTGAATTTGTGCCTTGACTGATTGTAGGATGTAATGGCTGGCAGCTACGTGGTTAAGATGGAGCACACACGGACTTATCTGTTGCCAAGACTTTTCACAATGACGACGTATGGTGTTATAGCTTCAACAGCCCTCTTATTGGTTTTTTACATTCAACTGTGTTCTAAAACTATCTTATATCCTTCTTCAGGATTCACCCCTATCTGTGGTTGACACTACCAGGGTCAAACTCAGCACTTTGGAGGGAGACGACAGTTTGCCAGCAACCAGATCACCCTTACCTCCCTCTCCACCCCCGTCACAAGATATGTCACCCATGAGGTTGTCTGCGACCCCTGCTGGGCTGCAGAGTGGAGAGAGGTCTTCTGACGACAGGGTGAGTACTAGCGCTGATGTCAGTCCAATGGGAGTGCGGTTCTCTCGTGTGCCAGATTCTGTTGATACCACCATCTCAGAATTGAATGTACGCCGCCTACCAAGAAGAGACGAAGAAGACGGAAGTGTCAAAGGTTCTGTGATTGGTGAGGAAAGTTCGTCAGACACTACATCTAGAGACAATGTTGGTGTTGTCTTGAAAAGGTGAGATCCTTTGTCAGTATTTGTTATTATGCACAGGTGCTGTGCTCTGCCTTTTGATTTTTCTCAATCTCGAGTAGCCCCAGGTTCAATAGTGTTTATGAAATTTAGTGGAAAGACATGTTGGTTTGTTGGCCTGCTCTGTATTTTTTAATGGGGACAGCTCATAATATTCATGCAATTTACTACGAAGACTGCTTTAAACACAGACACAGAAAAGCGTTTGTGAAGAGTTGTTAGAATACTGGCACTCAAAAGTGTTTACACAAGTTAGTGCAAAGATTGCTTAGAATACACATATTGAAAATTATTTTTGAAGAGTTGCTTAAATTTATGCACCCAAAAGTGTTGATGGAAAAAGTGGAAAGACTGCATAGAATATACAGTCAGCAATGTTGGAAATGCTTGAGCCAAATGAAAGGCAAAACACGGAATGAAATGTTTATTGGAGAAGGGGTCTCCTCATTTAGATTTTAATGTAGGGTGCAGATCTTTAGAGCGCTTTCAGATTGAATGTCGTCAAACAAAATCTAAAGTAATCATAAAGGCCATTTAGAAGAAAGGGAAATACCTTTAAGGACCAACGAGAACAACCAAACTGCCGTAAGCGCGGGAAAACGACAACAACCAAACTGCCGTAAGCGCGGGAAAACGACAACAACCAAACTGCCGTAAGCGCGGGAAAACGCGGGCGACTAAGTTGTGATTGGCTTTAGTTTTGCGTCTTATTGGTAGAGAAAGTGACGCAAGTTCTCTGGACCAATCACAGAGCGAAGTAAAGCGAAACCGATGTAATCCCGGATTACCTTGGATACTCAGTTGATACATGTATGTTTGATTTTCTATCCTTTTATCAGGCTTGAGTATTACACCGTTCCTCCAGTGCAAGAACTTAACCAGCAGATGGACAGTAACGGAGATATATTTGTGGATGACTTTGTGGTTGGCCGCGAAGGTTATGGAAAAGTCAAATTTTACGGCAGAACCAATGTTGCCGGACTCAACCTGGATGAAATTGGTATGTGTTGATATGAAGTCAAGTTTGCTTGATGTAGTAATATTACTAACAATCAGTTTTTGTTATCTTGATAGCAAGTGCCTTGAACCTGTTAACTTGTAACTCCAATGGATTTGATAAGTAATTCTCCTTCTTGCTGCCGTTTGGGTTTTTTTCATGTATCTTTTTTAAAAGGATTGCGGATCACAACAAGATGATATCCCTTAATCTGATATTTTTCCGAAGTCTCAGCCCTTGTTTCTTTGATGATGTGGTTATGATGTAAAGAGAGGTCTTGTCTCGATTTGTATTTGTTTTGCTTTGATTTTCCGAAATAGTGTTCTTCAGGCGCCGTGAAATAGAAGTTTATCCTGACACGTACCTCAATAAACCTCCTGTGGGCGAAGAACTGAACAAGAAAGCAGAAATCACTCTGGAGAATATCTGGCCAAGTGACAAGACTACTCGTAAGCCAATAAAAGTGAGTTGATAAGGACTGAGAAAAAGATAAATTATAATTTTGATGGTTAATTGTACGCTTTTAAATTACCTCGTGCAGAAACAAATCCAGCTCTTGAGTTTCAATACACTTTTCAAAGTTTTCTAGACTGCTGTTCAGTTAAAAAATACTTTTTATGTTGTATCTCCACAGAGTCCTGAAAGACTCAACCTTCTCGGCTGGCAAAAGCGAGTGGAAACTGCTACCGAAAAACTTGGAGCAACTTTTCTTGATTTTAACCTTCACACTGGATACTGGGTGTTCACGGTAAGGTTTTTTTCAGAAGTGCGCAGTTGCTGAGTTTGCGAAGCAAAATTTCCCGGTTAGAGCACTTTTTGATTTAGTACGCAAAACCAAAACTGAAGCAATCGCAACAGCCAATCATAGGAAGGAAATTCTCACGAAGAGCCAATGAGATCTTAAAGTTAAGACAAGCAAACCGCTTAAGCGCGGGAAAACGCAGGTGACCAAGTTGCGACTTGTTTTAGTTTAGCATCTGATTGGTGGAGAGAGTGACGTGAGTTTTCAGGAGCAATCACAGAGCGAAGTAAAGCAAAACCAATGCAATCTCAATGAAAATCGCTCAGACATACCTCTTATTACTTTTATTTTTCCCAAACTGTTTTTCTTTTAAAAGGTGGATCATTTCACGCGATATAGAATAAACGACGAATTTTTCGATGATGAACAAGCCCAAAAGAAACTGAAGAGGCCTCCATTAAAATCATACTCACAGGTAGAGTTCTAGAACTGTATTGTTATTGCATCTTCATTGTGGGAAATCACGAGGGCAATAATTTGTAGAGCATCGTCCCCTTGATCTAACGTTTGGGGATCTAGACCTGGCCCAGTCAGTGTGTTGACCACATGGGCAACACAATACGCCCACAATGCCTTTGTCTGCCCAGGAGTATAAATGAATACCGGTAAACTTTTATAGAAAAGAAACAGGGATAAGGGCAGGTGTAATGCCGCGGGCACAAGAGGATACAACACTTCTAGTCCCTTCATGGTGCAGTTGCTAAGCTAACCTTGGACAGCTTTGTAAGTCTGTCTTGGGTGAAGACTTAAGTCTTCACTTAATTATTTTCCATAACCGTGCAGAAGTTTAGTATGATTTGTTATCTCTGTAAGGATCTCGAGGGCTCTATTGAAAAGGAAAAAGAGGAAATCTTTAGACGTCTGCAAGAAAAGAAACAACAGTTAGAAGTTTATGAGAAGAAAAAACAGCAAGCTGCTCTCTCTTCCTTAGACCAGGATAGTGTCATGGCGGACATCGATCAACAAACTTTTCCTGGTATGTTGCTTAAAACTATCACGAATATGCATTTGTTTCAAACGCGCAACTTTCAAAAAAACACGCAACTGTCACTAACGCGCCAATGTTAGCGAGTAGTTTTCCCGAACACGAAATTGTCACTAACAAGCTACTGTCTCGAACAAGCTACTGTCACAAAGACGCAACTGTCACGCTTACAAAATTAAGGTGGCTCGTGTTCAAATTCAAATTTAAATCTGTGGAAATCCAAGGAGAAATCTGAGCCCCTTTACAGAATCAATTTCTTAGGAAATTGCAGTTTCACCTGTTTGAGGATAAACTTTTTTTCCAGAGGAAATGCTCGAAGATCAAATTGGAGATGGTAGTGATGGTGAAGAAGAGGTTGACAGCTCCCCTGCCAGCCATCAGTTGGCATCAGCTCTTGGAATGAATGCACAGAGGATCCAAGTCATGAAAGCATCATTCTTTGCCAATCCGTCTCAACTCGCAGCACCCTTCGCTAAAGATAGTCCCACTGTAGACAAGTCTCTTTTCAGTTCATCTTTATCAAAAGCTGGCCATTTGAAGAGTTCTGTGTATCCACCATCCATGCCATTAGGTCCTTTGCTGTCCCCTAAAGTACAGCGCTCTGTTGATGAGTCCCGACAAATGTCCCAGTCACTGTTTGGCAGCCCCCAGATAGGTAATCTAAAATGTGTTATCAAATTGCATTCTCTCACTTAGGCTCAGAAGTTTTTGCGGTAGTCAGTAAGGAGAATTTCCATCTTGATTGCTGGGTTGTAGAAGCGCTAAAAGGAAGTTCCATTTCGCTCAAAAACTAAGATTTTGCGAATCAGATGTAAATGAAGCTGTAATTTGATTTCCCATAGCACATTTCGAGCGATCAGAAGGGTAAAGATGATTTTGGATGAGTGCTGTAAAACCAAAACCAGAACCAAAGTAAAACGGACAGCTTAACACTTTCATCAGAGGTTAACTTAACTTTTGCTACTTTATATACGATGTATTTCACAGTATATAAATAGGTTAGAATTCTTAATTTGTTACTGTTCATTTTTTCTGTAGGGGTCTATCCTCTTCGGTACCCCTTGGTGCACGATGTAACCCCAGTAGCCCCTCCCTCACCAATTCAGCTTCCAAGTGCCATCGGCACAGCGATGGACATTGGAATTAAAGTCGTTGGCGCTCGGAATCAGTTCGGTCTTGTCCCTAAAAAGGACTCCCTTGTCAACGGTAAAGAGAACCTTATTGCCGATGCAGGGTTGATGATGGGCCGCTCCTTTCGTGTTGGCTGGGGGCCTGGATTTGTCTTGGTCCATAGTGGTACTCCCTTGGGGAAACAAGAGGGAAAACCAGCCCCCCCCACCCCGGTAGATTTTTTGTCCATGAAGCCTAGACCCAGCAGCAGTGAAGGATCGGCACCTTTTGGAGTGACAATAGAGAAACTGAACGTAGCTTTACATGACAGTCGTGGTCCAAGTGGTGTTGTGTTGGTAGGTACATCATTAATTGTGTTCGTTTACATTCTCTTTCACTGGTGGCTCATTGACGGAGCATTTTAAAGCTGTGTTATTATAAATAAGGACAGTGAATGGTTTGAACCAGTGCCGTGTGAGGGTAGTGATAAAAAAGACTGTTGTGGGTCACAGTGGTTGATATGAGACAACTTATTAGAATTTGACATTAGACTCAAGGGCAGAGTATAATAGGCAGGGTTTTCATTTGAGGCCGGAGGCCGGACGTTTCGTCCGGTCGTTTGCCATTCCACGTCCGGTACTTTGAGATCAATATTGGCGATTTTTTTTACTACGGCGCCAAGAAAACATTCACGTCCGGTGCTTTCAGAAGTATGTCCGCTACTTTACAAAACAGTTGAAAACCCTGAATGGGGTAGTTTAGTGTTATCAACTGAGTTGACAAGGTAAATTGGCCACCGTAAAGGGTTTAAAAGCTGTCATTTCGAGCGTTAGTTCTTCGTCAGAGCGATTGACGAACGGCTAGTGCTCGAAACGTCAGCTTTTAAACTCTTGACGGTGGCCAATTTACGTTAACAACTCAGATGATAATACAGAATTACCCTGTTATACTCTCCCACCAACGCAGCACCACAATTTCTTTAGAAAACTTATCCCCTTTATTCAAGTGGAGAGGTGTTTGTCAATCGTGAAATCAGCTTAAAACCGTAAACAGCCAACAAACTTAACAGAAAACCTAACTTTATCGATGGATTGAAATAGCCCAGTAACAACTGATTTACACTACAGGAGCATGTAAGGCAACAGCATGAAACTGTACTTGAAGCACAGTTACAACACACTGTGGTGTCCAGTGAAGAGCACTGTCCGTTCTTTCAACCTTCCTCTGGCGTCAAAGCTTTGCACCATCACGCAGAAGTCGCCCGAAGGAACAAGGAAGCTACAGGTAACGAATAACGGGTCTTTGAAAGATTTGCGGGTGTTTGCATGATTAACGCGGAGATACGATCTGTTTCGCAGTCTGCAATGTGGCGCAAGGGCTTAATAGGTAGATAACCTCTATTTAGAGTGAAGATCCCACTAAAATTTGCCGCACTCTCAACGTGTGGCTTCGTAACTCAGTTGATAGTTGCGGCGTAACTAGTATCAGGAAGGACTGGGGTCGAATCCTGCGGTATGGCGTGGGGAGGCCTGAGGTCGAACCTTGCCGCAGCCTGAACTTTTTTCGAGCTCATTTTTCTGCAATCGCCTAAATTGCAGCTCACTTGCGAAGAATACATTTTCAATTGAAATAGAGCGTTTACCGCTATCAATATTCCCGTGTTTACATCCCATGAAAACTCTGAAATCAAGCTCCTCTGACTGTAGCAGTATTATATAGCTTTAGAGCAACGTTTGTTGCAAACGCGAGCGGCAGAGTTTATCTTTATTTTCGCTCAGCTTTTTTTAGTCCTTGAAAATATCTAACAGGAAAGGAAAATTAGTTATTTCTTCTATTCGCAATAAATGCAAATATTTTCACATCATCGTTCACACAGTAGAATTGAAGATGGCCAGCAAAGTTCAGTTATTGCCGTTTGCCGTTCATTTAAATTTGTTTCAAAACTCTCTATCTACCTTAAAGCTCAACTATTACTTATGCTATTAATTGTGCTAATTTTAGACCCAGGGCCCCTAAGAGATGGAGCTGAACAGATTTGTTTAGTTTGGGACCTGGTTGTTGCGCTTTGGGGCAAACTTACGGAAGACGACGACGACGATGATGATGACAGTAAGTTTTTATTTGCGATTACCTCACGTTCTTTTTTCTAACGTTTGTTCAAAAGTCTGGCCTACTTCAAGTAATTTGCAATTTGGTTATATTCTTAGGCGATATTGGGGCTGAAGAAGACAGAGAAACATATCAGAACCGTGTGGCTAGGAAACTGGCTCTGTCAAACTGGTTAGCTGAGGCTGCCAAAACGAAAATTTCCCAGGAGGTGGATAACGCGAATTTCCAGGTATTCTGAATGTGCAAAGCTTTCTTACCGTGCTAGGCTTCAGCAGTGGCCCTGCCCTTCTATGTCTAAACCTCCCTCATATCGTCTTTATCCCTTTCAGGAAAGTGATCATTTGAAATCCATCTTCAGCTATTTGACCGGAAAACAGATCAGCCGGGCCTGTCGTGAGGCACAGCTTCATGGTGATTATCGACTTTCACTGTTGTTGTCACAAGTCACAGGAAACACATTCACCAGAAACTTGCTGTACAAACAACTGGCGGATTGGCAGGAAATGAAGGTGCGTGGGAATCAGTCGATAAAAAAAAAAACAACAACAACAACAAAACAATATTAAAGGAAGGAGAGTTTGCTTCGTGTATATCGATTCTTTTCGAAAGGTAGCCCGTTCAATTCCCTAGAAAAAGTTGGGGTCTGGGCGGGGAACATTCCTTATGTGAAGAATGCAGCTCGGGTACTCGGACACAACATGATACATCGCGAAGAGCTCCTCTCGGCAGCCTAGTTGAAATTTCGCTTAAGGAAGAGACAAACTCCGGGTTATCGGGAAAGCTTAGATTGATTGACTCATATGTTGACGCTTTAAGCGAGTACGTAAAAGAACACGCCAGTGGAATCTATCTTAACATGATTTTGTCCATTCTTTCACCAGGCGGATGTATTTATCAACAGAGAAAGAATTAAAATCTACGCTCTGCTTGCTGGTGTCATGGTATGGGAGATATCTCGTGACCCAGCCAGTCAAGTTCAAAGTCTGATGCGTCAAGAGGTCAACGTCTGTGAGGGACTGGATTGGAAGAGAGTTCTGGCGGTACACCTGTGGTAAGCGAGACTGCTTGCTTATAAAACTCCTTTTTAAAATGAATATTTAACAATTTATTTTCCTGTTTCATCGCAAGGTACTTCTGTTCACCAACGTGTTCAATAGCTGATGCGTTGCAAGCGTATGAGGCCTCATTTAAGGTTTGTATCTGCTGTGGATATTTTTTAAACAAAATTTTTTATTAACAAAGCTGTGAATTACTTGTGGAAAAAAAGAAAATGTTTGAACCTTCTCCCTGGTAATTGGAATTTTTTACTCCTTTACCATTTGAAATGTTGCCTCACACTAACATTTCCTCGCTCGCTCTCAGGGAAGTTTGAGTCACGGCAGATATGGTGCTTCTCCTCATCCGCCGTATGTCGAAGAAGACGAGGAAGATGAGGATGAAAACAAGTTTATAACAAGAGATACCTGTTATCACTTGTTAAAGCTCTACTGCAAAAGATCGCACAGACTAGAGAGACTACTATCACCATCAACATCCACTGCTCTGCAACTAGATTTTAGACTGAGGTAAATAGTTTTACTTTTGTTAGTATCATTATTATCATCATCATCATTATCAATACCATCATTGTTTCCTTCGTTAAATATTTTTTAGAGAGGCAGCTGAACTGTCAAACATGCTCTTTCAACATGATGTTAGAGGAGAATGTGTTATCGTTAGACCGGAGCCCAAAGTTGGTAGTAAACCTTTGCCCATTTCTTACTCTACCATCAAAAAGTAATGGAAAATGGTTTCTTTTTAGTTGGCATCTGTACCAGGTTCTTTTATCGCTCCACTACACGCATCTTTCCGAGCGACACGCGGCCATGTTACACTGTGAGTTTGCTGCCCAACTGGAGGGACTGGGTCTGTGGCATTGGGCGGCGTTTGTCTTGTTGCACATTGAGGAACCAACCAGGTGTGTTAAATATTCACGGCAAGAAGTGTTCAAATCTGTCGATTTAATGGCAGTGATTTACTTGAACATCTTGAAATTCTGTTAAAACAGGAAGGGAGAAGGGTTCTGTGTGTTTGTCGCATTTTAAATTCTACTTGGCTGAAGGCTTTTTGTTTTTCCAGGATTGCGTTTTGACCGAGGAGTTCCCATTGTTCTCGTTCCCCACTGAAAAGTCCCATTTGAATCAGCGACTTCTAAATGTTAAAAACTGGCGCGCGTTTTTTAAGCTCGCTTCGCTCGCAAAAATTAAGCTTAGTTCCTGCCCACGATCAAAAATATATCTTTTTTCTGTTTTATGATTGAGAAATCCTTTCACGTTTCGTTAATGTCATCAGGCGAGAGAATGTGGTTCGGAGCCTTCTGTGTCGTTACTGTTGTGTGTCAGAGGATCATGCTTATTCAGAGAAAGAACGTTTCATGTTGAATAAATTGAAAATCCCTGCGGAATGGATACACGAAGCTAAGGTATGGTGATTTGTTCTGGGAAAAGAGCCGTTTTGTTTCCTATGACAAAAGTCTGTGTTAAACAGCCAAAGCTATAAAGTGATGTTTTATACATTGGAAGTAACATTGATTTTTGTTGTTGTGGTTGTTTTTTTTTGGTGTGTTTGTTTTCTGTAGGCCTTGCGAGCGCGCTATGAAGGAAAAACTCGTGAGGAAGCTTTCCACCTAGTCAAGGCTCGCCACTGGAGTCTGGGGCATAGCGTTATTCTGCGCAGTCTCGTCAGTGACGCAATTATTAACGGTAAGACACAAATATATGAATAATATTCGATAGAAAGTTTCGGGGAAAAGCGTTCGGACGTGATACCAGATGAAGTGTAGACGATGTTATCCATGAATTGTGGTGGTACCTGAAACTGGTCATTTCAAAACAACAAGGGATATTTAGATTATTTCATCTTCTTTTTTGCTGTTGTTTGTTTAGCGGAATACGACTTTTTAAAAACCTTATTGAAAGAACTGGAAGCACGAGATCGCAGCTCGACCGTGAAGGATTGGGCAACAGGAGGGCAGGTCAGTTATTTATCAATACAAGAACCGAGCTTTTTAATTCCCTTCTTTAGCGTTGAAGTGCTGATTCCTTGCTCTTCAAGACTATAGTGGATGTCGCTTGCGTTGATCCTTCACCCTCCTTTTTGAGGGGTGTGGGTGTGGGGGGGGCGGGCGGGCGGGAAGTGTTGAGGCGATGAAGAAAAGTTTCTTGATCATGGCGGAGGAATCTTCTAGGTTTGTTTCACTAAACAGGGCTTTTAAAGGCTTGTGTCTTGTTTTTAAAAGGCTTGTGTATCGTCATACACGAAGCTGTTTGCAGCAAAGTAACGAATTGGTAAATTTTATCATTAATTCTTGAACAGCTTGTGCCGGCCACTTAGTCAGCGGAAATGGGCCAAAAAGTTGGCGTACGATTGACGACAGGATTAATCCAACTGTAACTGACATTTGTCGCTCGATTGCTGCTTGTCTTTACTGAAAGAGGGCCTAGAACAGGCTGATTTGAAGATAATGTCTTTCACTGGCACTAGTGCTTTGAACTATTGTGAGTCTTTCGCATTTAAATGGCAAAGATTTGCACTGTATGTGAAATACGCACTTTCAGAAAACTTATTGGCAGTAGAATAAAGACGAAAGTGTATAATATTGCCAAGAATGGTTGCTAATTGACCTCTGAAGACATGTATTTAGGCGGTTAAACACCTACACTTGATTTTGTTGTTTAGGTGTTTCTGGATTATCTTTCTTTGATGGAGAAGTTCCAAGACATTTCAAAGGTAAAAACTGATGTGCGCAGGTTATTTTAGTAGTGTTTGGTTTTTTACAAACAAGTAATTCTGCACAGGTGAAAATAAGAACACGGAAAGTTTTCTTTAGAATACCACTGAACTGGAAGAATCCAGTATTTTAAGCGATTTGCTATTAGAGCAAATGTCAAATAAATATTTGTTGTCATCTTCAGGAGAACTTTGTGCCAACTAAGTATGACTGGGAAGGCATCTATGCTGAAGTCACGTCTCTTTGTTCGAGGATCAACAGTTTAACATCGGACATACCCAAAGACATGTAAGTACAATATCATTTATTCAGAGTGAAAACCGCTGTGTATATGGTTTGTTCAAGAAACACATGGCGTTGTATAAGTCAACCTTTTGATACGTAATTATTCTGGCCTGTGGTGTATAGTCTTTGTTAACGGGGTTGTTGTTAGTGCCCAGGTGCCCATTTCTCGAAAGTCCTGGTAAGTTAACGGAGTAACTTAACGGAGTCTCGGTAACTTAACAGAGCTTTTAGTATGTCGCACTGTATTTGGGGCTGATAGTTCTTGTGATGCCTTGTTTGCTATTTCAGGTTGTGTCAATACGACATGGCTAAGATGTGCGCTAATTTCTTGAAGATTATCTTGAAGGAACTGGTGAGCAAACCCTTTGTTTGTCTGTCAACCCATTTGTTTGCTGAGGTTATGAATATTCTCCGCCCGTTGTGAAAATTTTACTCTGTTCTCAGAATGTTCATCGTTTGGCGGCATAACTTTTGCATTCGTGGTCTTTGGAATTCTTTTAAAATGCCTTGTAATCATCGGCTGTTTGGGGAAGTAGAAAAGTGTGAAACGTTTTGAGAAGTACTCTTTCTTGCTGTTGTGTGACTGGAAACAAAGGTGGAGACACTAGGCTATAGGGGAGTCAAAAAAGAATACAGTTTTAGCAGCTTGCTTTTCCTTTTTATTCTCACTCAGACGGACCTCACCGATGAAGGAGAGGCCCTTTTGCCAACACATATACTAGTTCCTCACGTAACCAAACTCCCGATGCCCGAGGACTGTACCGTAGAGGAATTACGTCAACTGATTCCGAGCTACATCCAGGAGATCGCCGCTGAGAATTGATACTGCAGGCAGTAACGTGTATAAAATGTTGGTTCAATATTTAATGATGAATCAAAGTGCAACACGCCATCAACCAAGACAATACTGTTTTCGTGTGAAGGCAAAGACAGACTTAGGGCTTAACTTTATGTAAAAGCGTAGCTTTAAAAGCAGCGCAGTTCCGTGTGACCTTTGTTTTCAGGAGCTGTTAAGATGAAAACGGGAAACTGTAAATGTTTTCTTCTAACCTTCTAAGCAATCACTTATCCTTTACGTGCAGTTTGTTATAAGAAATTTTTTAGGTCGGAGTCTTCTATCGCATGAACATCTCAAAAGCAGTTTCTGGATTATTCGCGAATCTTTTGGAGTCATGTCCCTCTAGTTTCTCGCTCAGTGATAGACCCTGAGTGAAAATGGTCTGAACCTTTCCTCCTCAGTAGTCTTTCTCTCAGGGACATTTGCTCCTAAATCCGACCGACTGATAAAATTTCAGTCTTAGTCATTGAGATATATGTTTAAATATCGTCTGTTTTATTGTAATTAATTTGATATATCGCATGTAATTTCCTCTATATCTGTAACGAGAATTCTGAATAAAATGGCTTGTTCTTTTTTCTTTTATTTGAATAGTTGATTGATCCCAAGAGTACTGGTAAAGTTGATCAGTTACTAAGATTGAAATGTTAGTTCCGATACCCAGGCGTGATAAACACACGACAAACTGAAAATTTAGAGTAAAAGTAAAAGAATTAGTGAACAGGGAGACCAGCGAACTTTTCCTGCTACGGATATTAAATACTCTGGCGCACTCTTGTACAGAGAGAGACAATGTCATTGTTACGTGTCTTCCTCAAGAACATAACAAAATGATGAGGCCAAGGCTGGAACCCAGGCCTTCGATTCAGATTCTTGCGCGCTAACTGGTTTTCTGTTCGGTCTGTTAAGTACTTACAAATGTAATTTTCAATCACCTTCACATGTGAAACTGTGAACAGTTAATTTTCAACATTCCTCCGTGTTCTTAGTGTTCTATCAAATACGAGATAAAAAATTTCATCGTCCAAAAGATAATCGCTTCAAGACAATAGACCCAAAAGCACTTATGCCATTTGGTCAAAATTTGAAATGGAAATTCATGAAACCACAGTGAATGGCGAGCAAGGAACCCGCCAACCCTTACATGTAATAGGTCGCAGACAGAATATTTAACTCGATCTAAATTTCGCCTAATAATAGTCTAGCTCCTCTTCCTACAGGAGCCAGACTCTAACTACAGGCAACAAAATAACTTGGGGAGAAGGATAAAATTGATTTTTATTATTATTATTATTATTATTTTTGCAAATCGAAACATGATTGGCGTGCGGCGACTTATGCTACTCGTAAGAGCATTTGACCTCTTGAATTGACCAGAATCGCCCTTGAACTAATGGGTGAATTTTCAATTCTCTAACTGATAGCTTTTGATCTAACCAAAGACCCCATTGTAAGGAGTAAAGATGTTTTGTAATCCTGGTCAAATATCAGTGATTTAACTCGAGGAGTCTTCAGCAAAATTAAGAGACATCTCAACATTGAATGAAATGGAGTACTTTGTCTAACAGGAGAATTTTGAAATTAGATTTATTAATGGAAGTGTTGGAAGTTCTTATTCATAAGGGTTGATATGGTTAGAGTAATAAATTTTGAAATACTTCATTTGAAAGTTAACTGTTATAGTTCAAGTAATGTAGTCCTGCATGGACACAGTATTTATCGAGAAAAAGGCATAGTGAAAATATCCCTGATACAGTTGGCTCTCGTTGTAAAGAACCCATTTATTCAGTTCGACCTCTGATTTTTTAACTCGGGATTATTTTCAACTTTAAATCATTCGTAATTCAGTTGCAAACTTGCTGAAAGAAGGAGTTAGATCTAACAAAATATCCGTCAAATGATAACGAACGGGATCTGTGAAACAAAATCCCACGGCTAGACCCAAACTTCCACCTTGATTAGCGTGTAGGAAAGAATTCAGGTCTGTTGGGATGGAAATGTTATCCTCTTCCTTCTCTCTAAGAATAATTTTTTGATTGTTTTTTTTTGGATCTATTCAAATGATTTTTTCGTAGTTATATTTGTTCTTCTATTACGTGCCTCAGCACTTACCAGTCTCAAATTTAGCTTCCTGATCTCTTCATTAAAACCGACACTAGGCAATAACAAGGAATATTGGAATCGACATTCGCGCCAAATCAGTACAGAATAGAAACCTTAAATTGGAAGACAACTTTGGACTGGACTGAATAGGGAAGGATATCCGCTCACAAGCACAAATAATTTCTTTTGTTTCCATTCAGTTTTGTCTCGACTCAGACAATAGATAAGGAGACTCTGTCGCATCTTTATTCCCAGTAATTGCATCAGTGAACTATAAAATGAAAGTTTTAATCACGGTGTTAAGGTTTGTATATTTGCCGCAAAGCCGAGTGGAAATAAATGTAAGTATTATTGTAGGTTGATTGAGTTTGCCAAAAGTAATCGGATCTCTGAAGTAGTCTTCCCTTGCTCTTAAGACAATTCCTGCTTAGTAGCTTAGTTGGTGGTATGACTCGACTTCAATCTGGAAAGTACGGGTTCGAATCCCGTCGAAGCCTGAATTTTTCTTAGTCTTCTTTTCTGTATTTGCTTAAGTTGAAGCTCACCCGCGGGGATTATTACTTTATTTGATTTTCAATTCACTGGTCAAATGAAATTTATTTCATTACAAATTGTGAAAGGTAGTAACAAAATACCTTTGTATCAGGACCGAACACCAGATCAGATCTCGACGGCGAGAAGAATGATCAGTCAAATCTAAAGAATTTTTGTATGGCGAGAATCAGCTGACTTAATTCTTGGAAACTCTGTTTGCATGATTGAAATATAAATAGATCGTCTTTGCGTCCGATAGATCAATGAAATTTGAGCATAACGTGTTCCGAAAAAAAAAAACATTGTCATTTAACATTTTAAATAGTTCCTTACGCCAGCGGAAAGGGAGGGTGATTGAAGTTGGGAGGTAGGAGTCTGAGTTCGAGTAGATCGGCTACTGATAAGGTAATGGTAAGCTTTGTTGTAGTAACAAAATGAAATAAGACATTAAAGCGACCCGGAACACCAGGACAATACGCCGAGGAAGATTCAATGAATTTACAATTTTTGGAAACCGTAATGGTTTGCACGAAGCAACAATAATTGAATGAGGTTGAGCATCCTAAAGAGAATCAAGCAGAGGGGCATGTAATAAGTGGCCTAAAGAGGGGCTCTATCATATCTTTTCATTTGCGTCTTTTCAAGCGACCGGGACTACGTTCGTCTTGAATGCGAGGAAAGGGCGAGGAATAAGACAGCAGCAAGAAGAGATGCGTGGCGTCATTCGTGCACGTGACTCGCCCTTCACGCCTTCGTTGCCCTGCCGCGTGCGTACCCGCGCTTGCCTGAAATCACGTTAAAAAAATGATGACAGTCCCTTAAGCTGTATCATCGACCAAAGTCAAGACATATTTTTTAAGGATGAAAGTCATTACTGTGTGGAATGATAAAAACGATTGTCCTCGGGTAAGACGTTTGGACGACATTGCGCTGCACCAGTTGGAGTTAGCCAATCAGAATTGAACAAGGTAATTTGATAATATCAACTTAATCAATGACGTAAATTGGTCATCGTAAAGAGTTTCAAAGCTGACGCTCGAAAGGTCAGCTTTGAAACTCTTCACGGTGGCCAATCTACGTCATCAACTCAGTTGATAATACCAAATTACCCTGTTATACTCTCCCGCCGACGCAGCACCACAGTTTCTTTAGAAACTTATCTCTTTTATTCAATCAGAATTGAGATGATGATGTTTGTTCCATGAGCGGAACTCGTTGTGGTCTTTACTCCAATAATGTTTCCTGATAGTAAGCTTCCTTTTTCTTCTGTGTTTCTAGAGGCCTTCATCGACTCTTACTCGCCATGACGTCATCAACCCTGTTCCTCTACGCCGGGGTCTTCTTCTTCTTGATTTATAGCTGTGTCTGTGACCTGCCCCTTGAAGACACGACAAAACAGTGTGAATACGACAACATCAAAAGATGCAACGATGAGTTCAAACAGGTGTTCATGAATGCTAAGGCCGGAAAACGAGAGACAGGAATGAGAAATGTTTACTGCACAGCTCTACAGGTCAGTACTAGTGTATATAATTACCCGTGTATATAAATACTATTAATACTAGTAAATGTCTTCTTTGGCTCAACTCTTACCTCATACCCACGGTCCCTTCACTTCCCCCTACGCTTCCCTCCTCTTGGGAGAGGAAGAGACCTTGAAACGAGGTTGTTTAAACTAAACAGTCGAACAAGCTGTAACACCATTGGTAAGAGACAATTCCCTCTAGAGGTACTCATGTATTAACCTTGTAAGCCTCAATATTTGATTAAGGGATTCTCCTTTGTAGATGACATACATTTTCTTGAACATGAATTAAGGGAAAGTTAGTCGGGGAGAGCGGGAGGGAAGGGGAGGGGAGGGGAGGGGAGGGCGTCATATGGTTGATTGCAATAAATCAAAAGCCTCCGAGCTTACCAGACTAGGAAGGAGAAGTTCACCATTGCCTCCCCTATTTAGATATTCAACCCAGTAACATATTTCGTTTAACACAGGCACCTAACAAACCCACGATCGAAGGGAAAGTGGGGGTAGGTATGTACCGGAAGGAAAGCCTCAGGGCGTTCAGGAGATTAGGTTGACCAAACATTAGTCGTTTGTGTCATCTTTGTGAACTATCTCGCCAGGTGTTTATGAACTGTTTGGATGGTTCTCTTGGACGCTGCATCGGTGGCTCGTGGCTTCAGAATTACAGCTATGTTGTCTTGGAACATGGTATAATGGACAAGAAGTGTGGTGTATGCCCCCACCATAATTACCATGACCTTGAACGAGTACTTAATGGTAAGAGAAAATGCCGCTCTTCTAAAAGTCCATCGCAGATTTCTTAACAAGGAGGCAAGGTCTTTTTCATCAAAGATTACCCCGTTCCGCTTTTTATTTTATTTCATTTTTCAACGTAACAGGTATTCCATTGACAATCACTATGACATCTCAGTCATTATCATCACCACCGTCAACAACAACAACAACAATAAAACAACAATACAACAACAACAACAATAAAACAACAATACAACAACAACAACAATAAAACAACAATACAACAACAACAACAATAAAACAACAATACAACAAAACAACAAAACAACAACAACTCTTGAATGCAGCCTTAAACAGCTTTAATAAGCTATCTTCGATATAATCATCTTTTCTTTCTTGTCCACGTTTTTCCCCAAATCACTGTTATACTTATCATTGACGTCAAGACACCTAAATACCAACTACTTCACAAATGAATTCCCTTCTTACTGAATCAATAAAATTCTGAAGCGAGATTTTTTAACTGTTACGTAATTCACTTCCATCTTCCGTTTATTCGACAGCAAGGAACAGGACAGACTACATCGGTAAGTATTACATATAAGCTTAAGCCCCTGTGATTTTGAAAAACTGAAACTTTTCGTAATTGCTTCACCAGACCCCCTCCCCGTTTTTCGCGCGTCCACTCTTTTGCTCATTTCCAGTGGCTGAGAAGGGACGGTCAAAAACACCTTCAATCACTTTATTTTTTCGCAGGTTTTGATATCTGCCCGCTATGTGCGAAGGTTGTCCACAATATATGTGTGGCGCACTTCTTGGAAAAGATGCAATCCGACGCGAACATATGCCATGATGTGCAAAAGTTTATCAACTGTTACGAAAAGGTTGGTGACGCAGGATGGTATTGTGCCAGAAGGAAGATCGTGAGGAGTTTTTCCAATCTATGTCGCCAACTGGGAGAGAAGATGTTGCGGGAAGATGAGAAACATCGCGGGTTGATGTGCTAAACGCTGGTTATGTTCAACAGGCAGTTAGTGTAATACAGAGCTGTACATAACACATTCTGTTCAATGAAAAGCACAATATCCGGGAATATTAAACCTGAAAAAAATCGTACTTGAGATTAAATGTTATTTCTTTTGGTGAGATTTTTAATGACAGCACTTCATAGCCAATGCGTAAACCATAACGCCGAAGATGAGTGCGATATCAGTAATTAAGGGGCAAAATACAAAACTATAGACAAGTAGAAGCAAATCTAAGACTGCTAATAAACTGTTGCGTAGGATGTAACTTGCACAAAACGTTTCCCCAACATTTCCACTTATTCTAAACTTATTAACTAAACCCCTTAACAATGAAACACCCTGTCTAAACCAGATGCTGGCGCAAGTCCTAAATTTTTCCTCCAATTCCTACTGCAGAATTAACCTCCATTACAAGCCCTATTCAGCGCTCTTGTATTCCAAAATTAATCGTATTTTGCTACCATCGATCTGTAGTAAGCGAACAGAAATATAAAACATGTTTGAACGTTGGCGAGTTGCTAAACTTGCGTTTGTCATTTAGTTTTTACTGAAAAGTTGAATTATGCAATGCACAATGCTCGTTGACTTTCGATCCGGAACTGAAAAAAGAAAGCAAAAATTTTCAATTAACTTTAGTTTACGTTTCATGCTGAGGTAGCAGTGAAAGGCTCTCAACCGGGTTGCAGTAGAATTATAGCTTTTTTGTAAAAATGTAATTACTTTTGAAGACTATGCATCAAAATTAAAGTTTAAAAACCGGCTGGTTGACCACGGTAGGGAGTCTGACGGCCGCGCACTGCTTTTGTCTTTGAGCGGCTTTGTTGTTCAGTGTAAAAATGGTTAGATTGATTACGTTCAGAATCACTTCAAGCAGCTCATTACTGAAAGCACGTGCTATCTCAGTGGTTGGTCGCTATCAGTAGGTTATCGATAAGGGGTAATGATCATGTATGCGATTAACATAAATAGCATTGCGTTCTGCTCGGCTTCTTTCCCAATGTGTTTTTAAATGGGTTCCCTTCAGCAAAATTATCTGTTCCTCTGTCTAGGAGTTGTTTTAAGCTTGTCGAATTCAAACATCTGTGTCGGTGTTCAAGGTCTACCTGAAGAGAAACCACAATGTTCTTTTCCGGGATTTTTGCAATACTCAGGTCCAAAATTGTCAAACAGAAAATGGCGCCAGTGGTCACGAGGAAATGGATTTCCTTACGACAGAACTGAACCTCTTAATGGATCCAGAAATAACAAAGTGAAAGGAGAGTACACATGGGTGTTTAGTACAGGGAAAATTCAGATATTGGGAGACTCGCATTCTTCAAGAACCAGCTCGCTATTTTACTGTTGGAGAAAGCTTGCCCCTCATGTTTTCATTATCCTCCGCAATGACTCGGTGGATGAAACTCGCTCGAACGTAAAGTATTATTCTTGCATAAAATTCCGGAAAAGAGGGCGAAATGTGATCACATATGAACATTCGCCTTGGAGACCCAATCAAACTCACCTGGCTTGTGATGAAAGTGATCTGCTGGTATACGAAAGTCCTTTGCTTTCAAGTGTTTTAGAGGACGTACCGGATTGTCCGTCTGTGCTAAGGGGAGGATTTAAAATTACTGAGGCCAATAATGAGTTAATAGGAAAACAATGCTTACCTAACAAAGACGCTGCGATTATAGGAACGTTTGAATCTGACTGTATGGGTAAAGAAGGCCTGCGGATCCACTCAACAAGAAGCCATGATTGTTTAATGAACGAGCGTCATTTGAATAGCCCTTTCACTTTCAATCTGGCTTTGTCTTGCTTCAGTGCACCATGGAGGGATGGGAATTTTACATACTTTATTGCCAAGAGACGAAATTTTGCAGCGAGAAGTACATTTACATTTCTCAAATCAGAATTTTTCTGTGTTAGATTTCGAAAAGTCGAGAACGAAGATAACGTTGTGTTGCAGCTATATGATGGGCCGATTTGCACGAGAAATACGTCGAAGGGAGTAAAATCATTAACCATGCACTTAAGACGAAAAGTTGATGTCGGAGAAACGAACAGACCTCTTTCTGAGGTCACTAAAATGGAGTGTAACTTTCCAAAAAAAATTCGTGGGATTTGGAAAGAAATATCCGATCATAATGGTTTACGTAACGTTATCATAAACGAGACATCAATTAATATTCCCCCATATGGAAACTTCTATTGTAAACAGAGGTATATTTTTCAGCACCAGGCTCCCCACGAATGCAGTTCACTAGTTACCGGTAAGTGGCCTGGATCGGGACGGTCAAAATTCTTTGTCGATGATTATATACTTGTGTCAAACTTTACCAATGGCTGTTATCCCAGATTAACTCGCTTAGGTGTCACAGAAATCGCCGGAAGTGATGTGTTAGTATACAGGCTTTCTCAAAGTCAGCTGATAATCACGGATGGTGTTAACAATGATTCTTTAGTGTATTATTACTTAAATCATGTACTACGACTGTTTTGCTCAAGCTGGCTTCCCTACATAAGAGATCCTTATCCTGTCTGGGGTCGCAATATTGACAAAATCATAATAAGGCGCCAATCATCACTGAGAAAAACCCGCTGTTTTCTTCCATCCCGCGGCAAAGGAGTTTACCATTTCAAGTCGGCTAACAGTGATCAAGTCGAATGCAATGGATCTTTGTCACGTGTTGAGTTTGCGTGTAAAAATACGCTTTCATTTGAAGTGAAGTATGATCCAGACTGTCAGAAGTCTGATATTGTTTATTCTTGTATCGGAAAGGCTTGGAAAATGGGCGATTTTTTCTTAGTTCAAGAAATCAAAACTAAAAATATCAGCTGCATGTGGTTTGATGAGTCGAACAAACATATGTTTCTTCTAAATTCACCTCAGTGCTCGGACAAAGACTGGGAACGAGGAAGGGATCCTCCAAAAGAGGTCAACTTTAAAGAAATCTTAAATTTTCAGTATTTCAGCAAATGTCCAATTTATTCTGAATCGCGTGACCTTGACTATCCAATAGTGATCAAGTTTCGGAATATGTCACGTCATTTAAACTTAACGTCACGGGTGCTAGTCTTTGCGTGTTTTCTCATCTATTTCACATATTAAGAGTGCTCAGGGACGAAAGTGTGATTTTATAGCAAGAGAGGGTGATTCAAGACGAGCTATCCATTCCGCACATGGCGAATTTCTTAAATTTATTTTCAAACTTCGCTGCACACCGTAAACTCAGTTGACTTCACGTAGCACAACGTTACCACCGATTATATATATATTAGAGGTTGAGGAATGGTTAGCAGAGACAGAAAAAGGAAGTTGAAGCTCTCGGGGGATGGCTCCCGTCAGATCATTCTCTTTTGTCGAAATACAACCTGGTGTTTATCGTATTGTTAATTCTGCAGCACAGAACATATGAATCATGTATTCTATTAAATCATAAATAGCGATTCTGAATGAAATCGATTAAAACGATATCAGAACAATACAGAATTGATACTTGTCGTTACATTTGTGAAAAAAATACCCTCTTTAACCCTGGTCGAGGTAAATTGCTCCTTTGTAGTTGAAACTAGCATTGGCTATGGCAGAAAATCATTTGAGATGTCACTGAGACCTCAACTGAAAAAGGTGCGTCGAAAAGACAAATATTTTCCCAAGTTTCAGTGAATAGAGTGTTTCCGAAATCTGCGGAAGCTGTGAGTCTATATATGATTAAATCGATCTCTACAACTGCCTCATAGATGAACTCAAACATTAGAGCCTGGTCTGCCTGTGCATAATAACTTTCCTGTGGTGAATAACCGTCATGGACTGGGTATAAGGTGTCATGGCGGATGAGTAGTGAGAAATACTTTTATAAGGTACGTTATACCTATGACCTTCAATATCCTTTTACAGATTTTAACATTTTTAAGATTTTATTTGTATAATTAATGAAGAGAACCTTAAGATTTTATTTGTATAATTAATGAAGAGAACCTGATTGCGAAAGCAGCAGTCTGTAACCAAAGTCGAGAAACGTACAGCTGTTTTCCATGATTACTCACGAATACCCCAACAGCGTTTCGCTTTACATTGTAGACGTTTTTAAGTTTATCGTTTTCCTGTACCAAATGTGATTGCGAAAGCGGCTTTACATACATGGGACGCAAAGCATGCATTTGAGAAGGAGAAACTGTTCTATTGTTTCATTTTAATCAGTTCATGAAATTTTCACCAACACGGTTTTGGCTTACACTGCATATAAGGTGACCAACAAGTCTGTTCTCGTTAAATTCGTTGCTTGTCATTCCACTAGAATGAAGATATGTCGTAATTACTCAATTAGACACCGCCGTCTAAAAAGATGATTTCGGAATCTCAGAGAAAAATAATTGAAATTGTTGCTCCTAGACTTATAAGTGCCATTGCGATGCTTATTTTTGAAATTATTGTTTTAAAGATGACACAAATCATGAATTTGGTGAAACTTTATCTGAGACAGTCAAGTAAAAGCATTTTTCAGGTTAATCTGACAATCCCATCCTTGAAACTTGAAAAGGTGCATAGGAAAAGTTCATTTTTCTCTCAGAAAATGAGGCAATGAATGACATTTTCCTGCACGCACCTCCCTGGCTGTTGACATATTCTTGTTACACTGAGTTTTCCTACAATGTCTCTCAAGGAAAGCATGCACAGTGATGTACAGTACACATGATAAAGTCACGATTTTATACATATTATTGAGTCATTAGTTTTCTCTTTAACAACAACAGTATTTCTGTCCTGAAAGCATTGTCAAATATATGTTTTAACTTAGGCAGAGTTAAACACAAGAAATGTATCACCTTGTCAAAAGAGCAGTGGCACCTCACCCAACTCTGTCCATTCTAAGAAGAAACTACTGGTCTCAGCGCAAAGGACCAAACTACTCCACAAACATGATCGTGGTTGGAATATCAACTATCATTTGTGGTTTAGTTGGCATTGTGAGTTTGAAGTTACAACAATTTATGATAAATGTCTTAAATAGAAAATACCTCACTGTAATTAATAATATTCTTGATGCAGTTAATGGTAGTGATTGGAACAGAATGCCAAGTACACACCCCTGCATTGACAAAAACATCAGCACAATCCTCAGATTCCTTTACACTTCATGCTACCTTGTTTCTCAAACTGCTTATCAATAAAATGAGAAAATTACTCATAATTCTCTTGTTTGTGTAATGATAAATTGAAAAGTACTACATTTGTGTTATTCCTTTCTTCTAGGGTTACCAAAAATGGAAATTAGACAAGGAATATGAAATTTAAGGAAGAAAACTAAAGTAGTGCCAGGCCATCCTAACAGCTAACAGCTGCAGCCCAGGTGGAACTATAGACAATTTTTTTTTTTGCAAGATACCTTAATATACCACAGGACTGAAAAGATTTTGGTTTTGTTGCCAGAAGAATTTCAAGACTTAGCAGATTTTTGCTGTAATGAACTTTTTGAAATCAGCCTTTTATGACAACAACATTAAAACAAATCCCTTAAGAGGAATCTTTCAGTTTCCTATAGCAGTGGCATATTTTCCTGGTGAAAAATAAGGATATTGTTTGGTGCAGGTAACAGGAATGCAGACATTCATGGAGACAAGTTGCTCAGTGTTGAAATGATAAAATTAAAATTAATTTTGGAAACTTGTGGATGTCCTTTGTTTGTTTGCCCTGTTAATGTGTTGAAAAAGACGTAAAGTGCCATAAATTTTATCCTTCTCCTAACACCTAAGCTCTAGGAAAAGAAATAAAGGTAGTGACATGTCTTCTTATTAAAAATCCCATTGAGATGGCAACAAGACTCCCAGAGGAAATGCTAGAAGACAATCATTCATCCTATGAATCATATTTTCATAGTGTATGTTATATTTCATGCAAAATTTGTCTTATATATTCCATGGAAAAAATGTCGTAAACAACTTCTTACGTGACATTTCTTAATTTGATGCTTATGTAACGAAGTTAATTAATTTTGTAAGAGTCACGTCAAGTTCCGTTTCAGCCAGGACGAAGTTTCCTTTTTGATTAAAATGATCGAGAAAGTGATTAAAAGAACTGGAATCATAAATTTATTATTATTTCTGCACGTTGAGCTTTCTTATGTTTGCTCGTGCGTGATAACCGAATATGACGTGACGTCGTACTTCCCCGCCCACTGAACACAAACAGTTTCTTGTTTACTTTAATATTCAGACGCGATCCAACGCGATCCAGCTTAAGTGCGTTCTTTTTGCAGCCAAATTTTATCATATTTCACACCTTGGAGTGTTGAATACTACTCATCTTCAAAAGTTTTTGAAAGCACGATGTCGTTCCAAGCATTTTCGAGGGTTGCTCGCGCTTTTAGTTTTGGAGGTTCTCGACAGTTCCTTGGAAGAAGGCTTGGTGAGCGAAGCTCGCACATAAGACAAGAAAAGAGACCAGCCACTCAAGATGAAATGGGCATGCTTGTCCTAGGACTGGGTCTTTTTACATCTGCTAGTGTATGGGTAAGAAAGAAAACGATTTTCAAGCTTAATTTCGGAAGAATATTTTATGCTCGCATTCAAAGGTTAAAAGTGAAAGGGAAAGCAGACTTGTATTTGTGCCGTAAATGAAAATTTTACTCAGAGAAGCATCTTGCCTGTTAAAATAGATCGTACCGACAGAAAAGCGTATAAATGAAAATGATCTTTTCTGATCAAAAAAAGGGAATGTGCAATATCGGAAAATCGAGGTTATTGTGAGGCAGCTGTGTGATGTAGTCAAGACATGATTTTCTGCATGCGTGTGTGTTGTCGATATCGAGATCAGATCGACGAAAATTTTGTTCGACATTCAACTTATTTACAGCCATATCATAAATAAAAACAAATAATTGTGACACTATCCAACAAGCGAAGATCTTTCAGTTATATGTGGCGAAAAACACATATCCTAGCGTGTTTACAAGACTTAATGTATGCAAATCATCCACTTTGTTTTGACAGTTTAGCGCACGAGGCGTCGCTTGGTCGAAACCTTAAGATATGTAATCCCTACCGTTGAAATGATAAGCATTCTAACCTTATTGTTTAATTCGGTAGAGCAGGTCAAGGTTCGCAGTGATTCTGGCTATCTTTCCGTTTCTCTTCTGTTTTGTTTTGTTTATTTTCAAAGAGGAAAGGAGGAGAAAGGGGAGTGTACGAGGGTGGGGACGGGGTATCGGGAAGGGAGGGGGCGTGTGGCAGGCCATCGTGTGTAACGCCAAAAAAGGCAACACGAATAAGTAGGAAAAAATTAAAATCGTTAAAAGCAGCCCTAACAATCTCTATTTAACATTTGCATAGGCATGGAAGGAAGGTGCATTCAGCTCAGTTCTGACTGCAGATGAACAAGCTAAGGTAATTAATAATTTATATATTATTTTGAGGTATGATATTAGCTTGTTTTTTCTAAGTTTGATGGGCTTATACTGATATTATATCAGCCCACAAGCCATGTCAGGTTTTGAAGAGCTCCACTACTGTTTTTCCCAACTTGGGACAATTGTTCACTCTATAAAAAATAATTATTATTTGTTTATTAGATTAATTTTACCAGTTTTTATGAAAAAAAAATTATGGAAGGTATCTTTACTCAGTTGTGAACAAAACAAACAACTAATTTGTTTCTAATGCATTAAGTGCATAATTGTATATAAAAATATTATTTTTATTAATATTTTGAATAATCATTGGTTATTTGAAATTTTTGTTTTCAGCTGAAGGAAAATGAGTAAGAAGGGCAGATACTGATCAAGAAGAGCTACGGATGTTGCTGCTATAACACTGTGCTAACATCAATTGATGTTAGCTTTACCTCATTCATTATATCTCTTATCTAATGTACTGATAAATAAATTGTTAGTTAGCAATAACAATCAGCAAGTTTGAGTAATTAGATAATAAGGATGTAATTCACAGAACTCTCATTTTGAGACAAAGTTTCCAGATTTACAATTTACAGAGGTGTGCCAAAGATTAAGTGTAGAAAGTTACATATTAACCCACAATGACACTGTGTTACTAGTAACAGTTGTTGAATTAAGTGTAAGGTTTGAGTTTTCACTGAATTAATTTATAAAATAATGATTGTGGGAAAATTGTGATTTCCTTCTAACTTGATTATGTAACTTAAATGTTGTACAATAGATTTGACTGGTTATGAAATCTTTGTTTCAATCTTTTCCCTTTAACCGCATGAACCTGTTCATTTTAAGTCTGGGCCTATAAAATTATTGATATACTCTTTCAAAATTAAAATAATGACAAGTTATGTTAAAATCAAGGGAAGTTTCATACACTTAGCCAAATTGTAGATAAATAAAGAAACATTTCTTCCTTTCCTGAATCTGAAAATGTTTTGTTTGAGAGAGTTCAACTCTCTGAAAAAATATATGCTAGATGTGTTTTTTCCTAGTTACGTAGCTTCAAATGTTCGTTTTCTGGAGACATTTTGTGAAATAATTTGTTTTATGCCGGTTGATATGCGGCATACTGACACAAGTACATTGAACAAGGGCCTCACAACTGAACAACCCCAATAAAAAAAAACTTTTACTTTTTTTTAGTCTACTGGCACCTCAAAAGCAGGCAATCAGCTCACTCTGTTGAGATCCGCTCTGGTGTTGTTTCCTCTTCCTATTATTGTGCAATCTTTTTTGAAAATGTTAACCATGTGGAAATATTTTTGCTCATTGTAACCTTACAAAATTTAAGTTTCACAACATCAGTAACCGCTTTAGTCAAGATATTTTAACAGCGTGTTTGGTGTGTCTATTTCCGGCAGCCAGAAATTGGTACAATTTTTTTCCCAATTAATCTCACATAATTTTTATAGTTAATGACCTCTTACTGTGGTAATTAACTAGATCAGACAGTGCCGAATGATAAGTTTGTGCAGTGAGGAAGCAATATAATAGTTCAGTCCCTTTAAACAGTGAACAGCGGTCTCACTTCAACAACGCACACTCAGTAGGGGAATGTCCTTTACACATGCTACGATCGTATAATGTCTCTAGTGACTTGTGGCAGATTTTTCCGGCCTTGCCTGAGTCGGGTTAGACCAGCATTGAGTTCTCCAGGCCGGACTGGGTTTCGACTGTACAGTTCTTTCGAAAAAAGACCCAATGTTGTAGTCAGTCGAGTGTTCACTCGGCCTGCATCAGGCAGTAGTCAGAGCTCAGCCGGTGGATTGATGGGTGATAATAGCATGTTGATTGTTGGAATCGGATTGCTTGGAGGTTCTCTATTATACGTGAGTATTTTTTTGGAGTTTCTAGACGGAGATTCTAAAACGCGTATTTGTCTGCATAACTGCAGCTTCTTTCTGCTTTGAGGATCACCTGCCTCTTACGCGAGATTCGGCTACGAGCATCCATTTTGTGGGAGGGGAGGGTTAGGTTGTTTATGTACCACTGTACATGATATAGAGTTCAAATTGAAACCATGCACGCTTTCACTTTCAAAAGCTGTGTTTATATGAGAGTTTTGTAATAGTGGTTGTGGCGTTTTTATATTTGCATGAATTTTTAAAATTATACTATGAAAGTAAAAGAGGGCATTTTCCAAAGTAACATTGCATCATGTAACCACAAGGTGGCGGGTGGAGGGGGGTAGGGGCTTGGAGAATGCTGGACAGTTGATCAAATGAGAGACACCTTGTCACTGGTAAAAAGTCTTCTTGCTTCAATATAACTTTCCAATATACCATGAAGAAGAGTCCAGATTCTTCACACCCTAGTAGTAATGGCAGAAGATAACAATTTCATGTGAAGTTATATCAATCAACCAATGCATATTTTGTCATGTTGGTGAAGTAACTTGTCCTGAAGGGGAAGATTTCTTTTCAAACCTTTCACATGATTAATATATTGTTTCTCTTTACTACATCGGTACATGGAAAAACTTGAATGGTCCTGAGACAATGAGAAATATCAAGATGAGGATATGGTTTTTTTAACACCAAATTCTTGTAACTAGCATTATAAGAAATGTACATTTGGCAGGTAGTAAAGAGAATTGACCCTTAGATCATTGGTGATATGATCAAAACAAATCCTTTCTTCCAAGTCAAGAAAAATTTGGCTGCAAGTCATATGGGTAGATACACTCTGTGTACTTGTGTGTAGTTATTTCTTTGTGTTTTCGAGAAGGTAGTGAAAATCTAAGTGTAAAGGACTTAACAAGCTAATGTTTATGATTTTTCAGCCTTTTGTAGATGACTGAGGACTATTCAATTTAAAGAAAAAAAAAGATATTTAAAACAAATAACTGGGCTGTTATTCCCAAATTGCAATTGATTATTTTTATATAAAACTCCAAATAAACAGTTATCTACCTTTGAACTTCAGAGTTATTCAAAGATGTTACTCTGTGATTGCCTTTTAAATTGGAATAGTAAATGCATTTGAGATGAGAATGAATTGTTGATATTGACTGACAGTAGCAGTATATTTAATGGAAATCATCTATTTTCTTGGGTTTTTTTTTTTATTTCAAGCTTGTATACAGTGGCATGTTTAACCCTTATGAATCTCCCTCATCAAAACCAGCAGTTTCTGAGGATGCTGCAGTAGAGGTGAGTTACAAAATCAAACATAAAAAGAGAGATGATTATCATATTGATAATGTAATATCTAGATTGAGGTGATATTTGATCAGTCAGAAAAGTTACCTTGAAACAAACAATACCAAGGTCTTCAAAATTGGCTTGAATCTATGATCTTTGTGCTTAAATGTGATTGTTATTTTCTTTCTATGGATATTTCAGTAATATTTCCTACTTTAAACAGTACTTAAAGTTTGAGTGGTAATTTTTATCAATTAAATGGAACTGAAGATATATACAACTGCAGCTATTGTTCTACTTTGCAACTTTAAAAGACAAGTCAAAAAAGTTTCAAATTTTCAAAATTTATGCGGAAAATGTGTCAATTGATGAGCTATTGAAGGAATAATGTCCAAAATTTTTCTTATCACAGCTGCCTGCTGATGAGGCAAAGACTGCGACAGAAGTGGTAGTCGAGGAAACAGTTGTTCCATCAGAATCAACCAAAGAAGAGAGCCCAGCTGTCAAAGAACCAAAAGAAGAGGCAAGTCAGGAAATTACCTCACAACAAGGTATAGCGTTTTGTTCTATGTATGACTGTTGATACCTTGCTGTCCCCTTCCCCTCCTAGAAGTAAAGAAGTAGCTAATGAGAGGAGGGGGGGAAGCCTTGGGTGTGCATGAATCTCTCTTGCCTTGTAAGATGCTCTACCCTCCCCTCTCCTCAAGACTGGAATCTTCACTGTGGACCACTTGAAACCCCAGTACATTTCAAGCAGTTTTTTCTCTTTTTTAGTTGAATATTAATTTGTGTACCCTCTTGAACTGTCTTATGCTTTGGGAAATTCTCTAGGAAACTACTGCTTTTCATAGGATTGTGCTTAGCAGAAAATTGATTTCAAAAGCTTTAAAAGAATTGGAAATTACAAAATCAAATTACTTTGTCAAGCTATTCCTAGAAGATTCTTGATCACAAGAAAATATGGTGAATCACTGAAGTTTTTTGTTAAAGGGACTGCCTTGTTACTTAATTTTTATCTATCAAACATGAGCTAACATGAACATTCCCTTTCCAAACTCTGTACACTTTTTTTGTGTCCACCCATTTTTGTAGATGCACCACCCCCCTTGCCAGAAATTCCAGAACATGCAACATATATCTTGGTGGGTGCTGGCACAGCTTCCTTTGCAGCCTACAGAGCCATCAGGAAAGCTGACAAGTCTGCAAAGGTATTTGACTTCTTGAAGTATGTGAAGTAACAATTTTAGATCATTATGGGGAATAAGTAGAGAGTTTTAAGAGTATATATTCCAGAGAGCCTTGGTGTCTGTAGTTTTATGCAACATTGTAGTATATTTAAATTAGCCACTGGGCTTTGGTTTCATTTTTGCTAGTCATACATCACACAACTTTTGTTTGAGTGTTTTCAAGGTAAGTTATGTTAACCTTTTAACTCCCAAGACAATATCAAGAGCACAAGTGATGAGAGTAAAGAAATGATTAATTCTGAGTTGATCTATTACCTAATTGCACTAACATCACAAGAAATGTATAACAGACAGCAAGGAGAATTACTATGAAGATCTTGAGAGTGAAAGGGTTAAACCATTGTTTGCCACCTCAGGTGCTGATCATAGGAGATGAAGAGTATCCGCCATACATGCGGCCTCCACTTTCTAAAGAGCTGTGGTACTGTGATGATGAAGAACTGGTGTCCGATCTGAAGTTCAAACAGTGGAATGGAAAGGAAAGGGGGTAAGATTGTCCTTTAACTGACAGGATAACTTCATTAGCTTATATTAAATTCTCAGTACTTAAGTCTATTTATTTGATGCGTGTGAACTTTTAAAGCAGCTTAGAGCACATGTAATAGGTTGTAGTTTCTTATTGGAAATCCGAATGTTGTTCTGTTTATTTTGCACTGCAGAATATTTTTTGAACCAGAGATATTTTTCTGTAAACCTGGTGAATTACCAAGTAAGGAGACGGGTGCAGTTGCTCTGCTCAAAGGGAAAAAGGTGAGGATAAGTTGCAGAGTTCTGCTATTTCAAAGCCCCCCAATAAATTGTAAAGTTCTTGTAAACATCTTATTATTACAAACTTAAGGCTTCCCTTCTGCCAGTGATGACCGCACACATGCATGTTTGTGGTCATTGTCAGTGAGAAATATTATTTATATCATAAATCAACTAATTTGGCTTTGATTGACAGTGCTTTTTGTTTTTTGTGCTGAGCAGGTTGTAGGAATTAACAGTAGAGAACAAAAAGTCAAGTTAGATGATGGAGCAGAGATTGGATACGATAAACTGCTTTTGGCCCCAGGTTGGTATTTAGATTTATTAATAGACTAAGTGTTGGTATCCTCAGTATTTTTGTCTAGCATGGGCATACCATAAACATCATATTATTGTTTGCAAAAAAATTAATGTGTGATAAATGACTCATCAGGGTAAATAAAATTTAAATGTCAAATTTGCTGATGTGCAGGTGGTATTCCAAAGAACCTGCCCATTTTTAGAGAAAGCAGTGACGAAGTCAAGAAGAGAACAACACTATTTAGAAAGGTGAGATGAATGAAATTTAGCTCACAGAGGTTAATAGCATGGAACTTCTCCTAACAGTGTCAATGAATTACTAAGCAGGAAGGTGGTACGAAATGGAAAAACCTATCACTCAGGAATATTATCTCGACATAATTGTAAAATTCTCTCCACCAAATTTATGAAGAAATGCTAAACATCTAGAAGGGAGAATTATATTGGGATCATCAGATTTTGGGGGGAGGGGTGGGGGTTGAAAATTTGAACACATCACTTTACTAAAATTGTTAAAGCCTATGAAAACAGACATTCATGCACTTGAAAAAGTATTTTAATCAGCGAGTCCCTTAATGCTACTAATGTAATTTTGGTATTATATATTTTCCAGGATTTTCCCTCTTGATCTGCAAAGAATATACATTAAAATTAACATGAAAAACCAGTTTTAAGGACTTAATGAAATTGCTCAAACATTAAGTGCCTTCCTGCATTATTTTTGCTTAAAAGTACTCTGAAATTTCTTGAAGTAATTACACTTTTTTAATATGTTCTGTTTGTTTGAAAAGCCTAATTATACTAGTCTTGTTATTACTCAATGGAAGACTAAAATATGAGGACTAATCTTTGTCATATTTTCAGATTAAAGATTTCAAGGAGCTTGATAAAGCTGTCAAAGATGCCAAATCTGTGGTTGTTGTTGGTGGAGGCTTTCTTGGAAGTGAACTGGCCTGTGCACTTGGCCACAGAGGTACCACACTGTTGTAGTAGCTATAAAACAAATCAATTCCTTGTTGCTGTACATGTATTTCTGTTCAGTAATAGGTCAAATTTGGTCAGAACAAAAATATGACCCACAAGGTGCAGCTGAGGGTGTCATTGATGTTCTTTACACATTTTAACATCTCCTGTGATCAGTTCCCTTACAGATGCATTGCAACATGGATTCTCATTGTTTCATATGATAAAAAAAGCAAAATATTGTTAATGGTGTTGCCATGTATGCATCTGCCCTCCAATAGATCAAAGGCAAGAACCAATCAAAAATATATATTTTCACCTTTGCAACATCAATTGATTTAAGTTTAAGTCTTAAAACCTTTATGTTGCAATTTGCCAAGGGAGACATTTTCAATTTTTTTTTTTTCATCAGGAAAGAAAACTGGGATGAATGTGATGCAAGTATTTCCAGAGGATGGTAACATGGGAAAAGTGTTGCCAAAGTATCTTACAGAATGGACAACTAACAAAGTCAGGAAAGGTAGGAGAAACTTAGATTTTTTTTTGTACCATGAGTGAATTGACAAAGGGATGTTAATGAAGCCAGATGTGGACAAAAAGCAGAGGTAGCTGGGTATCAAGTTTTATTATCAATCTTCTCACATTATGCTATGTTAACCTCATCCAGCCATGTCTACTAAGATTTGACAAAATATTTAGGAAAAGTTTTGAAGTTGCATATGTAGCCCTTGCATCATCTAGGCTCACATGGTGCAGAAGCCTTCCAGTCCAAAAAGACAACCTTTCAATAGGCTAATTAAAGAAATTTTCTCGGCCACCTTTCCAGCTGATGATTCAATGAGGTTTCCTGCACATCAGTCTTATATACAACTCTGTTGCAAGTTTTTTAAGTCCAACACATGTAATGCTTTTCTCATTGATTCATATCATCTAGAGGGTGTAGATGTGAAACCAAATTCCACAGTAGAACATGTGTCATTTAGTGATGGCCAAATAAAGCTGAGACTTAACTCTGGTGACGAGGTGAGTAACTAAATGGTATTGATTCCTCTTGCCTAGTAACTCTTATGTTTAAGGTTAGTTTTGATAATTTTGAGGTAGAGCAATGTTTTATACGCTAGTATTTAACTTAATCTTAGATTCATTTTTTCCTTCTTTTGCTATAAAACCATAGATCAAAGCAGATCATATAATTGTAGCAGTAGGTCTGGAAGCTAATGTAGAGCTTGCAAGTGCTGCTGGGCTTGAAGTGGACCCAATCCTTGGTGGTTATCACGTGAACTCAGAGCTGGAAGCAAAGTCTAATATTTGGGTGGTAAGCAACTCAAATATCTCCTTCTCTCCTATTTCCTCATTTCCTAGACAGGGCTGCATATGCATCAGTTTTTAAAATTTTTCCCCTAAAGTGCCAATTAAAGGAAATTTTTTTGGTCAGGCCGGTGATGCTGCTTGCTTCTATGATCCGAACCTTGGCCGACGAAGAGTTGAACACCACGATCACGCTGTGGTCAGCGGCCGACTGGCGGGAGAAAATATGACTGGCTCTAGGAACCCATATTGGCATCAGTCCATGTTTTGGTCAGTAGAAATGGTAATTTTGATTTCAGAATTAAAAGAACTTCGCTCTGTGATTGTCCTCAACCAAACTCGTCTTGCACCACAATCAATCGGAACCCTTTCAAAAACCAGGCGCGACCTTATCACTTGCGTTTTCCGACACCCCATAGAGTTGCAAATTCTTACTTTGAGTTCTGTTTGGCCTCTTGAGATATTTTCGTTGCTTTAATTGGCCATTCATTAGGTTTTGGTTTTGCTGTTTCCAACTGATTTTCTCTCTGTCAAATGAAGATTTTAATCGAACTGATTTTTTTTTTCAAAATCCCTCTGCCAAAGAGAGTGTTGGGAATTGCATTAAAGCTTGGGGGGGAAACACAATTTACTGACCGATGAATTTGCAGATGAATGCCATGATTTGGGAATCAAATGAATGTGATGGCTTCAAGAAGAACGCATGCGGAACTTCGGTTGAAGTCAGCCAACTTAAAATTCTCGTGGGATGAGTAAAATCAGTTTATTTTGCAAAAGAATTCGTGAATGGCCGATTGAGATCGAACAGTAAAATTCGCGAAATTGGTAGGGCCAATATGAGGACTTCGCAATGCCTCTCTGCTTCAAGGAGAATAAATATATCCTGACAAGAAATAGGGTGCGGTTTGGAAATTGTCCATTGACCTGGAATTGCAACAACTATGCTTTGTATTACTTGGTAGGAGTGACCTGGGTCCTGATGTTGGATACGAGGCTATTGGTCTGGTAGATTCCATGCTCCCCACCGTGGGAGTCTGGGCCAAGGCGACGAAAGCTGACACTCCTAAAGCTGTAGTGGAGGCCACGGGAGAAAGTTTACGTTCAGAAACCGAAGGCGAGGTATAAAACTTGACCGTGATAAACTTTGAAAGAAATTCTGAGACCACTCTATTTTACGCTATCTAATTGTGCGTGCTTAACTATTGTTTTTACCTTAGGGTGCTGCCTCTTCTCCAGTTTCCACTGAGCCACCCGCTCCAGTCTCCGCTGAATCATCGGAGGAGTTTGGCAAAGGTGTCGTGTTTTACGTGAAAGGAAAAAGAGTTGTGGGAGTCGTCCTGTGGAACATCTTCAACAAAATGCCGATCGCTCGAAAGGTCAGATTACTATGAGATCTCTTTCCCCCCCCCTCCCCCTGCCTAAAAGGAAAACTGCTACTATGGAGTTGTGATGTCTCGAAGTGCAACAGACTAGCGAAAAAAGTCCAGACTAACATTACCTCAAAGAACAATTTTCGATGAAAATAATTAGGAACTGAATTGGTTTTGCTCCACATTATATTGGTCCAGAAAACTCGTACCAACGTTTTAACCAATAAGATTTAAACTAAAATCCATCAGGACTTGATCAACCGCAAATTTCCATGAGTTTTAGCGGCTCCAAATGATATTTATCTCTGCTCTGATTGGTTGTTGCGATTACTTTGGGCGTGGTTGAACTGCATTCAATCGAAAAGCAAACTAGAGAAAATGATCATTGGTACTTTATTCAATGATTTTTCTACATCAGCATCGCTCTCAGCATCTCTTTCCTTCGACCGCCTCTCCTCTCCTCTCCTCACCTCGCCTCCTCCCCCCCTCCCTCCCCTCCCCCCTTTCCCCGCCTATGGCGGGCTGAAGGTAGTAGTTGGATTTAAACCACCTACACTTTTTTGCGCTTTTTATTTCAAACTCATCCACTGGTTGCATTTTCTGCAGATTATCAAGGAAGGCAAAGATCAGGATGATCTCAATGAACTCGCGAAGCTGTTTGATATCCACAAAGCGGGCTAATTCAACGCGTTTTACCTGTTTTCACGGACGTTTTTTTGAAGAGTTGGACAATGTTGACAAATAGCCTTGGTAGAAACGCAGGCTCTTGTCAGCGGACGTAAAAAGGGTCGAAGTGGTAACGGGTGTACTATCACCATAAAGGTCCCAGATGGTTGTAACGACCTTATGTTGTGATAGAAAGACTGGTGAATTTTTACGTTTAGTCGAACAGTCTTATTTGTTATAAAATGCGAATTGCTCAGCGGCGAGGGAAATGTAGAATAAATTCTGATAATAAAGATCTATATTTTTACGTCAAGAGGGCAGACAGGTTTTTACTTAATTTGGCTAGATTTGCTTGGGTAGTCAGTGTAGCGATGTTCAATTTTTTTTTAGCCTCAGCGTTTGGATTGATACTGGTACCTACATTGGCAACAGTGCTATTCTTGGAAAATGAAAAGAAGTTGAACGAGTGTTGATTTTAACGGAGTTATCGAGCTTAACATACGTTCATGTCGGAACTATGCCGCTATTTCCAGTCTATGTCTCCTGTGAAACTTATACAGTGCTATTCCAAACTGATTTCAGTTTAACGGACATTGACTAGCGCCAATTAAAAGACAACCTGGTCAGTCAGGGTTGTGCAGGCTTAATCCCGATCGTTTTGCATATCCGGCCGGTAAATACTAGGGTTTTGGGTGAGAGAGTTTAATGAAAAGTTTTGCGAAATGCGAATTTACTCACGTTTATGACATGACAAATATGACAAATATATGTCGTGTCATATTGAGAGTTAATCAACACCACGGATCTCCAAATGCAAATGTCAAATTTAGTTGGTTGAAGTGTTTACTGTAGAGAGACTGACAAAGACTCTTCAGAAATAAGGAAAGCGTTTGACAGGTTGTTAAGGAAAATTGATTGTTTCAACCATAACGGGTTTGGGTGAATGGCCTTACTAGTTGCATGCAGCGACTAAAAATTGTCCATATTTATTTAGTTATTCCCACCACTACCCTAACTCCATTTCATTATGCGACATGAGATGTCAAATTTAAGCGTTAAAAAGTTGCGGTCCCTTGGTGCATCGCTGCGAAACGTTTTCGGTACTGGAAAGTTTTACGTGTCTTAAGACTCGAGAAATTTGTTGCAAACCATGAATTGTATTTGTGTACTCTAAGATCGCTAATCCAAGACCCACAGCAACCTTGAAACTAAATTTGTCGTTAAGCTTTACTGAGACCACCTGCAGTTCATTAGTGGATTAGAACAACCCGATGATCCTTCATGTTTCCAGCTCACAAATTGTCCGTTATAGCGGCAGGTGCATTTACTTTAAACAACATTTGTAAACAGTAAATGGATGGTCTTACAGGAATTAATTTTCTCACACGCTGGGTAACATGTTGAAGTGGATACTAAGCTTTCTATTGAAAACTAGTCATTAGTCAGTTTTACAGGTGAATCCTTATACATTTGTCAGTATTCATCTGGCCGAGTTTCTTTGTTTTAAGGTGTGAAGTGTTAAAATTGCGAGCGCGTGGAGGGCGCTAAAAACATTTCCAAGTAGAGGAAGAGAATGCGTGATTTACAACTTGTAACAGAATCTCTGAAAACGGTCGCTAACAGACTTCATTAACACAACATTTTGTGTGTGAAGAATATTTTATAGCTCTCGTAGTTTGTGTACGATGGCTGGAACAACTTTTGTAGGGTTTCTCAGCCGCCTGATTGCCACAGGGGAATTCAAGTCTCTACACGAACAGTTAACAACGTTTTTCGACGCAAGTTATCGTAACAGTTGCGAAGAAAACACTGTATTTTGCTGTGATCTCATCGAGGTTACACGCCAAGCTACAAGGGCAGCTGTTTTATCTTCTGGAATTGTGTTCTTCTGAAGGAGGAATTTATGGCGGAAGCGAAGCACTAAAGAAACGACTTTTACCTTGGCTTTGCAATGGATTTGTCACTGCAAGAATCATCCCGGAAGATGTAGAGGTCGTGAAGGAAAAGTACGAGCTTATGATTAAAAACATGGACGAGGACTTGAGTGCCTCCAAAGTAGAAGCCGCAGAACTGAGAATCAAGTAAGTCTGCTTAAAAAACTGGCGATGAGAAAAACGTATTGAATCACTTAAATTGCTGTAATCATCATGCGACTAGCTCACAGCATACAAAGCTTTTTTTGTTTATTTTTGTTTTTAGTTCAGCAGGACATAGGGTTTCTTCCAGTTTCACTAAGGAAAAATTTAACTTCGGATCCTCACTGAGACCTCACGATGGAACTTTAAAAAAATTGCGCGATAGGTCCCACTGACTTCGTTAAATTTCAGTGATTAACTTTATCAAGAAATCGAATGTTGTGAGTAATTTGCCCGCTAACATTGGCACAAAGTAGAATGTTTGGAAGGGACGCACAGATGCCATTAATATTGCATGAGGTTACTGAATACTTTTTTTCTGTTTATCAATTTTGGTTAGATTAGCGGATGCCGAAGATGAGATGAGAGGTTTACGTCAACAGCTGCAAGAAAATCAACAAGGAGACTATCAAGAAATCGGTGAATTGCGTAAAAAGTGAGTGCTTATTGAAAAGGTATAAACAAATATGAGAAAATAGGGGAAGTATCATTTACGAGACGCTTAAACAATGTCACGCTCCGAGGTTGCCAGGCAACTGAGCCACAAAGTACGTGTGTGTCACACGAAAGGGAAAAAATGAATTTTCGCATGAGCGCATACTGCTAATGCCAAAGGGAGATTGGAAACCATTCTTGATTCCAGAGCCCCCAAATTAAATTTCTTTCGAGACCTAAATGTTTGGAAACGCGCTGGAGCTAAAGAGGCTAGCCCTCCTAGATAGATATATGAAAATGTTGATTCGATTAAGATAATCTAAAGACTAACTTTCTCTTTATTTTAACAAATTTAAGGTTGACTTACACAAAGAACGAACTTGTAGCCAGGGAGTGCCAGATAAAAGAATTGAACAGAGAAATTCTTGAACTAAAGAGAGAAAACTCTGAACTACACGGGAGGTAAATGTTTTGCGTTTTTTGCGTGCCGTGATTATTTAACAACATGTGCTGTGGAGAGAGTTCTCCACATCTGGAAAGTCAACGAAAATAGTGAGTACGGTAAACCTGCAAAGATAATGTTGCATTTTCGAATTTTATTTGACGTAGCGTGAACGAATCAAGGACCGAACGTAAATCTCAAATAAGGAATTCCTAAAGGAATAAACACCTGTATACTTAGGACTTCCGGTATATGAACTCAACCTTTTTCCGGTTTAACCTCATTTCTAGACTCCAGAAAAAGATCTTCGAGGCTGTGGCGGAGCCGGAACCTGTTCGCCTGGTGACTAAACCCTATGTCGATGGTATTGTACCTTACCATTCCCGCTCTGCCAAGCTCGTTGAAAGATTTGCTGAACTTTATAAGAACGACAGGATACAAGTAATAAATTCCTTGAGGGGCATGTCTGATAACTCAACAGCTGAACGATTTGTTTTTTCAATCGTCGAGGTAAGAAATAAACAAGATGACACTAAAAAGAGCTCTAAAAACAGTTTCCACAGATATGTCTTGTGTTGAACTACTGCGGCAGGTCCTAAAAAGTCTTATCAGACCCGTTTAGACGGAGAACTTCGTTTCAACCGGACGACCCCTAACACGGGAAAATTCCCTCAGCCAAATAAATCATTTTCGATGCCTCGGGTTTAATAGCCAGACATGCGCAGCGGAAAAGAGTTTCGTGTTAGAGATTGCCAAAGTAAAGGGAAAAAATTCTCCAGCGTCCCTAAAGTCAACCACCAGAATATAATCGGACGATAAAGAATTAGAATTGGGTTTGTAAAAAGAGTTAAAATTCGATAATAACATCTGAACCGAATGTTGTACCATTTGTGCAGGAGTGCTTTACAGTCAGCAAACTAGAACAGCACAGGATGAGAACCCGGATGAACCAGGCTTTACAAACCGGCCCGAAGGGTGATCCGAAGGAGTCGGACAAAATCAACGAGCTAGTAGATAATTACATGAAAAAGAATACAGAACTGTACGACATTGAGACGCTAATTCCGGTGAGTGAAAATTCCTTATCAGAACCATGTATTTCCTTTGTTTTCACTTAGATCCAAGGCTGACTGAAAACACGAATGAGAGTTCCTTTTGATTTGTCTTTCCTCTTACCAGGACGTGATAAAATCGTTATATCGCAACTCAACAATCGCACCTTACGTCTCGTGCAATGAGAAAAATATCGTTCCTTTCGTCCGTGAGGTTCTACGAGTGGCCTGGGCCATGATATCCCTGGATCCTCCCATTGACCTCCCCGCAGCGTTGGAAGGTGACGTCATTAATGACACGCTACAGAAGAACGTACGACTCTGAGTTCAGTGCCACAACTATCGATTACTTTGTGTGGCCGGCTTTAATCAGGGAGAGGAAGGTTGTTGCCAAGGGAGAGGTAGTAACTAGGCGAATATCACCACAGAAGACAAAAAAGGTATGTAGAGAATTTCTGAAAATGCCTTTTTATTATTTACTTTCAATTTTCAGAATTTCATTTCATGGATATACAGTGGACAAGAAATCCAGGCTTCCGTCCTTGTATGGGTGTAAATGTTTCTAACGTGATACAATAAGGAGAGAGAGAATGGTTCATGACCCAAAGAACCATTTTTTTCACAAGTCTTTCACCTTTTTTTTTTGTTTAAATTACCAAAAAGACTTAGGTTGGCACAAGTAAGTTCATAAATGAGAGCTACAAATATCGAGATCCTTTTTGTAATATGGTATCCTAACAATATAAAATGAACAAAAAATAAATCTCTTAGTGTTATAATGAACTGAAGTCGTTTGCCTTGTTTCAATTCTGCTCGTTCTTGATCCACTTCTCAGGCCATAACGAGCACCCCTCGCCCAGGAAGCACAGAGCCTTATTCTCGTCCATCAAGTTATGACCTCGGCTTTGGTTCCATGTCATCATCTTGGAGCGGTGAGTAAAATGAAAAAAATAAGGCTGAGGGTGCGCAGCATGCTTAGTTCTTAAACCAAAATGAGTTGGTTATCCCTGCACTTTTTGAAACTGAACTTGCATCAAAGAAGTTGTGTTTGCTGAATACGTGGTGGAATACAGAGAGAAAGAGAGAGAACAAAACTTCATTTACCAGATATCTGACTCAAATGGTTTCACCCAATTTCAGAAGAAATTTTTATTTACAGAAACTATCTTGCTAATAGCTGCTTGAATGAAAAAGCATTCCTGATTTTTTACAATTTAAAACAAACAAACAAACAAAACACATTTAGTAATAATTCCTAGATAGATGCAAGCTGATTTTCTTAAGCTACAAGCCAGATGAGGAGTAATGTATCCCATCATTTCACTCTCTTCAGATCATTCCAGCTACAAGCACAGGTTCAGCACATAGTCATGTTCTGAGGGATGTAAAGGTACCAGTCTGTTTTACTGTATAACTTGAAACAAAAATGTGTTGTGACTTGATCTATGGTTCACCCTGTTATATTTAAATGTGCTAAGTATATTATTAAGTGAAATCACTTGCTGTGGTCAAGCCCCTTTTTACAATGGTTCTGTTGATGAAAGCCAGGTCAAAATATTTTAATGTTTTAGAGCTTGAAATTTTCTTATTTTGAATGTTTCTTCATACTTTGAAGCTTGTAAGCTTCATTCATGAAACTGTTGCACTAACTGCCTCAAGTATCATAATAACAAACTAAAATGCAAACTTTTTTCTCTACTAATCATTTTCTCTCATTTTGTCCTTTTTAGGGAGCATTTAAGATAGTAATACTCTCCATATTGACTGGCTATTTAGCTCAGTGATGGACTTATGAATGAAAACATGCAATGCAATGTCATACATCTCTGTAGTTTCTGTTAATATATATCTCAATTTTGTATGTTTTATTTCACTCATCAAAAAACTTCCAGATAAAGTGCCATGTGTTATCAATGTTGCAATTAGCACTTTAAACAACTGCTTCAAATACAATCTATGAATCTCCTTTGTGGTTGTCTCATGTGTGTCTGTCTATCTTGTCCTTTTTAAGTTGAAACAAAATTTTCAAAGTGGTCATATGATAATTTGCCTATTGACTGAGCACAGCGTGGTTCATATGTCGCAACCTCAAGCCAAATATTTTCCAGCCCTCCCACTCAGTCAATAAGTACATATTCTGCAAAGACAAAGCCCATTAAAGTCTGTATTTTTATTTCTAAGAACCCTTGCCTATCTGCTCAATGATTATCATTGTAATTAGACACCTCGATGAGGTTTCTATCAGGATCCCTGAGGTAAATGGAAGTAATTGGTCCTTTGGCACCAGTCCTCTGCACAGGTCCTTCTTCAATCTTTATATCTAGACTCCTCAGGTGTGTGATAACACTTGATATTGGTGTGTTTGTGATAAGGCAAATATCAATTGAACCAGGTGTTGGATTTGCAGCTTTTGGTTCAAACTCCTTCCCTTTTTGATGCAAATTGAATTTCTGATTTCCAAATCCAAGAGCTTTCCTACCTTGACCAAATGTAACCTCATCCATCCCAAGAGCTTGGGTGTAGAATTGTACTGTAGCCTCTATATTTTCAACTGTTAGCACGATATGATCAATATGTGAGATGGAAAACCGCTTGCATCGTGGATCCAAATCTGGAAATTGGGGAGTATTGCCTGTTCAAAACAAAAGAGAAAAGACGGGTTTCCATGGTTATGTCTGTTCCCTGTTGGAAGGTCTGCTCATTCTTTTGTTGTATCAATCAAACAGAATCACTATCAACATTGTACCCCCTTCCTATCCAGAGAGCACATCCCCAAAATTTGACTCTGATAAGCCTGGAAAGAAGGAAATTTGAACTCAGTGGCTGGGTTATGGGAGGGGATTCCTCGTTGCATGGAACAGTTCTGTGGGAATTTAACATATCGCACCACATTTAAGTTTATACCTATGTTCAATTCAGTATGTTGGAAAGCATCATGGTTGTGATAGACAATTTCAAAAAGAAACTTTTTTATTTGGCAAATTTCACAGCACAAGAAATCCTGTGAAAAGGATTTCCATTTCAGCCCCTTTATTCTCAATGCATCATTTTATGAGATCTTGGATATGTGAGAGCATTGGTAAAAGCTGTGAAGGTCAAACTAAATGTGTGGCATTTTATCTCCTGATCACCTAGACATTTTTTTTTTTTTTTTTTTTTTACATATTTTTTTTTTCAGTATGGGAATTTGATCAATCCTAACTTAAATTTCAACAAGGCATAGAGGTTTCTCATTGACGATATGCCAAAGGTGTGAGCTGACCAATGCTTTATCTGAGGGGTAAAACAGAACCTTAAGTTTCTGAACCTATTATGATGCACAAGGTACATTTCTTGAGAAACGGTACCCTGATAATGCTTTCCTTGTGAAACGAAATAGACAGATTTCCGATAACTCCTACTCTAGTTAAAACAAAGTCATAGCTCCAAAGGCAATGTAGTGTTTTCATCATTTTTCCTTTTCATATCCAAGAACTGTAAGCATAATGAATATGGAGGTGTGCAGAAATCTTATCAAAAGATATAATTACAAGCTCAGTCATAAACTAAATCACGAAAGTAAACATACCTTTCTGATGTAGCCTGCAGAGCAGGCGTAATTTTGGCAAGTGATTGCTCAGTATTTTCTTCGTGAAAATTACAGCTGCCATCTTTGATAAATACAGTAGTGGGAGGCTAGGGAGAGAAAGAAATTTGTACCAAGGGGGTGAGCGACGGTCCAAAGGAAGGAGATGGGGAATTAGAAATTCTTCACGTCCTTCCCCGCCCGCATCTCGCAACGTACACTCTAACTCTAATGTGGCTGGTCGAACAAACGATTGTAAACTTGTAATGTCAACTCGACCTTATAAAACGCCCGCACTGAAAGAAATGGCTCTACGGTGAAAATCGTCAGGCGACCTTCGGCAGTTTTATTTAGCCGTGAATTTATGACAGTAGCCTGGAAACTAATCGGCGTATGAGGTCAGCGATCTTCCTATCAACGAAGTGAAGAAGTAAAATTGTGGCTATTCATCGCATCTTATTTCTTGTAACGTTAATAACTTGCTTTCGTCAGTCATAGCAGCAATGGAATTGACAGAACTGTACATTTATTTAGTGTTAATGATACTTAATATTCTTCCAAACGTTCGGCAAGCAGACGGGAATAGCGACGAGTCTTTAGAACGCTACAAAATCGATGGAAAAGTGACCATACAAGGCTTCAAACCAGCTGGTAAGACTTTGAACTGTGTATTTTCTTGTAACAGTGGTTTGGATAATTCTTCTAGCGCTCTCTAATTTTGTTGCAGGTAGCTTTGAAATGTACTCATGATAATATGCTATTAAAGGTCTCATCAATAAATTCTGCTATAAATTTACACCTGGGAGTAAAACAGAATTATTGTTTGTTTCAAAAGCTTACATTTGTAAGATTAAATATATAGTTATATGGAATAGGATAACCTTATAAGCAGGTTAACTGAATTAAGTTAGCCCGTACAGTAGAGTGGAATGAAATAGACCATCCGTGCTCGGTTTAAAATACAGACAATGGAATTTAGATCAGATGTAACATGCAGAATAAGGATAATGTTATATTTCAAAAAAAATATTCTATTATTTGAGTGTATGTTCTGTCAGGGAACACATATGAAGTCAAAATGTAGTGAGTACAATAAAGTGGTATTGTAAGCCACAGGAGCCTTGTGTTACAGAATGTAACTAATGCTTGACCCTTTCAGAGGTTTGACAAGCCAGTAGATCACTAATTAGAGCTAAAAATAACCCCCACAATATAGAAATCTGTTAAGTTTCAAGACTATGTAGACTTAATTCTTCGACAATTTTCTAGAAATCTTTTTTCAAAGTATTAATTTTAGAATGAGCTATTCAGCAGTGTCAATGGCTTTTCACCAACTGATCTGTGTCTTAATCCTTTAAACCTCAAGATCCAAACAGTAATTCTCATCACTGCCTGCCATATATTTCCCTTGAGAATTAGGTAGGAGCATTTGGTCTTATATCAAGATAACACCTTCCAGAGGATGCAGTTTTCAGTTCTCAAGACCCGTTAGCCATAAAATTTATTTGAATTGAAAGGACAAATTCTACGGAACCCAAGATTTTCTTTCCTTATCAGAGAAGACTAGAATTTCTAACCATTACAGATGTCACAACAAAGACAACACATTCTCCTCAATTATTTGAAGACCCTACGCGTTGGTTTGGTCAAGGGCTCAAACCCTTGACCTCACAGAAGACAGTCCAGCGCTCCACAACATGAGCTAACCAGGCAGTGAGATTAATGAAGTGTTTTTCTTTCTATTAGATTGGATTTCTCAAACCAGAATTCTTGTAGATGGTGGGAGTTACATTGGCTTTCTCAAAACTGATGGCAGTTTTACTGTAAATGATGTTCCAGCTGGTTCATATGTAGTAGAAGTTCTGTCACCAAACAACCTCTTTGAGCCTGTGAGAGTTGACATCAGTGGCAGAGCAAAGGGTAAAATCAGGGCAAGAAAAGTGAACTTTCTTCAGAATTCAGCTGTTGTCACTGTCCCATATCCCCTAAAGTTCAAAGTAAAAGAACCAGCACCTTTCTTTGAGAAGAGAGAACAGTGGAAAGTCACTGATATGCTTTTTAATCCCATGGTAAGTTGTCCCAGCAACTGTGTATAGAATAAAAGGAAGAGTAGTTCCTCAGAAAGCTTTGTCAGTTGTTCAATGTTCTTATTTTGAGCATGAGAAGTCAAAGAACTTTTCAAACCAGTAGCGCAGTCTTTTAACCTGTTTAGTTTTCAAGAATCCAAAGCAATTTTGAGGTGGTAATAAGTGGTACTTCAGGTGGTAAATTACAGCCGTTTAATGGTTACTGACTGAAAAGGAGAACACTGGTTAATGAGTGGCAGATGACGGTTTTCCTACAACCATTTGCACTTCAGCTTGTGGTTGCTTTGAATATGATAACAATCATTTGGCTAGCCTGGAGTCAGTTCGAATATTTGACTCTATCTTGTAGCACATGGTTCATCTTTTTGTTCCTTCGGCTTTCTCCTACTTTGAGATAAACCATAATGCTATGTTCAAGAGATACCAAAACTACTGTAAGTTTAAGTTTTGATCCTGGATTAAAGCCAAGATCCCAATTTATTCTTTTTCTTCTTCACAGGTACTGATGATGGTTCTACCACTCCTGTTGTTGTTAGTTTTACCAAAACTTATTAACAGTCAGGATCCAGAAACGCAAAAGGTAGGAAAAAACTTTCAGCATTTACAATATGTATGAACAGAGTAAGCACTCAGGCTGCTTGTGTTGGTCTTAGCTAAGACTTGATCAAATGATCAAAAACTTCAGGATTAGTGCTGGATCAATATCAGTATCTGGGCAACTGCCCACCTACCCCTCCCCTAACCCAACATTAACCCTAATTTGTTATCAATTGACTGTTGTTGGGTTAGGGGAGGGGTAGGTGGGCAGTTGCCCAGATACTGATATTGATCCTTAGTGCCTAACCCTCTGACCCATAGGAGTGACTAGCTTCTAATTCTCGTCACAATATTACCCTTGAGTCCACATTACGGTCACAATAGTAAAGGAAATGATCACCAGATAAAGAAGCCCTTGATTGTTGAACAAATTCTCCTTGTCAGCACCTTAGGAAAGTTATAGAGGACAGTATGGAGAATATGCATACTGATGTTGGGTGACTAGAGGGATAAACTGTATTTCAGTAGCATCATGCATTCTTTCAAGAATCCTCAGCCATGTATTTGATGGTATTTGTGTCCAATAATGCTGTAGTGCTGACTGGATAAACAAGAGGAACTTACAAGAAAATAATGGAATAAATGGAAGGATTTTTCTGCTCCCTGTGTTCTCTCCCTCCTTTTGCTTGCTCCACTGTCTATTGTTCCACTAGATCTGATATGTGACTGTTTTCTAACTGAATCCCTAAGAAAGAAATTGTTTCTGGCTTTTTCCTATACACAGCATAGTTCATTTTAGGGTTACATTAATACTAATTAATTGTTTGTACCTTTGGTGTAATCATTATTTGATTTTTACCAAGGAAATGCAGTCTTCAATGAACATGTTTAACCAGTCAAAAGATCTCCCTGACATCTCAGACTGGTTTGCGAAGAACTTTTCATCTGGAAGTAAGAAAAAGACAACCAGCAAAGTTGGGCAGAAGAAAGCTGGGGTAGGCAGTGTAAGAAGACGATGAGTTCCTTTGTGAATTGTGCAGTAATGTTCCATGATAAATGTTAAGGTTTGATTCCATACTGCCTGTAAGGATCTTCCAAACTACATGTAACAATATTCTCTTTTCAATGTGGAAACAATATGAAACTAGAACTAGGGTCTGGTCCTGACACTGATGTTGAAATGACTTGTATTTTTTATTTCTTGGTTCTTTAGTAAACCTCATGTGCTGTTAATATAATCAATTGACATTGTTTGTTTTATCCACTTTTGGGCTCATTTATTGATTACTTGAAAAAAAATCGATATCATAAACAACTGTTAACTAACAAGTATGGAATACTTGACTTAAATTGTAGGTTTTCTTTTTCCTCAAAAATATGACTCATACACAGTTTTTTAAAGCTATACAGACCAAGATCTCAATTGTGCTACCTACACAGGTCACATAATTCATCTCAATAAAAAAATTTAAGTGCTAAATGATCTTGAATTTATTATGTATGTTTTTGAGAGAAACATGACTACCGTGTCTCTGCTAATCAGTGAACCTGTTCATTTACAGTCAATAGGGAATCGGGGAAAGGGAACAGGAAGCAGGGAAAGGGGCTGGAAGGGGTGAGGGGGAAGGAACAGGATGGGAAAAAGGGCAGGAAGGTCTGAGAAGGAGGGAACAGGGAGAGGTGAGGGGAAAGGAACAGGGACTAGGGATGGAAAAGGGTGCTGAAGGGGTGAAGTGGGAGAGGGAGGAAGCAGGAGGGACAGGAAGGGGTAAAAGGGAGAGAACAGGAAGCAGGGAGAGGTTGAGGGGGAAGAACCGGTTATTTCCTACTTGCGTAGCGTTTATGATATTAAGGAGACGTGTCATTTTCATGATTACTTGTGAGTGTTTGTCATTTCCCTTTATTATATTGAGAAGGGTAGGAGCAAAACACAATTCGAAAAACTGTTTGTCTATAAGAAGGAGTAGAACGGCAATCAGATGCTTTGCTGGTCTAATTACGACGACAACTGTGAAAGATATCCTAAAAAAATCAACTGAAACGGTATTGGGAGCTTCTATGTGAAGATGTAGCAGCTTTAGCCCCTTCTTCGTCATCACTTGACCCTTCATCATCAGTGGAAGCCTCTTCCTCCAGGTTATCAAATCCCTGGCAGGGTTCTTCTTCGTCGTCGCACTCCTCTTGTTTTTTGTCTTTGGAGAACAGCTCTTTCTTGATGAGCTTCCATGTCAGCTTTTTCATTGGGATTCCCTTGCTCCAAATGGATGTATTCACCTCTGGTTCATCGAGATCTTTTTTCATAAGGTAGACAAACTCGGCGATAACTGACATGAGGAAGGCCACTTGTTCTGTTTCTACCTCTACCCACTCAAACCGCAGCTCCTCTGTAAAGTAAATCTCAAAGTGAATGCTGTCACCCTGAGCCTGAGACCAACGACGGATTTTTCGCCATGGAGCGAAAAATGCTGACTTCTCTGTTGAGAGTGAATAAAAGGGGTTAGGTGTTCCAAGGCTAACGAAAGAATTTATCTCTGCGCTTATCCTGGTCGCTGAAGAACAAAGTGACTAGAAGTGGTCGCTGCTCCCCCTGGATGGAATGTCAGTCCATCGCAGGTTCCCCCACCCCCATCCACCCACAATTTGCTGGTACCCATTTATACTCCTGGATGGAGAGAGACACTACTATAGTTTAATACCTTGCACAAGAACACAATGACCAGGCCGGGACTCGACCCAGGACTTATCGACCCTGAGCTCAGCGTACTGTTCAACAGACCCATAAGTCTCAGTTGAGAATAACACTAAACAAGTGAAAGCTATAGGTGTGTCTTGAGGGTTATAATGATTTTCAAAAGACATTTGTTACCTTAACGTTGTGAGCGGTGAGCGAGCTACAAATGAACGATGAAAACTAACACAGGGTGGCGATCCCAAAACGTCTACCGTAAACGTCTTGAATCGTTAGTTCAGTGTTGCTATTCACGTTGTCGTCGTTATAATGATTTTGAGTTTGTTTCGTAATTTCAAAATGAATGAAACAACAAGAAATGAGCCGAAAAGTATGAGTTCCTTCGGCTCGAGTTCTCTGAATTTGTAATTTTCTCTAATTTCTTTCCTGTGCGCCGTTTTTGACCAGCCATCTACGCATCAACTCGAAAAAAGGATTTTCAATCGTTTGTCGGTACCTTGATGTTCTTCCATGGAAATGAGCGCAGGGAAATTTTTACTTTACATTACAATCTCTTATTTTCGAAAATTTCGATTCGCTTTACATCATGAAACAGGCAATCTATTTTAAAGAAAGTTATCCAATGATGTATGACTAAATTCCTAAACACTGCGTTACAATGATTACGTAAATTTTCTATGGTTTTATTAGCTAAAGAGCGAACAATTATCACGCACTCACTTGATTTTATCATTAATCCTCTTCGGTTGGCTATCAGATTAACCTGCATTCCTTGTGTGAGTGAGACTTCCTTCATTTTAACATCATTCTGAATTGTGCAATCGAGCAGGAAAACGTAGCCATACCCGAACATTTTTTGGCAAAGTTCCACGTACTGCTTGTCGCAAGGAAAAGCTGGATTTCTGTATTCCTTCAGTAGAGGAATGTGATCTGGTTTCGGCTTAAGCCTACTGCATCGAATATCCTCGATACACTGCAAACAGATCAAGTGCATTGCGCCGGCATCTGTTTTAAGATGCTTTTGCTCTCTCGGAACGTCGAAAGACCACTTTTGTATTGATATAACGTAGCGGCATGGAAGGTAAATAAATTCGTTGTTACCGTACTTCTTAGTAGGATTTTCAATTCCGCGGAAGAGACCGAAAAACTGTAGGCTGTTGGCGTTAATTCCCAAAGTTTTCCCGGCTATTTCTAGGAGATCTTCAGCTTTGATTTTCCCTCCGTCGACTTCAACTCGAACTGCAGGCTGTGTCCCTTCAGGAAAAGTCCACACACAAATTTTGTCTTTTCGTGGGATTGGTTTCGATTTCGTTTCCGCCATTTTATCTGAATTTTAGCATACTTACTAAAACTCCGTGCGTTCCCCAGGCATCTTTGCGCTTTCATCTGATGATAATTCTTTCTGAAGACAAATCAGTGATAATAAGGTTCTTAACCGCAATTAGCACATCAAAAAATACAGACCTTTCATATTTCAGTTTTGACAAAACATGAGTTAAGTGGTTGGTGTAATTTAGAAAGCTTCTGAATTATGAATAAGACGACAAATTCCTTTTTACAGAAAACGTAATTAATTCTATAATGTAGAGAGTATGAAAAGCACTTAAATCATCATTTAGAAATATTTTTTTCAAGAATTCTTTAGCAAAATGAATCACTGGCTGTCGCGGTATTTATAAAGGCTGAAGAACTCTTGGTAAGGTTATAACTTAATGCAATTGTTTCAAATTAGGCTCCTTAACGTTGGTTAATTTGAGTGACGAATTCTTTAAGCAATCAAGAGGCAGATTTGTTTGTGACCAAGTCAAAATAGAGAACCATCGGAAGTGGACTTCAGTTGTATGACACTAATAACAGACCTTTGTTACTCGACAACATACCTTTGAGGCAGAACTGAATAACGAAATGTCACGTCACAGCTATGCGATCAATAACGCGGGCCCAAGCGCTCGAGGTTAAAAATTCAACGAAATTTGCGGAGAAAAAAGGGGCTGGCATCGTTGAAGGCATTTTCCCATTTCCAGTGTTGTTAAGGAGGAAATCAATTTTTGAAAATATTTAAGGGATGTACAAGGTCTTTCGAGGTTTTTCCGTAAAAGAAAAGCAGCAAGGAAACAAGGCCTAGATGCCACAGAATAAAAAGTCGAACGTTCAGACGACTCAAAATCCGTTTTTCGCGTCAAAGTCCAGCGCATGCGCAGACGTTATTCAGCTCTGTCGAGCTCTGTCTTCCTTTGATACTTAAGTTGTCGTTGGATTGACAGCGTTCAAACGTCTACGCATGTGCGAACGTTGAGGTGGCTAGGTGGCGTTCTTTCAGGCTGTCAGACCCAAGTTGTCTTTCAGGAATTGTATTCAACCACCTAAGGAAAATATTACGTTTTTTCAAGAGCGTACAAATTTTTTGATGAAGCTCACAACTAAATAATAGATTAAAGGATACCCACAATCAAAAAACTTTGGCTACGAAAACTCTCAATTATCCTTCTCCTTACGTTGGACCGCTGTGTTTCAAACGTTGGGCATGCGCAAGTGAATCAATTTTGGCCCGCTGCGAGCTAATATTTCGCGCGTAAAATTTTAAACAAAAACATAAGTAACAACTACTGACACAAAATGTAAGAAAAAATTAAAACGTTCGCAGGAAACTGTAATGATTAATTTGTCATAATTAGGAAATAACCTTCTAGAAAACCAGCGCACCTGAAAACGTTTTCCGCCATGAATGCTTTGTGTCATCAGATGGAGAGTCATGCAGAAACTTTGAATAAAGACTTAAAGAGGGGATTGCGCGAGATTTCAGCGTGATCAGCGCGCACATTTAAAAATCGGCCGATAGTTTTCATGCCCGAAGCTCAAGGTAGGAGTGATTGATCATTTTCTGTAAACAGAGATGATCACCCGCCGTTTCCCCTTTTGTTTGGAACGAAGCAATAACTTTAACAGTGCAAATTAAATATGAACCGATTTCCAGTGCGGAATAAGAGGCAATGGTCGAAATGGCTTATTCAGTAACTAATAATGTTGATGTAATGTGAAATTATTTAGCTTAAACAAGGGTCTAATTCTCTCAAACGAACTCAAGGATCCCTCATTTATTTCCAATTTAAAGAACCCGTGATATGAAAAAACCATCAGGCAAAGCTTTCAAAAAGTCAAGAGTGGTTCTAATTCACAGTCCAGTAGTAAAGATTTTAATAAATGATCTTAATGTGTAGCGGGCGCGAAAGAGATAAAAACCATCCGTTCAGTTGTTCTTTTGTATCAGTCTTCTTTCGCAACATCTGTTTTATAAGCTAATCCTTGCTTTCCACGGAGCTTAACAATTCATAAGAGGAGCAAGTTTGGCGGCTTAAAATGCATTTCAATGTACCCCGCTTCAGTCTTGTACGCGGCTGGTCGCCAAAACACACATTTTAATTTGGAAGTAATAAATGAGATCTGTTATGTAGATAAGGAACACGTCCAGGTGCAAATTGAACGAAGACTGATATCGGTTTTATCAGTGGATCGTATCTGATCATCGTGAAAATAAACATTTAAGACTGTAAAGGAGTGTGGGTTTTAATTGGTGAAGTGTAGTATCGCGCTCTGGTCGCATCGCCCTCGTTAGTATTTTTGTACTCTTTGTATGGAATTGCAATTAGATGTAACCCTAAGAGGGGTGGTGATTCATTCGAAAAAAAAAGGAAAAGAATTCGGTAGATATCGATATTGTTTTACAAGGACGTGATATTTACTTTAAAGCAGAACTAACGGATTTTAGATCGTTCGATACGAGCGAATTAACGCCTACACTCGCCAAGATCAGGGATCTGTTCGTTGATTGTAGCGATAACAAACTGCGATTAACACAGATGGTTTACATGAAGGTTTTTGGCTGTTGACCGCAATGTAACTGATTCAGCCACAACGGCTGGTGGTAAGAGTTCCAAAAAAACCAGTATGACCGGCTTTTCTTGTTTGACCGGTCATCCCAAAGCCGATGAGATGGGCGTGTTTAAATATCGCTGAAATGTAGACTCAGCCATAGTAATTTAGGGAAATAACCTCTTAATAACCAATGCATTCTTTTACCGTATTAGAAAAGGATCTATTAGTTCCAATTTGCAATACAAATAAGGGCAAAATTTCTGACCTGAATCGTCACGTAAGAGTTTTGGAGGAAACTTTGAAGGCTAGAGTAAGTTTTTTTTTACTCTTCAAGCTTCGAAAATTTTAGTATCGGATAGGACAATGTTGATAGACAGAGGCCAGAGAGGAAAACGTGAATAATGAATTAAAACAATCTAACATGTAAATGAAGAAAGAGGTAAATACTGTTTTCTACGTGTTTCAGTGTCAAAAGAATTTTTTGTAATTAGCACTTTTAATGCCATACCGTTTCTTGAACATATAGGTGTTAGAGATATTTGTGTTGATCATGTTGTGTCTTGGAGTTGTAGCGAGCCGTTCCTATTCTTTTTAATTAGCACTATGCCTCAGAGCCCGCAACCTCGGGCCCTGATTTTAATTCCAATTTTGCTGTTAGGAAAGTAACACTTTATTTATTCCTTAACATGGAGAGCATCACCTCCTGGGGATTAGAACTGAAATGAAACTGTAATTCAAACTCATCTAAACGCTTGATAGAAAGTTCCAATTGAGCCGAAACAAAGCGAGGACAAGTTTTTGATTTGTTTTCGTGCTGGAGTGTATAGCATTCATTAATTGTAGCGAGATTTTCGTCGTCTATTTATAAGATCCCCGACAAGGCGGTTAATGATATTGGACGTATTTTGGTTGCGTCCTAATACCGGAAATTTGCGGACATGCAAGGATTGTTATTGTTTGCAGCGAATTGATGCGAGTTCACTAGCTGATTGTTTGTAGAATTCTGTCGAAACATTCGAATAATTAATACCAGTTATCTACTGATAATATTTCACCGAACAAGATAATTTAAATGTCACTGTAACTACTGAATTACTTATGGGAATTAAAAATTCTACGGGCTTTGTTTGATATCTGATCATGATCCATGCTAAATTGCACATTACTAAGTTCTTCATAACATCATCGATCTTGGTATCGAAAATGAATGATCCAACATTAGCGAAAATTCAATAAATGAAATCGAGATGAAGAAAAAGAACGAGAAATTAACATTGTAAATATTCATAAGAAGTAAGAGTTTTCTTGTAAAATATTTATTCATCTTTTTAGTGGGTTGAATCAATAATAAACATGCATTTTTGATACAGCTTGGATATCATATATTTATCTGGCATGATTCCGGCCTTTCCTTAGGCTTTTTGGAGTAAACATTTTTGTATTAATAAATCTGCTTAAGTGTAATATCCAACATTTTTAGTACTGTTAAAAACAAACAAACTAGCTATAGGCTCTTCACTGAATTTGTTTACATCTTCTTCTTTCGATGCTTAATAAAGATTTAGAAGAATGTTTTTTTCTTTTCGATAATTAGAATCAGTGTCATGAGACTTGGCTTATGATTTTATGTTATGGTTAAACTGTAGAATTTCCTGCTAATTGCTTACCTCCAAAATTACTTAGTATCACCGAAAAATCTACTGTTTGAATTTCTCGCTCGCGCTAAACATTCGCGACAGATTAACATCTTGGCGTAGATAAGGTTAATCTCTTACTCTGGACCAAAAAATCTGCTTATCAAGAATCCTGTTCTTCGATATTCTGAAGACTGATGATGACAGTGTATCCACGCGAGGACATTTTTTCCCCTGAATTGTCTGTTAACCCTTCGACGGCTTTTGGAGACTCTCTTTATTTCTGTTGTGCTATGTTTACAGTTTCGGCCTCCTGCGCTTCGACTTTTAATGAGGAAAGTTGCCGTAACAGATGGTTACAGGCGTGTTTCAAATGGTTTCGCAAACGCGTGGGTGAAGGGGAAGATTTTACTTGAATAAGAAAACCAAATTTTGGCAAAGTTATTGGTCAGAACTAAGACCGCCGCGGAACTTTAAATTTTTCCGACACCAATATTTCAATTGTTTGCCACATTAATATTAACGATGGTAAGTTTTTTTCGCGTAATTGTTCGCTTATCAGACGAGGAAAACTTATTTAGTTGTCATTGAAAACCGATGTTGCACTGAAAAGTACCTTTAAGGACGAACCTTTAATAGGCCAAATTAAAGGGAAAAGCGTGTTGAGGAAATTTCCATATCATTAAGAAAACACTAATAAAACGTGCGCGTCGCAAGTATTCTTTTAAAAAAAAATTGGAGTTTTACAGCTGAGAAATATCTTTCGTTGTGGTCTGATTTTGACCTACTTTTATTTCTTTTATCTTGCTTTTCT